TAAACAGATAATATAAATTTAGTTTAGAATCTGTATGTTTAATCTATATAAAGGCATAAATAAATATATGAAAAGATAGATATATTATGATATTATTTTTCATTTTTTATTTTAATACTTATTATTTTTAGGTTTTGCATTATTAAATTTTTTGGTGTTATGTCTTTGTTGGAATATTAATTGCTCGTACTCTTTGACACTTAATTCTGAAGCCATTTTCTATATTTCCTTTATATCATTTTCAAGTTTTTTCTTTAAATTATCAATATCCCTAATTCATAAAATTAAAAAAATTTATTATGTATTTATTTATTAATTATATAGATAATAGATTTACACTTGATCTTTATTGTTTTAAAGGCTGAGTTCAATGAAAATGAAATTTTGGTTTTAAATACTAGCTCTAACTCTTGAAGAATATTACTAACTTTCAAAATAATCTTAGATTTATTTTTAGAATTTCTCCATTTTTTCTTATTATTACTCTTTAATTGGATCAACAGGATCATTATGGGCAAATATATGTAAAATGTCATCAGAAATATTTCCATTCAAGATCTTATTTATATTTATTTTTATTTTCAATAAATATAATTAATTTAAATTACTTACTTGTGTTTATAAAATGTCCTCTTCCTATCCGAAACTTAAGAAGTAGCGATTGTTCATCACATTAATGTTGTTAAGAAATGTGTTTTCAAAATCTTTTTCTGTCTTTTTAAAGTTTTCGACATAAAACTATCTAAGTTGAAGGAAAATCCATCCAGTTAAATAAGAGTCAAAACCGGCTTCATGGAATTTTTACTGATTATTTGGGTCATCCCAGTTGTAATCTTAATAGGCTCCTTGACCTAACTATATCTCAGCTAACCTGTATTTTGAGAGATTGGTGTAGATAAATTCTTTTAAACTTTCAAGGGAAGTGCTTTTATTGTCATCTGTCATAAATTCTTTGAAAAATGAGACTGAAATTGCCTTTGAATCATAAAGCTTTTAAAAAGAAGAGAATATTCTTTCTTTGTAATTATTTGATTAAGTTGAAGATTCTTTGGATTCTTCGTCATTTGCTTCTTGGCTATGTTTTTATTCTTCTTCCTCCTCAACAGATAATTTTTTTGAGTAGTATTAAGGAAGAGCACCTATAAATGAATTATGCAAAAAGAGAAGATCCATGTAGCAGTTATGTCCAACAATAGGAACATTTCTTTTACCAACTAATTCAAAGAATTTAGTAAATCCTAAAGATTAATGAATGCTATTTATTGCTTTATTTCTTTCTGCTTGACTTAAATCATTCTTTTGTTCGACTTCTTTTAATAAGTTCGCATACTGCTCTCTATCTATGTGAGTAACACCTTGTAGTAAATATTAAAGAGTCTATTAAGATTGTCATTTTTTTAAATAAATAAGAAAATAAATTCTAAAATTTTATCCATTTTTTTAAAAAGTTTGAAATATTTTATTACTGTTCTTAATCCACTAATCGAAATCGCATCCATGCTCTGCATTGAACTTAATTGCTCCACTTTCTAAAACTACTTCAGGCTTATAAGATGTGTTTTCTATTTTTCTTCTGATAACGTAGGCATTAAAAGGATAAGCAGTGTATTTACTATCCTCTTTATGAAAAACAGTAAGGCCTGCTTATATTAATGCATATTTTCTAGCTACTTGTGCACACTGTTAATAATTTGAAAATAAAATGATAAAGGTACTATTTTAAAGTATCAATTTACCTTTTCATATCTTTCAAATGGCATATCATTATAAGATTCTTTTTCTGTAGTTCTGATGCCTGTCATTTCAAAATCATAACTAATAAATTCAGTCTACAGTTTATAAATAAATATTAACAAATGGATAGCACAAATTAATAATTTTGGAATGTTTTCATTTTTTTAAAACAAGCTCGATTTTCATATTTTAGAATCTTAACTCCTAAAATAAATTTCCTAAAACATATAAATATTGTAAAGTTAAAATAAGCAAATGTTTTGAATTCCATTCTATTTTACATACATGCTTTTTTAAGAAAATAAAAGTTGTATTTACCTTTGGCGAATTCACCAAATCTGAAAAAATTTAAAAGCTTTGCTCGAAGTTTTGCTTAGTTACCTACATATTTTTAGAGGAATTATATTGTGAAATAGTTTACTTTTTAATAAAAAGTATATCAGATATTTTATTAAGAAATAATATATTAAATATATATTTGCTTTAATCTATCAAAAAGAAATCATTTATTTATACATTTATTATTTATTATTAGTTACTTAATGTTTTGTTAAAATAGGCCAAGATTTTCTGATTCTAAAATAGTTTTTATCAATAATTCTGATTAGTTTTCTTTAAAAAGCATATCTTAATCCCTTATTTTTATAATTTAAAAATTGCTTTTTTAGCTCAAGTCAATAAAAAATAAAATACTTTTCTTATAAATCATATCATTTTTAAAATATATTTTTTAAAATTTTCATTTGTTTTATTGCCCCTCAATGCTTTTTTAAATTAATTTGCAGGACATATTTCTAATAGCAATGCCTACAAAATCAGAGCTTTTAAAATATGATTACATCAAGCAAACTCAATATTATAACTATGCAATCTATAAATTAACTCTTTAATTTCTACAAATGAATGTATATGTTAATCTCAAATACTATTTATTTTCCTTAATATAATATTTTAGAGAATTTATTCTGCTTAAAAATGAATTTTATTATCTCTGTTTAAAAAAATGAAAGTTTGCTGAGTTCTTTAAAACTACAAAGTATTTTAAAAATAAATTTAAAATTATAAAATTAACAAAACTAAGAAATGAATAATACAAATTTAATTTAAATCCTTAAAATTTCATTAAAATTATTGATTAACTCATATTTTATATTCATATTAATTTTTAATATAATAAATTTATTGTTTGATATTAAATTAATTTTTCATCATTTTTAAATTTTATAATTCTTATTAGCAATTGAATTAAAATACTAAATTCTTTATAAAATAAATTCTTAATATCTCTTTTATAAATTGTTTATATTAATTTAAAAATAATATCTCTTTAATGTTATTAGATTTGATAAAATCTAATAAAAATATGTTGTTTTGTTTAAATTTTTAGCTAATAAAAATAAATTATTTGATTTTAGAAATTTCAGCTAGAATATTAAAAAATTATGATTATAATTAAATAAGAAAATGCAATGACTTTTATATAGTGATTTGATGTCTACATGAATATTTTTATATGGGAAGATATATAAATAAATATAAAAGTTTGTGAAGATTCTTAACAAAAAAAATTAGGCTAAATATTAGAATGATTATGATTATTTAGTATTATTGGCTCAGGAAATAAATCGATAGATAAATTTTAGTATGTTTGTATGTATAATGCAATAAAAATTTGCAAACATAAAAGCAAAATAATTTATAAAATACAATACATATAGCTTAAAAATAAAATTGAAAAGCAGAGAAACAAAATAAAAAATAAAAAGGAAAGATAGATCGATAGATAGATATATAGATTTATAGGATTTTGTTTAAATATCTTTAAAAACAAATTAAATAACTAGAAATATTAAACTGTAAAATCTAATTAATTAAAGGTTGGCTCACTTTAGCTTTATATTTATATTATTTTTTGTATATCAAAATAATAGCATATAACAAACAAAAAACTAGCCAAAAAAAGTAAAAGCAAGAAATAGATAGGAAAACTTCAAATAATTTTTACCATTTAAATAAGAAAAAAACAAGCTTTTTAAAAATAGATGAGTAGCTTTTTAAATGCACAAACTCCAATAGCAGTTAAAAATAGATTTTCTAAAAATCTACTATCTGCTACTTCATACTAAACAAACTTGCAGTCAACAGCAGCTTCATAAAAATGGAATAATTAAAGTTTCACTTCTACTCCTTAAGTCGGTAGAAATTTGAATGACAGTAGTATCTTTGATTCGCATGTTTAGAAGGATTTATTTAGCAATGGTATTAATGCCAGTTAACTGAAAAAAACTCTTGTGAATAGCAGTAATAATAATCCTCAGCGCTATTTCGCTGATAATCGTTTCCATGATAATGTTTAGATTCAAAATAGTTTTGGATTTGATAATTAGTAAATTAATAATAGAGGAAATCAATTAACAAGCCATTCTCTTTATCCAAACGCTTATCAAAATTAAGGAGCAGATGATTAATATAGAACTATAAATACTATCTTAAAAGTTAATAATAATTATCAATATGGCACAACAGCAGCTAATAATTAACAATATCCAAGATAGTAGGAAAACTTCAATTTGCAAGGGCAAAGCATATCTTAGTAAATGAATGCTTAATATTTAGCTTCAAAATCTCTTTAGAATCCTGCAAATAACATATTAAATTTAGGAATAAGCAGCTCAGCATAAATCAATTAATAAAACTAAACAAATGAAAATAAAGTCTTAAAGCACATAAAAAACTAAGAGTTGCACTAAAATCAAAGATTAATTTCTACTATGAGAGAATAAGGATTTTTACAAAGCTAATAAAATGATGTTTTGCTAAATGAAGGGTAGACATTTATTCTTTCTTAAAAAAATGTAATAAATATTTTAATAGCCTTGATTACATTGGTAATAGTTTATGTAATTTACAGAATAAATTGCTTAGTTTTAAATACCTAGTTTTCTGCATTATCCTAATTGAAATATATTGGAGCTCTTTTGCTGTCAGTTGCATCCAAAAGCTTCATGTTTAAACGTATAAATTAGATTTTATTGAATTCACATGAACAAAAAATTAATAAATGAAATGATTGGCAATTTTGTTCATCTAACTTTGCAAATCTTTTTATTCGGGAATTTTTTGTATTTTTATTGCTTTTTTTTAATTTGAGGAACAAATAAAAATTTATATAAATAAATTTTATATAAAAATAAATAAAAATTTATATAAATAAATTTTATATAAAAATAAATAAATAGATAAAGCTCAAATAAATTCTAATTTCATAATATTTACTATAATTGGATTTTGCATAGACACACTTGCAATCCAATATTGTATAAATGAAGTAATTAATGTCTACTTTTACTAAAAGTTGCACATGGAAATCAAGTAATTTATTATCTTTGAAAAATATTTAAAGCTAGTTAAATTTTAATGCCAAACTTATTCAAATGATTGATTATCTATCTTTAATAAAATAGGTATAACTTCAAAGAGTATTACTTAATGGCTCTAAGCACAATCTGCTCTCTTTTCTTTTACATTAATGGAAATTATATTGAAAGAAACTAAATTCAAAATGTGAATAAGCAAATTAGAACTATTGTGTGCTAAGTATTCTCTGACACATTTAATAACATAATGGATTTGATTTAAATATGCTTGCTTCCTATTTTTATTGCTTATTTGGGAATATTTTTAAATGGAGAAAAAGTAGCTAGTCTCTTCTCTTCTAAGTATGAAAATCAAATGGGAGTAACAAAAAGTTTAGTCTTAATCTATATCCTCACCTTATCCTAAACTTTCCTCTTCAAGATATGCTCCGAGTTAATTATTAATTTGAACTCCCAATATATTTGGAATTTCCTCTCAGAAATTCACGAGACTCATTAAATCTAGCATTTCTATTTTATCTTCGCTGATCAAAAGTTAAATGATGATTATTTAGAAGTATGTTTCTTCAAACTTATTTATTTTTAAAAATATTTTATCTAATAAAAATTTAGCTTAAGGCTTTAAAGTTCTGGCAATCTAACTATAACAACAAATAAAGAGTCAATATTTTAAGAAATATCAGCATTGAAGGATAAAAAATATAAGTAATATTATTTTGTAATTAAATAAAATAAACTAAATAATATTAATCAAAATTATTAGATTTGGAATGTTTTTCTGAGATACAGCTAGTCACTTAAAGAGCGTTTTAGCAACTTTAAAATAAATAATTTTGGAATTTTTGAAAATAGATTACAAGTAGTACAAAACACACCCAAATAATTCATATACAAATTTGGATATTTATTGAGAAACTTTTAGGTTTTATATGCCTATTTATCAGCTTATTCAGAATTATTGTTTTTACTTGATATGGTTACCTATTCAATTTAGAACTTAACTAACACTGTACTTGTCTACAACAATATTTCTGAATATTAAGAGATGTTTTAACAATCTTACTCACTTGAAATTATTTCTGATTTTATGGTAAAATTTTCAAAATAAAATGTTAAAAATAAATTAAATTTATTTTAAAACTCAAAATAGTCTGCTGTTTTCTAAGACTTAATTGAACTCTAAGGAGTTATAGAAAAAGACAAAAAATTAGCCCTTGCTTAGAAATGTAATTTATTTATTTATTATTTGTGAACTTAATTATTAATTTTCTTTTTTAATTTTTCTTAAAGAGCTTCTAAGTAGTATATCTACATTAAATGAAATCTCAAAAGATAAAAAGCTATTTGGCGTAACAATTAATCGTATACTTAAAAATTCTGAGTCATTTTATTAATCAGACAACTGAAACTGATTGGCTAATTGTTGGTTGTTGGTTGTTTAGAAAACTCTAAATTATTTTATGTTTCAAGAAGAACTAATCTATTTTAACATTATTAATCTTATTGTTTGTATTATCTATCTATTTTATTTATAAATTGTCTTATACTTTTTTATTAAAATATTCTTAATCATACTTAAAAAAATAAATAAGTTTATATATAAATCATTTAAAAACACTTCTAATTCTATTTTCTTATTCCAGAAAAATTTATTATTAAATGAGTCTACCTACAAAATATAATTAATTGTTTATTATTTTCTAGACGGATAGACGCTTCAGTTTTTATCAAAATAATATTCAGCTATTTTATAACAAATAAGTTATAGATAAACATAATAAAAGCATAAGAATAAATTATAAGAATTGGTTTTGACTTCAAATTTGTAAATTTTCTTATAACTACTAATGATGGTTGTTTTTTTTATAAAAAAGCTATTTTATAAATTGAATTAAAATATTTAATTGATTAATATTTTACATTTATTCATTTTTAATTTTTATTTAGTTTTAAATCAGTGGTAGAAAACAATTTTTTAATATGATGTAAAATCTGATCATTCACTCCAACATTTACTTTATTTATTTATTAAATTTTGCAGAATCTTTTAAAAGTTTGTAGAATCTTTGAATAATAATAATATTAAATTTCGATCAAAACCATAAAGTAGAAAAACCAATCAAAAAAAAAGTAAATTGAATAATCTCATATAAAAAATGGCAGAAACTAACTAGGATTAATAAATGGAAACAAAGATTGAGGAATAAAAATAAAACTAAGATAAAAAGAAGACTAAATATTAGAAAAAAAATAAGAAAAATACACATCAAGAAGAATAGAAATAAAATAATTCTGAATAATAGGACGAATAAGAAGATAATAATTAAGGATTTAAAATATATCCCCATAAAGTAGATCACAAATTTATCAGTCAAGTAGATTTTGCATAATTTGACAAACTATGTAAATTTTTTGCTGCTTTTATCATTTTTTAGATTATCATATATTGAATGCATTACTAATTAATTATTTAATGAGTAGTTAACAGCGATATAGAGAAAGATCAACAAGAGGCAGTTCTTTATTTAAAAGCATTTGTAAAAGAAAAAAAGCCTACTCTTATTGTAAAAATATTTTAGCTTGTTAAGATTTTAAATTTAATATTTTTCTATCAATAAAATAAAAAATAAATAGAACTTTTTTGATATTTTCGATCACTATTTTAAGAAAGAAGAGAATAAAGGTTTGCTCGAAAAATCTGTCTTGAAAATGTTTACTATCTTAAAATGCCTTTCTTCTTTGCAAGCAAATTCCATAATATACAAGAGCTTTTTTTGTGTTATTCAACATAATTCTGTTAAAATACCTGATTAAGATAAATAATACATGGAAGAAATAACTTAAGCCTGGAAATACGTTCATACAGACTCTTTAAGTACCTTCCTCACGATCTTTGATATAACAAACTAAATTAAGAAAAAAGAGTAGCTTTTCTTTTAAATTAATATATTTTATTTAATTAATAAACTTACAAAATAGTGTTAGCTAAGAAGTTAAAGATTTGATTGTGTTATAAAAGTACTAAGAAGCAGTTAAAATAATATCCGTCTTTTCAAACTATACCAGCGAATTAGCTCCTCAATTAATTCACTCATTAACTAATAACAAAGATGCAAGCAAGGCTGCTGATATGATAAAATAATTTAAATTGAATCCTAATAATTTCCCAGAAGTAGAAATTAGACTTAAAAAAATGAGCATGAGATATAATTTGAGAACTTACAGCTGGGAGTTTGTTGCCGAACTTTTTAGAGAATAAAAAGATATTTTGGCTTATGCTGTAGAAGATCTTTTGTACAATAAATAATATAACGAAGCCTACTCAATTTTAAAATCTGATGAATAAATTATAAAATATGTCCATAAAAAGGAATCATTAGAAGCATTAAATGACCCTTCAATTAAATTTGAAGTTTTACCAAATAAACTCTACACAATGGATTACTTTAGTAATTTATTTTCTTAACATGATCTAACATTTCAGCAATTTTTTATAGATTTTTTATTATAATTTCTATTTATTTATTTTTGATTGATATAAAATTTAATCATCAATTAATAAATAGTATAAAATAATTATTTATTTTGATAAAATTTATAATTTATATTAAATTTTATTTTGAATTACTTTAAAAGGTCCTTAGTCTGAAAACATAGGTTTGGAACCCGAAGGAACTCATTTAAATTTATCTAAAGATTTTGGCATAACAAGGGATAAAGTATTTTTTATAAATAATGTAAAAAGCTAAGATTTTGAATTTGCAAAGAAAGAATTAGAAAGTGCTAAATAAATAGGTTTAGATGGTGAATTTAGACCTGCTGTAACAAAATTAGATAACAATTCTTAATCACTTGCATTGTTGCAGCTTGCAACTTAAAACTACTGCTTCTTGTTTGATCCTATGGCGTTAAAAAATGAAAAAGAATATGAATTACTTTAATAAAACATTTTCTAAAATCCTAATATTTTGAAAGTAAATAAATATTTTTTCTTTACGAATAAATTTTGATAATTTTTAAATATAATTTATTAATAAAATTTTAATTATTCCTTTATTATAAAAGCATATTAAATTAAATAAATTTAAATAAAAATTAGATTGGGCATACAATATCTGGGGATATCAGCATGGTAGCATCATAATTAAATGGATAACTAGTAAAATTTTATTTAAAAAATATATGGATATTAAATGATATTAATAATAATAATAATAATAATAATAAAGAACTTTAAAGGTAGCTTAGACTTGGCAAAGCTCCACAAAGTTAAAAACCCTGAATAAAAATAGAGCTCTCTTTCTTTTATAGCAAAATTCTAGTTAGGTATATTTTATTTCAGTTTTTTAACTTGTTGAGATAACTGCTTTCAAAATTTTTATCAAATTATTAAAATTTTAATAGATTTGTTATTGTTAAATTTTATTTTTAAACATAAAGGAAAAGCTTTATGTAAAGGCGAACAGACTTCTAATTGGTCATAAAGACCTTTGAGAGAAGCTTAAATCCACTATGGCGCCTTAGATGCATATATATCAATAGCCTTATACAACAAATACATTGAATTATATGGCGAAAAGGTAATTTTTTAATCAAAATAACTCAACAAAAATTAATTATTAATTTTAATTAAAAAATAAAACTGTTCTAAAATATTTGTAATTTAAAAAAAGGATTTAAATTAATTTGTTGAAAGGATTTGAGATACACAAAATTTTTTAATGATAGAATCTATATTTAAAATAAAATGTATTAATATATATATATATATAATACTGATATTTTATTTTGTCGTCTTACTTTAGAAATTTTTCAAGCTGATTAGTCAGCTTTTATTGTGCGAATTTAAGCCAAAAATTTGAATAATTCTTTTATAAATGCTGTATATTTTTACGCTCATATATTTATATATTTGAATTTTAATAAAATCAAAATAATTCAAGCACTAAAAATAAATTCAGGTTTAAATTATCATAAAAAATCTATATTTTTAACAGAGAGAAAAAAAACCAAAAAGAATGATGTGTTTACGAAATAGAAACATAAATATTTGATTTTAAAAATAATCATTTTAATGCAAACTTTAAGAATTTAAATTAAGATAATAAATAAATGCTATTTGTTTTAAGTTTTATATCAAGTTTTTTTTGAAAATCTTTATATTTATTATTCTTACTCACAAAAATAGGTATTATGGCTTTCAGCTTTTGCTTTTGCTTATGCTTAAAATTATCTATTTGCTTATAATGATTCTATAGCCTTTGATTGTTTTCTCAGTTAATAATAAATAAATTGAGATTGAACGCTATCTGTTTATTAATTTAATTCTTATTTAGAAAAAACAAACCTGACTGATACTTGCCTTAATTGAAGATATATCCAGTTATCAAAATTAACGCACTATAATAATTAATTTTTTTTGACAAAAACAATAATTAACACAAATACGAAATTGCTAATAAGTATGCAAGACCAAAATAGTATCGTTTTAATAGATGAAATAGGGAATATAGACAATTAGTCAGATGAGCAATAATTATAACAAAATTCTGATGATATTCATGATGAAACATAGGAAATTATTGAGGAAATACAATCGCCATTTGAAAATGATCCATGTATGAGATCAATTTAAATCATAAAAACTCAATCGTATCAAAATAATAATGATGATTTAGCCTTTGTGGTTAATGAGTTGGAGCGGTTCGATCACATTTTATAAATCAAAGGCGAAGAAGGATATGAAGATTTATTAAAACAATGCATTTAATACCTTCATTATGAATTTGTACCTAAAGGGAAATTCTTATTTCATTACGGAGACATTGGAGAAAAATTCTATTTTATAGCTAAAGGAAAAGTAATCTTACCTTTATTAAACTAAATAACTAAAAAGATAAATATTTGCTTATAAATTAACTCAAAATTATTTGGAAATATTGACAAGAGTTTTATAAAAATATGATTCATTCAGAATTAACTTCAAAATTTTATAATTTAAACAATTATTTATCATTTTTTTTATTGATTCTCAGTTATTCTTACTATCTTTGTGAAAGAACCATACTGGGAATTGTAAGTAGATAAAATTTTGTGCTGGTTCTAAATTTAATAGAAAATTAAGAAATAACAAGAACCACAAATTTAAAAGCAAAAATACAAATTTTAATTTTTTTTTTTTCCCTCAAAATACAATTTTGCTAAGATTTAATATTTTTAAATTTATAAAATTAGGTAAGCATTCATGTACCTCGTCCGAGCAAAGAGATTTTTAAGTAGGAATAAAATTATTAATTAAGAAAATACTGGGGAGACTAATTAGATAATCAGGCTCTCACTGCAAATGAGAGAGAGACAGCCAATTTACATTACTAAAGAGCAAGACAAAAAATCATCAAGTATTTAGAGAAGTATGAGCATGAAAAATTCTTTAAAAAAATGTAGAGTGGCCACCCTTCCAACTAAAAAATTTTCAATAAGTACTTTCATCCTTAATATAAAAGCTTTGGCTTTTATAAATAAGTAAATGAGCTTAAGGAAGGATAAAGCTTTGGTGAAGTGGCGACTATTTCTAGAAAGCTTAGAACTGCCTCAGTTTTTGCTGAGGAAGATTTACATCTGTTCTATATGAGAGGAAGCGACTATTTGGCTATTTTCTAGCATTAGCTTTATAAGCTTAACTTCATCCTAAAGAATTTAGAAAAATATTTTGAAAATTTATCCAAAAAGCAAATTCTAGATTTAAGTTATCTTTTCGAAGCTTTTGAACACACTCTTCATCTTAATTAAATTATATTCAAAGAGGGCTCAGAGCGTTAATATATATATTTAATAAAATCAGGTTCAGTAGCATTTAAAAGTTCTAAAGGAATAAGCTTAGGCATAATAGGCGAGGGAGAATTTTTTGGCTTTGAGAATAAAAAGGGAAATTAATCTTCAATTATTAAAGAAAAACACTACTTTAGTGCTGTTTGCATAGGGAACGGGACAACTGTCTATCGATTAAAATTGTAACTTCTAGAAGAAGAAGAATTTTAACCCGCTTTAAAAGAGTTTGGTATTAAGGGATTTTAAAAAGCTGAATATTACTCAAAGCGTGCTATACACTGTTAAAATATATTTGATTAGAACGAAGCCAATAATCCTTTTAATTAAGAGCTTCAAATGTATAGCGAATTCGCAGCTAAATCCTAGTTCTAGAATGAAAACCAACTGTCTAAAGCAAAGAATCTCAGGAAATTAATGAACAAACTTTAAATACAAAGAAAATTTAACTAGTATTTAGAAGAAAATTTTTTATCCAAGAAAGCACAATCCTAACCAAATTTCGAATTGAGCAAAGTAAACTAAAACAGTACGAGCCCTAACTTAAATGAATTTGAAAGCAAGAGCACCTTTACAAATTTAAATGACTAATTGATCCTTTAAAAGAATCAATCAGTAGCTGATTCTGGTCACATCAGTAATTAAAATAATAATAACGATAACCAAATTCAATCATTGTTCAGCATAGATCAAATAGGTGTGCTTAGTTATAATTCTAAAAAACCAAATTCTGCATCTCAATAAAAATCCTACAATTAACTAAATAATAACAATAATAATAATCAAGATATTGGTGAAATTTAACACTTTTAATTTATCTCTAAGGAGGAATTTGAGTAAACTAAGAACAATATTATAAAAGAATAGGAGAAGCTTAGAGCTAGAAAGCCATAACATTTTGTGCCGCAAGAACTAGCAGATAATCCTCTTGCTAAAAAAATATCTTTAAAATACGTAAGCTCTTCTTCATTGGTTACACCCTAATCCAATGCAGGAACTAATAAAACACCTCCCTAGCTATCAAGTTTTTTTAATCAACAGCAATAACCTTCATCACCTTTAAAGAGCCCTTCATCAGTATCTTCTCCTTATAAAAATCCTCCATCTCCCTATAAAAATATCTCTTCGCCTTCTAAAAATCCTTCTTCTCCATAGAAGAGCTTATCACCATAAAAAAGTTAATAGAACTAGATATTCTCATTTTTTCCTTCACAAATAACAGTTTAAAATACTAGCCCTACTGCGACTACTACTGCTAATTTAGGTAATGCTGCTGCTACTAATTTAGGTTTAACCTAATCTTAGTAAAATAACTCTATGACTAACAGTAGTAATTTTGCTCTATAAAATAATTCTGTCAACTCCCAATTGTAGAAAAAGGTTTTTAAATTACCCCTAAACAAACGAATGTCTGTAGATAGTTTAGCACATAATGCTTTATTAGCTGAGTAAGAGTAAAGAAAAAATTATCAACAGCATAAATTGCATAGCGTCTACAATCGTAGAGAATAAAGAGGATCTATGATTATTTAATCAATCTAAATAACACCTAAACCTAGTGAGTAAAGAAATCCCTCATCACAAAAACAAAGAGTAAATTCTATTGAGGAAAACCATCCTAATTTTATGACCCCAAAGTAACTCTCAGATTCAAATAAGCCATCCTCAAATACAATATTGGGTAAAAAAATATCTGTATTCTCTGCTACTTAACCAGCACCTAGTATAAATACTTTCAGGTCTGCATCTTTTTTAAATTCTTCAGACAGAATAAACATAAATATCTATCAATCTCCATCAACTAAAACACCTAGCAAATCTCCTCTTTAAAACATGTTATTGAAATCTAATCATACAAACTCCACTATTAATCAAGCAAGCGAATTGTATAACCCTGAGAGATCTTAAGGTAATGTAGAAATAGCATCTAGCTTAAATTACTTAATTCCATAAACATATATAAATCAACAATACTAAGAACCAGATGAAGTCCTCTAAATATTTCCATAATCAGCTCGCCCTTCTTAAAAAAGTTTTCTTAACACATCTAATGTCAACTAATAAGATCAAGCTAACTGTATGAGTGAAACACTAAAAAAATTTAATTCAACTCACAACAAGATGTTTGACAAAAAAATTATAATGAATCTTGCAATAACTGATTTGAATTTCCCTCAAAACAACAAACCATCAATATAAAGTCTAACATTAAGAAGTCTCACTGATTTTAACCAACTCAAATCTAAAAGCATTTAAAACTCTTCAACCCAAAACCAGAATAGTCCGATTTTACATCCTTAAAGTGCAAATCATCGCCGTTCTCTATCACATATCCCTAAAAATTCTCCTCATGATTAATTCTCATCTCAAAAAACAGTATGTAAAAACAAACAATATTCTTAGCTGTTTAAAAAGAACAATGAATCTAAGAGCTTAAAAAAGAAATAAAAAATAATGCCTTTACTAATGAATGAATCAGAAACCCATGATAAATTAAACTAAAACAAAACTGATTTTAATATGAATAATTTGCAAATATCTACTTCTCCAAATAATACAGGATAGTAGCTATTCATCTAATCAAGTAAAACATATGGATTAGGAGGCTTCACTCAAAGAAAAAAAGTTCCTTCTTTGTTTAGTCCAAGTTTAAATTAGCAAAATTATTAAAAAGCTGATTAAGCCTACTTAAATAGTAAAAATCAAAATCAAAAGACAACTGCAATTAATTTGCTTTCTCCAACTGTCTCCTAATCAACAAGGTAAATTTAACAAATGCCGTTCTGTTCCATCAAATAATTTCTTGAAGGAAACGAAAACATAAATCAATACAAATATGATATTTTATTTAACTAATAACAAAAGAATAATTGAACAAAAATTCACATATAAATTTAATTAAAAATTAATAAATATTTCAACAAAATTAATAAATATATTAGAAATAATAATGCAAAATTGCATATTTCATCTATCTAATCTACTTTAGTTAAAATAAACTTTCAAATTATTTTCTTAATAATAATTTTATTAATTTCATTGTTGTTAATATCTTCATTCAAATTAATTAAAAAAATATATCAGTTTGTGGGTGAAAAAATTTCTATTATTTAAAATTAAATTGATTATATTATGTATAATGGTCAAGAATAAAAATTATATATATGTGTTTTAAATTAAATTAAATAAGAATATACAAATTTATTTTTCCATTTAAATTTTTTTTTGGTTTATTTTTTTAGATGTTAAAAAATTTTATCTATTTTCTAATTAACAGCTTCTAAAATAACAAAATAATTATTAAAATTAAGAGTTAAATATATGAAAAATTTATTTTTCTTTTTTGCAACTTATACAAATAATTTCTTTTTTAAAATTAAAATAATTAATAAAATTAGTAAATTATTTTTATTACTTTTATTTTATTGCTTAAAAATATTTTGTTTTCTTAAAAGAATTTAGCAAATTAGCTAGTTAGTTAGTTGATATTTACTTTAGCTAGTAAAATAGAATTTAGATATAGGATAAATTTTATTGTAAGATACTAAAAAATAATAGATGCACAAATATAATTTTTAATTAATTTAGATTGCAAAAATTTAATTAATTCAATTCAAACTAATTTATTAAGCAAACCAATTCTGCCAAAATATTTGAACAAACTCATATTTAAAATATGCTTTAACATAATAAAAGTGACAATAAAATGAAGAAAGATATTCCAGATCTTACTGTATATTTTTAAAAATAGTTTTCTTAAATATCAAAAGAAATCATTTTGTTATGCATTTAGATTAATATTTAATTTTAAATACTAATTTTAGCCAGACGAGGAAATCAAGCAAATAAAAGAGTATATTTCTCAGGTTTTTTTCAAAGAAAATGAAGATAAATAGATTAAATAATAGCTTTTAATTGATATTGAAGAACTAGATAAGGATGATATGAAGTTGGATGGAGATTTTTACTTCCATCTTTACAATATTTATCAAAAAATATTTAGTAGATAATAATAGAATTTGAAGGAGTTTAAAGAATTCTCTACCAAAATTGAAGATTAAAGAAAATAAATTGAAGATAAAGACCAATAAATAATTAAAATTTTAGATGAACATACTTCTTACAAGTTAGATGGAATCAAATCTAACTTATAGCTGATAGATTAGCAATTCATCTAATTAGAAAAAGAGTTTAATACTACAAAAGAAGATTTAGATGAACATGTTAGCTAGATTTGCTAAACTGTAGAAAAGACTAAAGATGATTTTTATAAAAGCATAGAAGGTGCAAATCTTTATTTAAAGACCAATAAGGATTATGTTTAGTAAATTAAAGATGAATAAGAGGCTAAAAAATAAAAAATATAAGAGTACAAAAGATAGCAAGATGAGATTAAAAAAGAAATGAATAAAACTGAAAAAATGCTTGATAATATTTGTTAATAAATGTCTGCTAAGGCTTCTGAAGAAACTTAAAACTACTAATTAGAATAAAAAAAGAGAGAAAATTAATAACTGCAAGCATAACGTGAAAAATTGGATGAGCAGCTTTCTAGAAAAAGATTAGAATTTTAAAATCTTATAAAAAGTGATGAAATAGTACAAAAAAGACAAGCATGGATTACATAAGAAGTGGCATATAAATTTGTCAAAGGGCGCTAAAAAGAACAACTTAAAAATGAATATGAAAGCTTGCTTACAGAATATAATTAATTGCGTGAAAAGGTCTCAACAACTTAAAGCAATATAGCTAAAATTAACTAAGAAACTGCTTTATGTAGAAGAAAAAGAGAGTTATAGACCTATGTCAATCTATTTTTACTATTCATAATTATAATCATTTTGTTTACTTTCCTCTACAAATTTTATTGAAGTATTTACATATTTATTTAGGTTTTTAGTTATACGTTTAAAATAAATTTAATTAGTATTACTTAATGTTTAATTATCTCAATACTAATTTTTGATTAAAAATAGTTTTTTCAGTTTAAATAAATTAATAAATATGATTTAATTAATTTTAACATTATTTAAGCACTCAAAATTATCTTTTAAATTAATATTGAATTTATAAAAAAATATTTCAACATAACTAAACTAATTTATTTGTTTGTTTGTATCTAACTAATTTCATAATTGCAAAGCATAAAAATTATTGATAATTTTAAGTTTTAAATATGGTTTCAATCAATTTATTTAGTATTTATTCATTATTTTAACCAATTTTTAAAATGAAAAAAATATTTAACTTTTTATTTTTTTAGATAGATAGATAGTTAGATAGATCTTTAAATATTTCAAAAAAGTAAATAAAGCAAAATACAATTTTGATTCTTTGTTTATTTAAAATCATATTTTGAAAATTTTAAATAAATTTAAAATGCAAAGTAAATTCAATTAAATTTTTTTCATCAGTATAGCTAAAAATAAAGTATCTTAAAATATATTGAAGTTAAATGTGAGTTATAAAAAAATTTAAATGAATTTATAAAACTTAAAAGTAAGCTTTTTTATTTTTATAATAATCACATTAAAAATTAATTTATCTCCTAAAAGTTCATTTTTAATTAAGATATTCATTATAATAAAACAGAGCGTAAATTAAATTATTTTGAATTTAGAGTAGAAAGAAAGAATAAATAATTAATTTTCTGTTTACTTATATTTATTTATTGAAAAAAAGAGTTTGTTTTTAATTAATTATCAAAATCAATAAATTGTATTACCATAAAAAACTAAATTTCCAAAAAATAAACTAAATATTAAAAATGAATAAAATTATACTTAAAATACCAAGATAAGAATTAAAATAAGCAATTGATAGCGAGGTTAATCAATAATTACTTAATCAACAACAACAATAGTAAGTAACAAAATTCAACATATACCTTAATTAAAAAGATTCTACATCTAAAAAATCTGATAACTCGTCAGCTAGATAAAAAGAAGGAGAAGTAGAACTAGATGGTAATATCCTTGAAAGCTCTAATTCAGATAGTAAATGTAATTATACTAATTTAAAAAATGAAGAAGAATAATAATAAGAAGTAGATGAAGAATAAGAATAAGAATTAGAAGAGGAAGAATGGGAGGAATAAGTAAAATAAGAAAAAAATAACCAGTATAATTAGTTATTAGTAAATCAATAACAGCAGTATGTAAGAAAATGCAGGGTAAACGTTTTTAAATCTGCAACATCTGAAAAATCTTATGAAGAGTCAGATGAGTAAGAAGAAGAACAAGAAGAAGAAGTAATAGATATTACCCTTGAAAGCTATGAATCAGATAGTAAAATTAATTATGATAATTTTGAAGAAAAAAATAAAAAATAAAAAACTTGATCTAAAATAAAAGAAGAAGAATCATAATATCTATAATTTGAGGAGGAAATAAGATTATCAGAAATTGAAAATCCTAAAAGTGAAGAAAAGTGTGATGAAATAAAAAGCTAAAATAGTGATTTAGGTATTAACAAAGGGTGTAAAAGTTAAAAAATAACAATCACACAAAGAGTAAATAATCGGTATAAACTAATTTAATTTTTATTTTTGAAATATTAATGGTAATCAATAAAATTCAATCTACCAGTATTATTTATTTCTGAACTCATATTTCAAAAAAATTAATAAAACAATAACTAAAATTGTTTTAACTAAGGTCCTTATTTTAGGTAAATTTTCTTTTTAATTGGCTACTTAAAAAGAGGGTAATATTTATATTTATATTTACATTTTATTGTTTATTTTTTTAGGTTTTATTAAGTTGTATTTTATTGAGAAATTTTTTGAAATTAAATTAACACTCTATTAAAACCTTTTAAATATAAAAACATATCTAATAACTTTACTAAAGAGATCATTTCTATCTAATTTGCTAAAAGATATCTTAATACTCAAATTTGGAAGAACTATCACTTCCGTTTAAGTAAAATTTTTCATATTAATATTTTAGTAAGAAAATTATTAAAAAATGTTAAGTATCTTGGATCATAAAGAATTCCATAAAATAGCAAAGGTGCTTATAAAATTAAATTAACTATCTCTTCTTAATTTTAGTTATTAAGAAGATACTGTTTATATTTTAGATAAAGTATGCTAATAACTGTTAGGACTCTTAAATTATTGCTAAAAACATATTAAATTTAGATTAGGTTTAAGGTATTTAACTATATTTTATTTTTATTACTTCAAAAATGAAAGAAAATTTTTAGAACTTTGTTAGTTTGAATTATTTCAAAAATATTTTTATTTTATTTAAATAAGTAAGATTTCAATAAAAAATATTTTTTATAAATAAATTTTTCTTTTAGCTTTTGGTGTTTTCCAAATTTTAATATGAAATCGTGTTCTCAATTAAGAGTCTTGCAAAATTTAAATTTACTAAATATAGATGTGATGTAATTTTTCAAATAAATTATTAATTAATTCTATTTAAGCTTGCTTTTCTTTAGATTTACATCAGTAAAAAATTTAGTTTATCTATTTTAAAATTACTAATTATGAATAAAAGGGATAAAATATTTAATAAAAAGGATTCTTTTGATTTTGATTTAAAAGAATTGCTATCTAAATGTGTCAATCTATAGAAATTACATCTTAATTTGATGTAATCATTTTATGATTAAAATTTATTTAAACTTGAGCTTAATTAATATTGTTAATTATTTTAAATAGAGATCATTAAGCAAGCCCATCAATATTAGGTTAAGGTTTAGAAAAATGCGAGTAACTGATATCTTTGAGAGTTTAATTCGCAAGCTTAGAGTATTGGCCAAGACCGTATAAAATATTTCATAAATTAAAATTAAAATTAAAAAATAAATTTTATTGAAAAGGATAAGTGGGGTAGATTAATTCTTTAATAGTTTAACTAATTGTAGAAATCTTAAAAATTTGCATTTGGAATTTTCGTAAAGAAAACTTTATCTTTTTATTTAACTTTTAACAATTAAATTCAATTTATTATTTACTCTTTTAATTAAAATACAAAATAGGATAAGCTAAATTGATTTATAGGATTTGATAAAAGGATTATAAAAATAACAGTAGTTAGTCACTTTTAGGTTATTGTAATTTTTTTATTTTATTTTATAAAAGTTAAATCATTTAAAAACTTTTTAATTTGATAAAGATTTATTTAAAATGTTTAAACTATTAAATAAAAGTATTTGTTAGGAAATATGTACAGACTTGGTCTAATCGCTTGCAAAATTAAAAAGATTAGTTTGTTTTAATTATGATAATGAATAGGAACCAATAAAAGAAACTTACAATGACACTTAGGTTTTTGGTTATTATTTAAAATAAAAAATTTGATATTGTAATTAATTAAAATTTTATTAAATAACAAAACCATTTAGTTTGTTTTTATTTGCTATACATACAATACAAACAAAGCAATCAAAATGAATTTAATTGTTATTTATACTATCATTTTTTACTCTTTAAACATATTTATTAATAGAAATATTTTTACAATTACAGCAATATTTAACCACTCAAAATAATCTTTAAAAAATATAACTGAATTTATGTATAAAATACTTTGATATTTTAAAATTGATTTTTATTTAGAATTTGTTTAATTTATTGATACTAATATAATATTTCAGTATATACATATATTGGACACTAATATAAAATTTTAGCTTATAAACACTTTACCATATTTCATTAATTATATGGAAACTTTATTCATTTTAAAGTTTATGGACACTAATCTTTATTTTTAATTATTCACTCACTCACTCATTCATTATAAATAAATGAATCCTTGAAAAATATATTTCAAAATTAATTATTTCAATTTTGGAATTTTTCTGAAAGCAACAAGCATTTAGAATGAATGAATTTAAAACATCCAATTATATCATTTCTTATTCTTCTAGATTATTATCAAACAATTTTACTAAAAATGTAAGTGCTATTCAATGTTTAATAGTAAAAAGAATGTTTTTTCTAAGATTTATTTTATATTTATGTGAGAATAATTTTATTTTTTTTGTATCTATGAGGAAAAATTAGTTGAGGTAAATAAGAGTAATTAATTGCTCAGGTATTTTGTTATTTTTTTAGATTCTGTAGATTTTTAGCGTTCCAGTATTAGTTTATAAAAATATTGAGTTGAATAAAAAAACAAAAGTTAGCTATTAGTTTTTTTCAAAGATTAACTTTTTAAGGCAGTTAACTTAATTCTTTTATGTCTATTAAAATTAATAAATAAAGATATATATCAATAACTATTTTAATTTTTCTTTAAAAAATACTTCAAAAAAGCTCAAACAAAATTAAATTTTATGTCATTTTAACCACAATATGAAGCTGTTAATTTAATCTATGTATTAATAAAATTGAAATTGTAAAGAATATGATAGATTTATTATATTTTTAAAAATAAATTTTAAAGAATTTAAGCTTTATGCTGCTTTTAATTAGTATACCATGCAAAAAATAGCAAAAAAGCAAAAGTTTCTTTTGTTATTTTAAAGTGACCTAAATTATGGATATAAATTTATTAAAATTCATGCATTCTAGTTTATTTTGTGGGGATAATTTATATTACTAAATTAATTATCTTTAATTTTTATTCATATGAGGATATTAATTTAAGGTAGGATATAAATTATATCGTTTGTTTTATGATATTAGTTCTATTTTATTTAACAGAAAGAGCTTTGATTAGTGATATCTGATATATTCTAATTTATTATATGGGTTCAATATTTACCATCGTTTTTTTAATCAAAAAATGTGAGTCGACCAATTTATTGTTATTATTAAGTTAGAAAAAAATCAAAAAAGCAAATATATCTATCTATGTATTAAAATTAACTGATTAAATTTTAATTTTTTTAAATTAACCATACAATTTTTGTCATTTTTTAATGTTTTGAATTAAGTTAATAACTATTTTTAATATTGTACTACAAGTTAGATAGCATCCATAAATTAACTGCTTGATTTTTAATTAAAAGATAACCTTATACTTCACTTAGTTTTACTGTGCTTACTTTAATTTCAACATTTGTTCTAGCAGATGATTGTTCAAAACTGTAAAAAAATTGAACAACTTTTATAATTAATTTATATTTCATAAAAAATAAATTCAATCAATAATCTCTCTAAAATACAAAAAAAATGACAACATAGGAAACAACATTTGATCAAAGTGAAGTAAATAAATAACTACTTTTTATTTATTAATAAGTCTATTTTTTACTAAAATAAGTTTTTGAGTTCTGATCTATCATCACACTAGAAGGTTAACATACAAATAGGGTAATTTAAATGAATAATAATATTAATGATTTGAGATTATTTTTTCAACTTCCTTGTTTAGATTTATTTTTATATTTTTTTACTACTTCTACTGATAATTATTTATTTTCTTCTGTTTTAAGTTATTTAATGAGTATTTTGATAAACTTTTTTATTTTTTTTTGAATATTAACTTATGCTTACTAAAATAACTAGTTACCTATACAATCTTGAAAATGGTGACATAGGCACTGCTTTGGGTAATTGTCATAATCTCGAACATTTGACTCTTAACCTTGAGTAAATTAATCTATTATAAAATAAACACAATTTTTATTTAGTGTTTTTCTCATTTATTTAGGAATGTATGCTGTTTGTTAATTTGCTTATTTTATTATAAGAAAGAAAAAACTCTTTGATAATTTTTTTTACTCTTTTTTTCATAAAATTAAAAAATCTTTAAAAATATAAAAAAGACATAACAAGATGGATGCTACACAAATAGAATCATTAGCATCTAATTTAGCGAAATGCGAAAAACTTTCATATTTAGATCTAAATCTTGAGTAAATTTAGTTATATTATTTTAATTGTTAATTAATATATTTATAGCTTAATTAAGATTTTTCTTATTTATTTATTTTCTTCAAATAATTAACATTTAATTTTAAGTTTTGATGTACTTACTTCTCTTCTTTTTTAAAAATAGGTGCACTAAAATAAATCCATAAGGAGCTTCATAATTGATTTCTGAATTAGCAAATCTCAAAAACCTTTAAACTTTAATACTCAATTTAAGGTAAAATTATTAATTTAGATATTTATTTTTTATTAGCTTTTTTAGAAGTTAAAATCATTTTAAACATTTTAGTTTTTTTTTTGTTATTTCATTAAAACTTTCATTAATAAATAGAAATAATGAATTTGATTCAAGCAGTCTTACTGAAATAAGTTCCGCATTAAAAAAATGCACTAACCTCACTGAATTATCACTTGATTTCTAGTAAAAATAATTTACTTGTTTTTCTTAAAATGATTTCATTTATTTCAGATAAAATTAAAAAGAAAAATAAGCAAGCCACTTTATTTATTTATTTATTTATTTATTTATTTTATTTGTTTAGATTATTATTAACTTTGAATTAATTATTTGGATAAAAATTTAATTTCTTATTTAACTTAAGTAATAACAAGATAAGATAAGAGGGTGCTATATAATTGGGTTCAGCTTTAAAACACTTAACTAATATCATAAGTTTTTCGCTCAATCTTGAGTAAACATTTAAAATTTCATTTTTTTCATTTTTTAATAGAAAATATTCAGAGCTAATTAATGGAAAAAATATATTTTTCTCATTTTTAATGTTGAGTTGATTGCGACAAAAATTATTTATCTTCTATTTTTAATACTTTGACTTAAGTCATTTTCTTTTTTAAATAGAAATGATTATATTTAAATTGCTATTTTAATAGGGAAAATTATATTTATGGTGAAGGTGCTGAAGCATTAGGATAAGCTATCGAAAACTATGAAAATCTTTAAAATTTGACTCTCAATCTTGAGTATATTTCTAATAAATATTTACAAAATTAATTAAATCTATTAAAAAAAATCATTTTACTTACTTTATATTAGTTTTAAACTAAGTTTTTATTTTTATAGATTTTTGCTTAAATTTTTCTCTGTATTAAAATTAATAATTTTTAAATCTAAATTATTAATAGTAAAAATCAGATCTACCCAAAAGCTACAGCTGCTTTATGTACTTCAATAGCCAAGTGTAGTAAACTCACAAATTGGATATTTTCTATCTCGTAAAAAATTTGATCTATCTTTTGAAAAATTATTTTATAACTAAAAATTTTTAATGATTAAAAGATATAATTTTATTGATGTAACTGGTGCAAAAGGTATAGGGTATACTTTAGAAAATTGTCCTAATATATAAAAAGCAACTATCAACATCACGTAAAAAATTAAAAATTATGTTAACTTACTACATTTATCATTAATCTCAATAAAAGTAAAAAAAAGATCCATCCCTTCTATATTTTTTTTCAACCATTTAAATTAATTTTTGTTGTATTTATTTCTGCTTCTTTGATAAATTGAACTAAAAAATTGAATTATTATTTTAGAAATAATGGTCTTCATATAAAAGGCACAGAAGCTCTATGTTCTGGATTATAAAAAAGCACCAGTCTCACATAGCTTAGTCTCAACATTAGGTAAAAATAAAAAATTTTATTTTTACTCTATTCCTTATGATAATGAATATTGGATAAATCAAAAATTTAATTTAAATATATTAAAAGCTCTAACGATATTGGCTCTGGTGTAGAAAGTTTAGCTTCTGCTTTGAAGATTCTACCTAATCTCGACTATTTGTTTCTCAACCTCAAGTAAAAATAATTTATCTCTTTTTTAAACTAATAAATAATTTTTAATTTGACCATAGTTAAAATGACATTGGTTCGTATGGTGCTAAAATTTTAGCCAACAATTTGAGTGAATCCTAAAGTCTTAAAAGTTTATATGCAAGTATCTGGTAAAATAATATTATTAATGAGCGCTATTTTTTAAATAAAATAAGAAGAAAAAAATTTTTAAATTAATACGTTAATTTTTTTAAGAGTCTTTTATCTATTTTATCTTTTTGATATATATTAAACTATCTTTTTTTGTATTTATTATTCTTTTTTAATGAAATTATAAGGTATAATAATGTTAGTGAGAGAGCAGAATTTGATATGAAGGAAACACTTTCGAAATTATCATCAGTATCTATTTCAAATTTCTAATGATCAATCAATTTAGTTAGATTGATCCTAGAATTACTTTGTTCATAAATAAGATTATTTTTTAATGCTTTATAATATGAATATTAAACAAATAAATAATTAAATAAAAATATTTAGTAAGTATTCTTTTTTATGTAAGAATGAATGTTTTTTAAGTAATTTTACTAAAATTATTTTTGATTCAATAAAAATTATATACTGAGTAATACTTAAATTTATTTTTAATTTTTATTAATTAGTATTTAAATTTTAATATAAAATTTACCTAACTTTTAAATAAATTCTTCTTTGTATTATATCATTTTATACGAATTGAGAAATTGCAGTACTTAGAGAAGAAGATTAATTATATCATGCAAGACATTTTTTATAATTAATTAAAGTAAAAAAAAATTGTTAATTTAAACTCTTAAAATGGATGGGATTAATTTTTTTAAGTCTATTAAATTTTAGTAATTTTAATCTTTAAACGGAATTAGCAGTTCCTAAAAATAAATTCTTTTATTTGATGATTGATGAAGAAGAAAAACAAACCAATACTTTATATTAATATATTAATTTTGGTTATTTAATCGAAAGATTTTATAATAAATTATTTAGATTCACATTAAATAAATTCGTATTATTAAAAAATAGGTACTTAAAATGGCCAGCAGAATATAATCTCTCAACAATTAAATTAACAATAAATAAAAGCTATTAACAGCTGTTACTTCAAGCAATCTTCCTTAACCTATTGCACCTTTTTCCCATGCAGTAGCCATTAATGCTAACTCTAAATTGCTATTTGTTTCAGGATAACTCTCTCGTGATCCTAAATCTGGAAAGTTTGTTCATGCAGATAATGTCGCTCTTTAAACTGAACAAACATTAATCAATCTAAAAGAAGTTTTAAAAGCAGGTGGTAGTGATTTACAGTATGTAGTCAAATGCACTGTTTACCTCAACGATATGGCTCATTTTAACCAAGTTAATGAGGTATATGGTAAATTCTTTAATACTGATGTAAAGCCTGCCAGAGCATGTTTTGCTGTAAGAGAATTACCCGCTGGAGCTAAAGTAGAAATTGAATGTATTGCTGTTGTCCCATGATTTTCAAAATTCATAAAATTAGTTATGCTCATGTAGTTAAATGTTTTATATTTATTTAGTAGTATAATTTTAGTTTTATAAATTTCATCATCAACATCAATAAGAATAGTCACAGTATTATTTGTTTTAGACTATTTATATTAATTTTGTAAATTAAGAAAAGTAAATCTTCCAAGTAATTAATTTCATCAAAAAAGATATTCATAATATAAAAAAAATCATTAAAAAATTCATTATATTAAATAGGTGAACTTATTTGATTGATAGATAATGATTTATTTTTTTATTCAATCACAACAGAATTTTAGTTTGTAATATTACAATTTCTTTAAAAATTATTTTTTAGAATGCATATAAGTTAGTTAAAAAAAATTATCTAGCTTAACTCTTTACATAATTTAATTACGATATTAACATTATTTTATTCTAATATTATGAATATTTTTATTACTAAAACGAGTCAAATATTTTCTAAATATTAATATTAAATAAATGTTTCTGTTTAAAATTAAGCATGCTCAAAAATAATTAAAAAATATGATAAGAAGATTTAACTAAAATTTAAGATTTGAGTATGACAAAACATATTAAAGAAATGCTATGAATGTTATTGTATAACCTTTCTTTAAATATTTCAAAACCATTTAATAATGCATTTTATAATAAAAAAAAGTTAAAGCTAAATTTACTCTTAAATATTAAAATAATTCACAAAATAAATATTTATTGATTAATTTTTAAATGAAAATATAAATTTGAGTATTTGAATTATTAAAAGATTTAAGGATATGGTAATAAGTCAGTGTGGTTTGTTTATATGATTAATAGACTGAACGGCTTAAATTTTTATATTGAAATAAAGATAGATGCTTGCTTGCTTTTAATATGAAAAAAATTTTGAATGCTTGATTTATTGATTGATTGATAAATGAAAGATATTTTGAAATAAAATATAAATAAAATTATAAAAAGGAATGAAGGATATTAACAACTTTCAATTTTACGATAAATAACTAAGAGAATGATTTGTAGCTAAAGATTAGTAATTGATTTTAAGTAAAAATTTAAAAGGAAACGGTTAATAAGGCAATCAAATAAAAAATTCATAAATAACAAAATCTTTCATTCATATAATTAAAAGTAATATAAAAATATTAAAATAAGAAATGTCTGCTTTCGGCTCTCCTTTCCAATCTACTATTCACGGTCAATAAGAAGGTAAAGTATTTCATTTAATTTACTAGCAAGCCTATTCGGTGTCTAAAGTGAAACCATAAAAATGAAGCTAGCTATCCATATTTTAAAATCTGTAGCCTTAGCAAATTATTAATTATTTTTCAATGATAAAATTACTTAGATTCACCCAACAGAGTTAGAATAAAACTTCTTGGTGAAAAGTGGTAAAACATCTAACACAACATCGACCGTGAAAAACAAGATCGTAGAGATATTCTTGAAGAAAAGCTTAGAAATGTCGAAGATAAAATTAATTCTGAACGTCCTAATGACGAACAAAGATTTAAAGTATTTATTTTGCTACTAAATGAAATGATAAAATTTAAAAAGTAACAAATAATCATTATCTGATAAATAGGTATTAAAGGAGCAAGTTTTGAAGCTTTAAAATACTCTTGAAGAAGAAAAGAATGGCAGAGAAGTAAAGCATTTTATTAAAGACAAGTGAGTTTAATGTTGCTTCAACATATTTTAATCTAATTTTATAGGTTTTTGATGAAAGAAAGGGTAAAGAAATTAAGATTCTTGATGAAAATTTACACAATCTTTTGGAAGAAGAAAAATCGGTAAATAATTTATTTATTAGCAAGCAAACAAACAAACAACAACATCTTTGAAAAACATAGCAAAACTAATTTATTGATGAATACTTTAACAATAAATGGAATCACTTAGTTGATTTTGTTCAGCATATTATAATTAATCATTATTTAAAAGCAATAAATCTTATTTCTTAATAAAGCTTGAATAGGACGAATAAATAAATAAATATTTAATAATTTTTTCTCCTTCTTATTTTAATTACTCACAAAAATTCACTGCTCGTAATATAAAATTTGAAAATAAGAAATTTTAAAATAAATTAAATTGAGCAGTAGATATGGCTTAAATTATAAATAAATCAGACATGCATACATATATGCACGATAATCACAAATTGCTTGATTTATATATAGATAAATAAATAAATACCAAGAACCAATTTTAAATTAAATAAAAATTTATTTTTTGAAATCTTTAAAATAAATAAATGCAAATGAAAATAGCTAGCTTTTATTATTAAACTAATATAAAAAAAATAATTAATACTAATATGACCTAATTAGAGAAAATCATATTGAAACACATTAATAAACTTTTAATAAATCTCATAATAATAAATAAGTGCATTGACTTATAATAAAATAAAAATTTATCAAAAATAATTATTTGAAAAATGAAATTAATTTTTGCTAGCTTTATGCAAAAAATAATTAATTTTATGAATTTTTTTAAACAAAATGTTGTCTTTTATGCTTTTAAACTAAATTTAAAAATGAGGTTTAATGAGTTTTTTAAAATCGATTTAATTTTGAATACTTTTTTATGATTATTTAAATAAAATTATTTTTAATTTAAGAGCAAAAGAATGGTTGAAAGCAACCTTTTGAAGCAAATCGATGAAAAGTTCTACAATATGAACTTAAGTCTTTCCAAGAATAACAAGGCTTATGAAGAAAACACTGAAATTAAGCTTAAGGAAGTTTAAGCCTAGATTGGATTTATTAAGGAACAAATCGATTTAGAAAAGAGAAAGAGAGAAGAATCTACCAATGGTTTGACTGATGAGATCGAAAATGAATTGAATAAATTCCACGATGTCCTTCTTATTGAAAAGAAGGTTCGTGAAGAAACCCAAGCTAAAATATATAGAATGATTGAAGATATCCACTCTAAGCTCCAAACTGAATTGGTCGTAAGATCTATTTTAATAATAAAATTTCCATTTTTGTAAGTGAATAGCTTTAAATGAATTATTTGAATAATTAACAGTAAGAAAAGAGAGACAGAGAATCCACAACTGAGTCTTTAATTAAACTCTTGGAAGACACTTGCTAGAGAATTGATAAGAACTTCCGTCAATGAAGATTCATATTTTGAACAATCAAATAAAATAAGAAAAAAGAGTTGTTTTAATAATAGTTTGAATATGATTTAAAAATTGCAACTATCTAAACTATATACTATATTAAATTCTATAAGACATATCTATATGTATGTTTATTTTTCTCTATTAGTATGTTATTCTATTTCATTTCTTCTAGATTTTGACTCTCCATATTTAGATTGTTTTTTCACTTGAACTTTAGAATACAGCAAAAATCTACATATTAATTTCAAAAGAGACTACCTTATTTTGATTGGAAATAAGGTATTTTAATTTTAAAATATAATCCTTGTACAATAGTATTGTAAAAAATCATTAGTCACATTCATTCATTAAATTACTTCTAGATTATACCTGTGTATCTTGCTTGTTATTGATATTTTTTTAATTTTAAAAACAAAAATGACTCTACAATTTTTATAATAGAAAGAATCTTTACTAAGTTTCTGAATTTATAAATTAATCAGAGATCATTAATTATATCAAAAATTATTTAAAAAAACTTATTTCCAATAATAATAAAAAATTAGATTTTCAAAATTTTAGTTTAAAAATGATAGTTGACGACCAAAAATTATAGTCTAACTGGTATAACAGATAGATTCATCCTTAAAATAAGATAGTTAAAGCTCACTTGAATTCTATTGAAACTTTATCTGTTAATATAGCCAATCCTACTTAGTTTGCTACAGGATCTCATGATCATCTGGTCAAACTATGGGATTTGAATACTTTTAAAAACACATCAACATTGTAGGGTCACAAGTAAATCAATTTCAAATTGTTTGCAAATATAAAAATATCTAAAAATATTCGCTAGATCTTAAAATACAATTTTATAAAATAATAATAAAGAGAAGGAATTTGGAGTACTTAGTATTCATTAGATGGGAAATAATTGCTGACTGCTTCTCCTGATAAATCTCTAATCATTTGGGATCTTAGCAAGGGAAAACCAGCATCTGTGCTAAAAGAGCACCACAACAAGGTTTACTTTTGTTAATACAATGAAGATAATAAACTTATTGCTTCTGGAGGAGAAGACTCTCGTTTGATCATTTGGGACACTCGCAAAGGAACTCCATTAAAAATCATCTAAAGTAAATTTTGATAAATCTAAAGACAAGTGTTGAATATTCATTTTAAATAAAGGCGAAAATAAGATTATTTATAATATAAAATGGTCTAGATGTGGTAATTATTTAGTGACATCTGAATATGGAGGTGTTAGTAAAATTTTTGAAACTAGAAATTTCTCTCAAATTGCCTCATTTGGAAAGTTTTCAGAAGATGAAAGAGTAAAAGAAAAATATATTTTGTTGAAAATTAAAATGAACTTTAAAAATATTAAAAAAGGCATGGTGCTGTGACATAGATTTTAGAGAAACTTCCAAACATAAAAATAAAATATTTGTGGGATATGAAGTACATTTTTTTAAACAAAAAAATAGTTTAAATTCTAAACCTAATTTAATTAAAAGTCAAGAATAGTTTAAGTGTTAACTTTCTCTCCATAAGAAAAATCTCTAAAACTTGACTATGAATTCTTAGCTCATATGGACCCTATTAAATGTCTTAACTTAGATGGTCAAAAAGAGCTTATAATCACTTCATGCAGAGTAAAACTTAATAAATATACAAATTAATTTCATAGTTTTTAATTGCTTTTCAATTTTATTATTTCTAAATAAATTTAATGAGTTTATTTAAAATTAAATATTTTATTTTTAGTCAAAATATTAAGATTTAAGAAAGAGATTGAATTTGTTTTTTGATAAATTATAATTAAATGGAATTTTTTAAATTTAAAATTTAATTTAGGATGGAAGTGCTAGAATATGGGAATCTTATAGAAGACCTTAAGAATATTCTCCTAAAGCTATTGGTACTTTATTAGAACATGATGAGAATGTATCAAGTATTTAGTTTGTACCTCATGCTTCTAAAACACTACTTTTAACAAGCTCTTATGACTGTTCTGTCAATTTTTACCAAATTTGATTTATTAATTAATATTTATAATAAATTAAACATTTTAAGTTATTAATCAACACTTATATTTATTAGTTTATAAAATTGTATTTACTTATTATAATTAATTAATTAATAATCATTCTTTAAATATTTTTTTTTAGAAAAAAGAGTTATTTATTTTTAATTGATTTTAACTTAAAATTATTTAAATTTTACTCAATTAAAAATGAAATTTAAAATTGCTTGATACTAATAATTTATTAATAACTATATATAGCTAGTTTTTTAAAAATTAATATGTATCTCTAGCGAGATTTTTCTGTTAAATTCCTTTGGTACACTGAATATTGAAAATTAAGATATGATTATGATATTATATTTAATAATCTGTTTATATTTTGGTTTAAATTCTTATTTTTAGACATTATTTGAGCAGTTATCATGATAATAAAAAATTATGAAGATGAAATAGTAAAGCTGGCTGCTTCAACCTCAAAATTTAATAATGTGGAAGGATTTAAATCATCACGGAGGGAAAGTTTCTCTAATTGCACATTTAAATAAATTTGAGAGGCTATTTATAAAAATGCAGGACATCTGTCTAACAATTAATTTATGATTTATTTGGGAAAATGATAATTATTATTTATTAGAAATCAATTAAGAAAAGATCTATAAAATAATTGATAATATTTTGTTATTATTAATATATTGATTAAAAGAAATATAAAAACATTGATAGTTTTCATTTTAATTTGTTTATTTAAGCTTGCCATCTCATAAAATAATAGTGTAATTTTTATCAATATAAATAGCTCAATAACATAGCTAAAACATGAGTAAAATTTCATAGCAATACAAAGAGGAAGACATGTTCACCAAATCACAATAGTAAAACTTAATTAATTTTGGCAGTGTTTTTAGTGGCTCATTTTTATAAGAGCTTGTTTTATACTTTGATCTCATTTTATCTTTTTGATCACTAAATTAAATAAATATCTTTGCTAAAATATTTATATTTGCTTAACCATAAATAGCTTAGACACATACACTAAAATATATACTTAGATTAAAAAAACTATGGATAACACCTTAGAAAATGGTAATTCTGAACTATTTCTTTTTAACAAATTTAAGAACAAAGGAATTTCAAGATCCTTCAGTTTAATTAAATTTCGAAGCCATATTAAGAATTAAAAAAATTAAAATAGCTCTAAATCAAGCGGATGTTAGCGACTATTCATCTGATTATGGCTTAGATGAGGAATTAGGTAAAATTTGAAATTTATTTAGACAATACGTCTTGAATAGAGGATCTTCTTTTACTCATTTTGTCTTTTAAATTAGTTTTTGAAGAACATAGTTAAGTGAATTTGTATATCGAAGGATAAGAAAAATTAAAAGTGAGTGAAGATTTACTTAATTTAGATGACTTAGCAGATGTAAATGATATATTTATTTATTGTATTAACTGAATTTAAGACTTCTACAATATTGTAATAGTTTTTTGATCTCAACACATTGACATCTTTACTTGGTAAAGAAGAGCTCTAAAATTTAAGAAAATTACTCCCTCAACAAGTAAAGATATTTTCAATTTTACTTCAATTATTTTTATTATATCATAAATTCTGACAAGCAAACTAACAACTAATATAAATTAGGAAACTGAAGAACAATAAAATGAAACAATGAAAATGCTATTTAGTGGTCAATCTTTTAAATTTGGAGTTAATCCGTTGAACGAGTTCTTGCAGAAATGCAAATCTGGTAGCTACACAACCATGAGACAATAAGAATAGAAGATATAGAGAAAAATGGCATTACAGACTTTGAATAAATATTACGAAGACACTCTTCTAGAAGTTAAGTAAAAATTAGTACCTGAAACCATAAATCGTGTCAAAACAGTATAAAATCATTTTTTTTATCTTTATAATTTATTTAATAATAATAATAATAAATATTTCATTATAAATTTATTTTTATTAAAAGCTTTTAAAGAAGAGAAAAGCGATTAAAAGAGTTGAGGAATTGTTAAGTAGCGATAGCGATTAAAGCGAAAAGAGCTTTATCAATCTGAGACCTGATGTAGATTTTGATGAAGTATCTGTTGGTAACAGTACTGATGGAAGTGAAGAAGATAGAGATAATAGACGTAAAAAACCTTAATAATATGGTAATGTAGGAGGAGCTGGAGGAAATAATGGTGGTATGCAATAAGCAAATGGTATTGGTAATTAAAATGGTAAATAAAATAGCTCAATGTCAAATGGATTGGTAAATGGCTCTAAAAATAATAACACAAACGCAGCTAGATCTGAAAGTAACTACAATCAAAATGGATCTCAAATAGCCAATTCAACTCGTTTTGATAACAATGACTCAAATTCAAACATCGAATTAATGTCTGAATAGTAAAAATCAAAGTATTAAACCGTTATAGACACACCTTAACCTTACTATAAAATCAAAAAGAGTAAAGTCCCAGTAAAAATTTTAATTTTTTTGAAACAGACAAAAATAATCAAATCAATAATTTAAAAAAAATATTCAAAGCAACTAGTAAATTCTGCTTGCTTGCTTGATTATTTAATAGAGATAAAAAATTATCAAATCTGCACTTTTTCATATTATTTCTAAATAAAAAATATTTTATGATTTATTGTTACTATTTTAAAAGGTCTCTTAAGAATGGATAGATAATTACAGAGAGTAGGAAAGGCAAAGATATGAAAGCCCCACTAAACCTTGGATATATTTTTTATAAGATGGATCGAAGACTTGTGTGGCACCTGTTTGCAAAAAATTAAATGTTTCAATGTAATCAAGACCTCGTGATCATCTCTTTTTAAAATAGAAAAGATCACCATATATTACAATTCTTTCTCTTGTAAGAGATGCCTGTGCTAGATTACCAAACGGGCAAGGAACAAGATATGACATTTGTGTAAAAGAAGCTTTTATATGATATACATTAAAATTTTTTTTTATATAATAGGAGTTACTTAAAGAAAGCTAATACATTAATTAAGATCTGACTTATGATAAGGTAAGTACTATAGTAAGTGGTGCTCTAGATAGATTGCACTATTTGGATGATCCTGCTATAAAATACGACTAAGAAAAAAAAGTCTGGTTTTATTTACATAGAGACAGAGAGTTAGACGATCCAGGTAAATATTCAAAAAAATTTATTTATTTATTTATTTATTTATTTATTGTATTTTAATTTCTGCTACTTAAATTAAAGCTTGGAAAGACGACGGAGGAGAATTAAACATATTAAATGTTTCATAAAGTAATACTGCAGTTTGAAAAAAAAATATTTATATAACAAATAAAAAACAAACAAATCAGATAAACTTAAGTTCATTTATTTATTTTCTGGTATTGTTTGCATTAATCGATTAAAATCTAATTATTTCTAAATTAAAATTAATTTAAAGTGTAATGTTAAAGTTATTTACTTCAAATTGTATTGTTTTAATATATTTCAATTTTTTTCAATCAATTATTAAGATATTTATCTATTTTTTATCTGATTTAATGTTATAAATTAGTCAATAATAATTTTTTGAAAAATAAATGAAAATAAAAAAATTGTTGTATATTTTTTAGTATCTTAATAATCTTAAATATGCTCATTAGAATATTAAGTTAGTTTACAATAAATTTTGATAAATTAATACTTATAAATTATATTAAAAGAATATTAACACATCAAATTTTATGAAGATTTACTTGTTAAATTTATTTATTAGATAATATAGATACTCACAAAAATAGATTTTATTAAATGAATTTTAACTTAATTTTATTAACAAATAACTTTTAAATATTTTTTTATTTTACTAATTTAAGGTGAGTGTTTGAAATTAATTAAAAAATTTGAGTAAAGTAATAATTTAAATTGTTTTATAGATTGTAAATAGTATTTAAAATTAGTTATAAATTAAGGGCTTATCTTTAAAGAAAATTGTTTATTATTTCAACCAAATATAATTCATTTTGTAAATTGGTTTTATCAGCAAACAATTTTTCAAGGCTGTTGGGTATACATATTAAATTTCGATTACTTAATGTAAGTTACTATTGAGAATATTCTTGGATACAATATATCTTCCAATTTTATATCTTCACCTTACTTTTTTAATAAAGGTTTAATGGGATAAAGTACTCAAATTAAGAAAACACTTTTTGATGTTACTCCAAGAAATAAAAAATAGAACGTAATACGTATTTCTTAAATAGAAGTTATTTAGATAAAAGAAATATTTGTAATAAATTAATTTTTTACAAATATAAGCAATTAATTAAAAAGGTAGCTAACAAAATCAACTTATCAATCAATCAATCATTTTTAAGTATATCAAAATGGAAAACAACGAAAATCTACTAATGAGGGAAAAAAAAGATTCTAATCAAATATTTAGCTATGTTTATTTTGTTTTGCAAGGCATAATTTCATTATTAGGGTATAATGCTATCTTAGGTTCATTAGATTACTTTGCATAAAATTTTAGTGATTATAACATTTACTTTTATCTTCCCTTACCTCCTATGATAACATTTAATTTAGTCTCACTTGCTATGCCTTTTATCGCACAGAAAGTTTTATTCCCTTTAAGAATATCAATTTGCATTTTTGGAATGGTTGTAATCCTAGTAATGCTTCCTATTGCAACAAACTATTTATCCTAAACAGCTGGAGGCTTTGTAGTGATCATGATTCTTTCTTTAATTTGGGGTGTTTTTGGTTAGATTTTTAATAGCTCATTGCTTGGATTATCTTGCATGATGGACCAAAGTAAAATAGTAGCTTACAATATAGGAAGTAGCGCAAGTGGAATAATAGTTATCTTAATTAGAATAATTGTTGTTTGTTTTTTAGGCGATGATGTTAATTTTTCTACTTTGATTTATTTTCTTTCTGCTGGGTTTCTCAACGTAGTAGGTTTTATATTGCATCAATTTTATGTTAAGACAACGAGCTATATGAGTCTTTAAGAAAAAAACAAATAAAGTTTAATATATTAATAAGAAGAATAAATTATTGAAGATTAAAACTATCTTGAAGATAACTCTCCTGAATAAATATAAACGGTGAGTACTGCAACTTACTGCAAAACTATTGAAAATCAAAAGAAAAATTAGAGATTACTAATCTAAAATAATAATGAAAATGATAAAAAAGCACTATCTCATTATTCCCTCAACGAAAACTAGGATGAAAGTAGTAAAAAATCATTTCATAAACTTAATTTCAGATAATAGTTTATTCAATATTTACTCATAGCTAAAGATTTAATGCCTTTACCTTTATTTATGCTCTTAAGCAACGTATGTGCTAATATGATGTACCCAGCTATAAGCTTGAAAAGCTAATTATAAGGAATTTCATACACTTGGAGCTGTATATGGATTATTTTCATGCATAATGTATCTAATGTTCTTGGTAAACATGTAGTAGCAATAAGAAGTCTATACAATAACAACATCATCTATTCACTTATCATTCTACGTTTTCTACACTTTATTATATTTATAATGAATGCTGTCAATAGTGATTCAATCTTCTCTGCAGACTGGATCATTTGTCTAAACATAATTGTTTTTTCTTTCTCTGCAGGATACACAGATAGTGCTCTTTTTATTCTTTCCACTGAAAAAATGATTAGCAATTATCATAGAGAATAAGCAGGATTTGTAATGGCTTTTTCTTTAACTTTTGGAATCATGGTAGGAATATTTTTGGCAATGCCATTTTAAAATATCTGAATAGACAAACACTTAAAATAAATTTAACGAACTATTAATTAAATTAACAAAACATCTAAGATAAATATAAAGTAATAACTATTCTCATAAAAAATTAATAAAATATATTTATTTAGTTTTATAATAAAAACATTAAAAAAATACTTATTTAAAATAAATTAAAATTAATTTTAAAAGTCAATTAAATTTAAATATCTCATTAATAAATAAATAAATATAAATTGTAAGTAAACTTCTATTTTTATTATTACATAAAACTATAAATGTACCATATGCTGCTAAATTATGTTAAAAATTCATTTATTTTTGTAAAAATATATAAACAAATATTTTTTAAAACATTTATTTTGATGGATGATAAGTTAAAAATAAATAATTTCTAGACGATATTTTTTTCTTTATAGTTTTTAGATTCGATTTGTAATGTACATACTTAATATAATTTAAGAATAAGAGAGTATAAACTAAGAAAAAGAAATAATTATTTATTTTTTTAACGTATCTTTATTAAGTTTGGTAATATTTTAAATAAATATTTTTTATTTTTTTAGTAGTTTATTTGTTAATTAAATATTTAATTACATCTAATCAGATTTCAACACTTTATTAAATTTAATTAAATAATTTTTTAAATAAAAAAATTATCACGAGAAATTTAATACAAAATACTTGGTAATGGTGAGAAAATACTTTTTCAAATAATTCATTAAAGATTTGATATAAACAAAAAAATTGCTACAAACTACATTAATTAACAATAAGGATATTTTAACTCTATAATAAATATATAATTTAAAATAAATTTTTAAATAATTGTTATTTTTAATTTAACAATTAAATAAATTAATCTAATTTTAAAATTATTTAAGATTTTTTTCAAAAATATTCAAAAAATTTACTTTTTAAAATATTTTAAGGAAATTTTTTAATAAATAAGTAAAGCTAGCTAGATTAAGTCTTTTTAAGAAGGTTTACTTGATAGTTTTAAAAAAATTAGTTTACTATGGGCGTTATTTTTAAAAATTAAGCACATTTAAAACTTAAAAATGTTTCGCTTATTATTTTAAAAAATATTAATATAAATATAATAGCAAATGAATCAATGAATTTTAAATTATCACAAGATTTGCTTGTTTGTTTATAGCAGCAACTAAGCATTGCAAATAAAAATTAATAAACTAAATGAAATTTGAAAATATAAATTTTGATAACTAGTTAATCAAATTGAAAATTAAATACAGTAAAGATATTCAAAAGCATTTTTAGTAAATTTGAATATAAAATATATAAAAAAAATTTAATTAATTGCAATATTTTCAAGACTTATTTATTGATTTTAAAGAAAAAGAGCAATTAAAAATAACCTTTGAAATAGGCAAAGGATTGACTGTCAAATAAATGAGTGTAGCGCAAACAAAGTAGCCAAATATAGAAAATAAGAATAGATATTATAATTAAGGCAGGACCGATGGAGATGAGGAAGAAGAAGACGAAATTAACATGTATGGTCAAGGATACCAAAACGAGTCAGATATTTAAAACAATTAAGTCGAATTAGATGAATAAGATTTACATCATTAATTGCCTATAGATGGCTAGAATATTAATTAATTATAGTAAAATAATGAAGAATATGACCAAGAAAATGAGAATGAATAATAATAATAATAATACTATAACTAATTTCATTAACTTCAACATGTATTTAAACAAGACCAAGATAATCATGGAGGTTTGGAAAAGTAATGGTTTTATTCATTTTAGGAGAATAGCGAAGATAATGAAAATGTGTAACAAATTTCTTAGATTCCTTCATCTCAATTTTAATCTTAGCAACAATCAATTTAAAGTTCTTAACAGAAGATTTCTTAGTACATAAATCCACAACAGTAAATTTAACATAAGCAAGGATATTCCTAGAATTAGTAATAGCCTAAAAACCAACAATTTCAGATCATTTCATCAAAGTAACCTTAACAAAGTGTAATTGACAGCTAAGATAATTTAGCAGAAAGTTAATAGGAAAACTATGAGGATAAAGATCAAGAAGGTGATAACTAAGATTAGTTTAAGCAAATGGAGATGTTACATATGATGCAAATAAATTCAAATAAATAGCAGTTTGTTAACAATTAAATGGTTAAGCAAGATTAAAAACGTTAAAATAACTCCTAAAAAGAGTAAGATATGAATGAGGAGGAAGGAGAGTTGAGATAACAAGATGATGAATTATTAGAGCAGTAAATTTAGGATTAATAACAGTTATAGCAACCTGTTCAAGAAGATATGATTATGTGTAATAAATGCTAAAATTTTCCTTTTAACTATATAGAACTTAATTGCTAGCACAGCTTTTGTCTTAAGTGCATGGCAGAGTGGTTTATATAATAGGATTATTTAACAATAGATTAAATATTTGAATTACCAATTTCTTCTACAGACGAAAACTATTCAGAGCTAAAAGAGGAGTGCATGATAAATGTTTAATGCGTGCTATGTCTTGAACAGACTCTACTGGATTATGATTCAGTAGAAGCTGTTAAAGAAGTAATAAGGCAGATTTAAATAAACTTTATTTAACAGCAAGAAAACTAAAAATTAGCTGAATAAAACTAGGAGTTTGGTGATTAAGCATAAGAATAAATTTATTAAAATCAATATGATTAGGAGCAGAAGTCTAATTAAGAGGATGATGATGGTTATTATTAGAATTAGTTAGAATATTAAGGATAGCAATTTGCTGCTGAAGATTAGTTCCATTTAAAAGGCTTTTCAAACAAGTAGAATAATGCAGAATTGCTAATCGCTTAATAAAATAATCATTTTGCTAATAATCAATACCATTCTTGTGATGAGAATACCGAGTAAATTGATGAAAGCTAGCTTAATTATTAAAATTAGCTTATAAATAATAAAAATTAACAGCATAAATAAAACCCTTTAGCTAACATGAACGAATACTAAAAATAAATGAGTGATTCTTCTTCATCGTCTTCTTAAGGTTTTGCATTAAATTAGCCTTAAGTAAGTAATATCAATTTACAAAAACTGTAGCCCATAATACAACCTAGTTAATAATCCCCAGTCCTTGTCATTTAAAATGATTCCCAAATTAATTCCTTACAAGCAAGATAGGAAATAATCTATGAAGACAGTAGTGAAACATTTTAAACAGAAGAAACAAATAGAAATCATAATAATAATAACAATAATTAAATAAATCTAAGCAAAGAAGATATCAAATTGGGTAACAAGTAATTCGAAAGTGCTTAATAAACTCAGAATTAAACTGCAGAATCAAAGTCTTCTTCCAGCTAGTAAGATTATCAAAATCAAAACTATATCAAAGAAGAGTAGAAAAAGTCGCATGGAAAGGAATTCAATAAATTTATCAATACATCAAATAAAAATTATCATTATGTTAACAGTCAACAAAGTTTCTCAAATAATAATAGTCCAAACAATAATACAACTCCATATGACACAAATTCTATGCAGATATTCTCTAAAAAGAACCAAGATTATACTTCTTTCTCTAACTCATAATTTAACGCTTCTATGACTCCTTAGAGCAATACAGATATTAACTTTGGTAACAAAGAATCATAATAAACTATTTCAAATCATGCCATCCCATTTAATGAGTATTTTTCTATGCCAGATAAATAGAATCAATTCATTTCTCCAAATTAACAACAATAATAATAATAATAGTAATAATTTTAGCAATATTAATAAAGTGGATCCTTGCAAAATTAATAAGGCGAGCTTACTCAAAGCAATTACAGTGGTGCCAGCACTTCACATAACCATGAAAGTAGTACAATGAGTGATGTTCAGAGAAAAATGATCAATAAAGGAGGAGTAAATGAAAATAAACAAATGACTGATAACTAAAAGAAAATGCATGCAAAATCTTCTACACCAGTCTAATTCTAAAGCAGTGAAAGAAATACTGAAACTTAGTAGAATTAATTAGAAGACGTAGAAGAGCACTATGGTGAATAAACAGACGATGAAGCTGAAGGATCTGCTTTTAAATATCCATAAAAACTAAATTTTAGTAAAATATAATAAAAAAATCCAGAAAATGTTCAACAATAAAGTGAATTTAAAATTGGAATTTAATAAAGTGAAAATATTAAGAAAGAACTTAATTATGATGACTTTGCTAATGTTTCCGATAGCAATTTGTAAGAAGAAGAAAGCTTTTAACACCAATAAGCAAATGTTGTTTCCAATAACCCTTCTCTTAGAGAATCTTAAAAATCATAATAAGAAAAGAGCAATAGAGTCAGCTAATAATATGAGCAAGACAAAAACTATAAACAAAACGATAACCAAAATTTTGGCTCTGCTTCTTTCAATTAATTTGCTTAGCAGATTTAGAAAATTTAGCAAAAGGATTAAATAAAAAATATATAAATTCCAAACCAAAATAAGCCTTAAAGTTTTGATTAGAAATTTGTTTCCAGAGATCTTAAAAATTAACAACAACAATAGTAGTAGTAAGAGGGAAAATTCTAAAGAGATTAGCTTGAATAAGAAAAGGATAATGGGGATGACATTTCTTATGACCTCAGAGCAAATGAAGAGGAAAATTAATATCTTGACCCTCAAGAAGCTTTTTCAAATTAGTTATACAACTAAATTAAAATAGAACAAAAGTAAAATTTAGAATAAAAAATTTAAAAGCTGAGCAATGAATAGCTCCAAAAACAGCAACAGTAAACATAAGTTATTTAAAAATAACAATAATAATAATAATATAACAATTTTCCAGTCACATAATCTATTGAAGAAGTAGAAATCTAGCAACTACCTTTGCAATAAAAAAGCAACATTGATAAATTTGAAAAAAACTAAAATAGTGTTCGTCCTTTATAAAATGTAAATTAATATGAACCACCAGAAGATAGCTCAAATAAGAAGAAACCTAATACATAAAAGTTTATTATTTCAAATAACAACTAAAGCAATTTCAGCACAAATACTAATTTCACCTCAAATTACAACCATAACTTGACAAATCAATAAATAATTGCAGGTTCAAATTTTTTAACAGTTCAATAAAATTAAGAAAATAGCAACAACCTTTAATCTACTATTGAAAGTTAAAAATATAAAATGCCATAAAATTCTAACTACTAGCAAAGCTTTAATTCAAGCATAAATGAAGAAAAATTAAATCCAATGCAGTCAGTCTTTACAGTTGAGAGAAGCATTGATAACAATTAGCAAAAGCACCCTAAAAGAAATTCTTACAGATAAAATAATCCAGATGAAGATAGTTAATTTTAGCAAAGCTAAGATTTACAAATTGGTCAGAATGAAAAATAAGCAAAAATTATCTAAAAGCAACAGACAGTAGAATCAGTTAACAGAAAAAATTCAAATGAAATCAGAGGTAATTAGATGAATAATTATGCTTCTGTTAATTCAAAGAGCTCTATTTAAGATAATAACTTATCTTTACAAGCTAAAAAAAGAGGTTCTTAAACATAAAACGATTAAATGAGTCTTGATATAAGCAATTCTATGAATGAGATGTCAAGCCAGGCAGAATATTTTGAAAAAAAGCAAGCCAAATAAGATATGTACTACTCAAGTGATTCTTAGAATATTTAAGGATATAACAAATATGATTTACCTTTAAAGCAGCTAAGCATTGCATAGAATGAATAAGAACCAATAAGTAATTAAAGTGTTACTACTTATAATAATCAAAAGAGAGACCCTTCACCTTAAATATCTCAGCAAAAGTAAGTTTAGTAAAAGCTAACCTCTTAGTAAGGAAATAACTAAAGAAGTTAAATTCAAAGCTTACAAGAAAGTGAGGATAGCCTAAAGAGAAGTATGAAAAATAAAATTGTTGATAATAAACAAAAGTAGCAACAACAGTAATAATAATAATAATAACAATAATAAGATGTGATTAGTATTTAAGAGAATAGCCTTGAATAAGATACATATCAATAAAATAATTATGGTAATGAAGAAGATTGTGAGAATATCTAGTTTAAATTACAGCCTTATTGTGATGAGCATCCTTATGAGGAATTGGGATTTTTTAATTTCTCATAGAATAAATGTATTTGCTTAAAATGCTTACAAAAAGGTGAATTTGTTACAGAAGATGTTACTAACTTTGAAAAAGGATAGGAGCTACTTTTAGAAAAGGTAGATGACTGCAGTCGCTAAATTAATGTGTGCTTTGAATTAATAAAGCTATCATAAAAGCGCGAAGAAGAGAAGCACAGAAAAAGAGTTGAAAAAGCAAATTAGGCTAAGATGTTAATTACCGAATAGATTTAATTGTTAATTTAAAAGCTCGAAGAAAAATAGTCTTAGCTTACCGTTGAGGCTGAAGAGGTACTTAAATTATCAGAGAATATTCTAAGCAATAAGTAAGAAGAACTTTAACATAAACTAAAAATCTTGGCTCAACTTCGATTCCATTTTAGTGAAATCAATGCAAGAAATATTCAGCCCAATGCAAAAACATTTAAGGAATTCCAATTCTGTAGAAATATTCTTGATCAATTTCTCTTCGAAAATGAAGATATCTTGCAATTAGCTAATCATAGCAATGCAAACAACTCTCCTAATGGATCTGCTTCTAAGAATTAAGCTAGCAACTTTAATAATTAGTTTTTCCTATAATAAAGCTAATAAGATTTCATTATAAATAATTTTAAAATGGATGAAGTCTCAAATTTTATTGACTAAATTCAATTCTTAAAAAATAAAATCTGCGACTTGAGAGGAGTTGAACTAGGTACACACAATTCTTCCCTTAGAAATAGCTTCGCAAACAATACAAATTCTAAAAACTAGTAGCAAATTACAAATAGCAATAATTTAAATGCTAATAACACTTCATCTAAAATGAATAACCAAAACATATAACCTACAACAGTTTCTCATGTTCATTCATTTTTGAATGAAGAACCTCAAATTTAAAATAATTAACTTGCTTATAAAGAACCAAAACCTTACTACAAGTCCTCTGACAAGAGCACGAGGAGATAGTCCTCATCATAAAAACAATAGCTTTTGTAACAACAGTAATAGTAACATAGCTACTAGCAACAAGAATAGTCTGGTAATAATTTTTCTCCGAATTAATAAATTTAGTAAATAGCTGATTCCTATTAAATGAATCATCCCAATGCATTCGAACCTGATGAAAAAACTATTAACTTAAATTAGCTATTTTAATAACAGATTTTACAGTAATAGTAAATGCAATAGATGCAACACTAGATGAATAACTAAGTGCCAATAAATCAAATTAAAAAGAATTTCAATGATCAAATATAATATGTTATAGGTTCTAACCCTTTCGATAAAGATAGAATTAAAGACACAAATTCGACATTTAGCAGTTAAAATCTTACATACATAAACAATAACAACAATAACAACAGCTTGAATTTTGCAAATCCGCTCAGCTAGAAGCTCTATGCTTAATTTTTAACAAATGCGAACTCTCCAGCAAATCAACAGTAGCAGCAATAAATTTTAAGCAGCTAATCATTTTCTAATCAAAACTTGATCAAATCTCAAAGCTAAAAAAACCTTTATGAGTAGTAATAGAACTCTAATTTATACCCTAATCAACTCTTATAAGACTTTTCATAGAAAAATAACCCATTTTCTCCAAATGTAATTTCTTCTAATTACCCAACATTGTCGAACAATAATGAGTTCAAAGAAAGAAAATAATAAAAAACTGATCCTGGAAATATTGCTGCAGCTCATAGTGGAGTGTTCAGATAATTTTAAAACAACAGCATTAGCACAAAAGCTAATCAATAGCATCTTATGTAATTTAACTAAATTTTAAATAGTCATCTAGGCTCAGGTACACTGAATAACAATAACAGCAATAGTAACTTATTAATGATGAATAATCATGGCATAAGTCTTTTAGATGGAGGAATTAGTCACCATTTAGGAAGTACAACTGAAGCAAGCAAAAATATCTAGCTAATAGATGATCAATTTACAAGCTTTAAAAATAACCTTGCAGAAGAATTTAATAACAGTATCGAAAATCATAACTTAAAGAGACCATCGTTTCCAACAACATCAGCTAATAAATCAGGTTAGTAAACTATTGATCTTTTTAGAAAAACAAATAGCGTAAGTAATATTATTTCGCAGAATACACATCAATCTCCTAGTAGATACGCTCTTCTGAAAGGAACAGGAAACAATAACAAAATATCAAGCACTGTAAATTCTACACTTCCAAAAAGCAGCGAGTATTATAATAAGAGTTCATTTATTTCTAACTATTACAATGGTAAACTTGATAAAGGAAGCTTCAGTAATGCTAATACTAATAGTAATAATAACAGTGGCATAAACATTAAATCAGGAAACTATTAAAATTCTTATTCACATAGAATTGCAGGCACCGATCCTTTAAGTGGAATAGTCAATGTGGGGAATAATTCTATAATAGCTAAGAAAAGGTAATCATAAATATTGAGATCTCACTTCACAAACAACTAAAATACTAGCTAAGGCAACATAAATAACTATTCAAGTGAGCTAAAAAATAGTTTCTGCGAAACAGGTTCTATTAACAATAGCGGAAACAGATATACAACTAAGAAAAGCGAAATAGGTTTTGTTAATAATAGCAGCACCACTCATTCTAACACACTTTAAAGTAATTATCCAATGCAAATATTTAATGTTCCACATAACACGAGCTTCTCAAAATCTAAATAGGCAAGCCATGGTAATCTGCATTCGTTTTACAACAATAATAACAATAACATAAGCATAAATAACAATATAAATAGTAACAACAATATAAATACGCTTCATAGTGACTTTAACTAAAATATTTCTTTCTAAGGAACTTCTGGCAAATCTTTCAATATTAAAAATTAGAACACTTTAGACTCAAAAAATTCTGGTATTATTTACAAATCCCTAAAGAAATATTAAGACTTGTTTAGAAGATAAAAGAAAATAATGTTTGAAAATGAAATCAGTTGATTTCTAAAATTTTTCTTAATCAATCAAGGTGTTTTTAATTAATTATTTTTCTTGTATTTAATTTTCTGTAAAATGCATTTATTTCTCTAAAATAAAAAATTTAGATTAAACTTTGTTTTCTTTTTTTATATTTAATAAAAATATTTTATTTATTTTTATAAATTGAGTTCAATCAAAAAAATATTTCTAAGTTGTCAATCTAGCAAAATAGATAAAATTTTGCTTTTTATTAAAAATGAGTTTATTTTTTTTAACTCATTAAACAATTTTTTTTTCTCTAAATAAATAAATAAATAATTTAATTTTTTATTTGTTATTATCTTAAATTTATTAATTTATAATATCTTAATGAATCCCAACATTTAAAAATTTGAATATTTATATCTAACTTAAACTATTTTATAAAATCAAAAAAAAACCAGAACAAAATATTAAATCCACAATATCTTCTAATGTTTAGATATTTTTAAAAAAATTATTTACATTTTACTTTTTAATAGAGACAATTTTCCATTTTGAGAAATACATTCATTTTTAAATAAATAAATATAGAAGACTTATCTTAAATTTAAATACTTAAAAAATCTAATGCAAAATTTAGCAGTTAAAAGTTAATTTATATTTAAGAAATATTGTTTATTTATTTATGTTAAATTTTTAAAAAATCGTTAAAATCTAATACCTCTTGATTGATTGAAAGTAAGAATTAAAATAAAATATTAAAGTTTTAAAAATAAGTTTATTTAGTAAAAACAAACATACCAAGTTTAACATAAAGAATTTCTTTCAAAATTTTATTTAAAAATAAATGCATCAAATTTTAAGGTTATTTATTTATTTGATAAAAAACAATAAAAATAAATAAAATTCAAAAAAAATTATCTGCTAATAAATTTGAATACATAATTGTGTATTGAATTGAAAAATTTAAATAGCATAAAATAGATAATTAAAATGATTCTGTCTGTCTGTATTTATTCATTGAAAATATGGAAAGTTAGTTAGTTAGTATAAATTAAAAAACATGTTAATATATAAATATGATATTAAGATTCAAATTTGATAATATATGATATTTTTTTGATAAAAAGAAATAATAGATTTAAGCAAAAGCAAAACAGTATAAAAATCTTTTTAAACATATTCAACTAACAATTCTATAAGTAATATATTTACCAGCAGTTTCAGAATCTCTTTCTATTTTGAAAACCTAGTAAATTTATAGTTAATAATTAATATTATTGCCATTTATTTTTTATTTTAAATTTATTACTTGCTTTGTCCTTAATCCAAAATATTTTGTAATTGGGTCGGTGGAAAGGATCTTAGGGAGTTAAGCATCGTTAATTTTGCTTTTATTAAAAAAATTGTTTAAACGAAATACAAATAAAAAAAATATTTTTTTACTATTTATCCATTAATTTTTTCTTTTCGATGGCATTCAAGGGTACGTGCTTAGGAACTAATTGATGCTTGGTGATGTTAATGACAAGATCATCAAAGAAGAAAATTTCATATTTATAGAAGATTTAAATGACATCGCCTTTATCATCTGTTTCAGATTTAATATCAGTTTACTTTTTACTGTTGAAGTTCATTTCAACCTATCTCTTTTCAAAGAGTTCAATTCTATCTTTAAAATACTTGTTTGAGATGAGAATGATCTATAATTATTATTGATTAAAAATGTTTTTAGTAAATTTTTCAAATTATTTTAATAAGATATTCTAAAATAAAATAATTCTAATAATCCAATTTATTTATTTATTAATTTATTAATATAATAAAATCAAGTAGAAAGCAATGTGTCTAGAAATAAAAAATTTAAGTACATCTTAAACTTTCTTAGTGACGATATCTTTTTCTTCTGGGACAAGAATAACAACATTAATAAAAACGTTCAATTAAGGATTGTTTTTAATAGAAGACTCGTGATATTTTTAAATAGTCTTATCATATGAGCTAAGTATATCATCGGTTAACTTAGTTTAGCTATGGAAAACGTAAAGGTGCTATTCCATTCCTAAAAATTTGTGTTCATCAGTTTGGTTAGCATCATGTGAAAAAGAATTTATGGTTAAACTGTTTTGAACGTTAGACATGCTGTTTTAAATCCACATATTTTCCTATTCCTTAGTTTTAATCAGATTCAACTATTGCTCAGCTTCTTCGCTGTATCCTTTAATTAGCAAGATAAAAAATTCAATTAAATAGCTAAATTCAGATTATTTATTTTATAGTTGCAGTTTATTTATCAACAAACTTAATCTTTTTATTTTGTTTCTGAAAAATATTTTAATTAATTAATTTTGCTTATCATTCGCTTGCATAAAATCTTATTAATACACTTATCTTTTATACAAAAGGCTTTTTTTAACAATATTGTGCACTACGATCATCTGAAAATTTTGAAATGAAAGTATGCATATTTCGAACTAAGAGTTATTTAATTTATTAGTTAAATTAGATTACCTCTATCTCTGGCCATTTCGCAAATAGTGCGGTAAACCTTAAACCACTTTTAGGCACTCTTTCTCTAATCCTCGCTCATTTTAAAAATTTAATTTATAAATATGTGTTTATTTGTCTAAATGTATCTTCTTTTTATTATTAAGACGACTATCCAAATCTCTAAATAAATAAATATATTATTTTAAGAGTATTCTTTATTTTTAGAATGAAATTAACTAAATAGATCTATTGGTATATATAATTTAATATAGCCCGCTCTAATTTTATTGTTTTTCATTTTGAGCTACTTTAAAATAGTTCAAAAAGATAAAATCAAAGTACATTTTTTTCTTAGCACACTATCCTTGCTTCATTTTAATCTTATTTAATTAAATACTGGCAGTAGAAATAAATCCGTACTCAGTCTGTCTCTCATTATCATTCTTAAAAATTAGTTAATTATTATTCTACTTAATTGCTGACTAATTCCTTAACCCTTTTTTTTCAAAATTAAGTTCAAATAATAAATTTATTTTTAGATAAAATTATTTATTCAATAAAAAAAATACTTTCAAACAAGTAGTATTTCAATGAATTAAACAATTAATTTTAGCATTTTAATAATAATATATTTAAAAATCTTTAATTCAAAATTTTTCCATAAATTTTTGGTTTTATGTTGTTCTTTAAAATGAATTGTAAATCTATCACATATTTGAAAAAGAAAGATTAAATAAATATCTTTAATTTATACTCAAAATAAAATTCTTTAAATTCAATTTTTATTGATTTAAAACCTTTCAAAATTAATAATAAAAATTTATATGCTTTTAACTAATTTAAAATTTTTAAAGTTTATAAAATTATTTTAAAAAGAAAAAATTTCTTAAATAAATTTTATTTTAAAATTTTACTAATATTTTATGCTCTTAATTCATAGGTAAATTTAAATCTAAATTTATTTGATTGTGAATTTTAGAATAATATAATTACCTTTCATTATCAGAGATATGATTTAAATATATAATTTGAATTGTATAAAAATATTATATTTATTTATTTAATTTGATTCATCTGTGAATTTAATAAAATTAAAATTGTAAAGCAAATTTTATAATTTTAATTAACTGCATTTATTTTTAACTTACTTAAAAACATTAATAAACTCAAAAATACTTATTAAAAAGAGCTACTTTAATCCTTATTCAAAATGATTAAATTTTTTACAAGATATATTTATGAATTATATCAGGATTGGTAAATTCTATTTAGTTATTTACTTACTTATTTTTAAAATAATTTAAATTTATTTAAAAAAATTAATTTTAGGTGTAAATTGTCTATTATATAGATACATACATACTATTTTATATTTAAGAGAAATTAATTATCAAATTATTTTTGATGGAATGAGTTTATGATGATTATTTTTTAGGTATATAAAATTTTAATAAAGCTTAAATAGGTATTGTTTATTTTAGTGCATAAGATATATTATTTATTAAAAATCAATTTTAGTTCACTTAAGTAGAAAAAATCCAATTATTAACAAACATATTATTTACTACAATTAAATCTTAACAAAAGAGGAGGGAGATAAATGTAAAGCTAGAAAAAAGAAGCAAACTTTATTAATATATAAAATATTGATCAAGATTATGATGATTTTCCTAACAGCGAGGAAATTTCTATTTAATCTAAAGAAAAAGTAAGTAGCATTTTTTATTTTACATATCACATTTGATGTATTTATTCTCTATAAATTAAATTAATATGTTTAGAATCAGGAATTGCCAAGTAGATAAATTAACTAACCATGTATCAATGCTAATAACAAAAGAATGAATTTTTTGAAAGCAAAAGTTATAGCTCCAGTTGACGATGATGTCTTTGACGAATTTTAATATGAACAAGATAAAGATGCAAAAACTTAAGTAAGCGAAAAGGTTTTAAGAAAAATTGAGAATCTAAAATTAGAAACAATTTAGAAAAATGAAGCAGCTTCAGGCAGTGTCAATAATTAGCTTGTTTAAGACATAGAGTATTATAATAAAATATAAGTAAGTTCTGCTATTGATTTGATAGAAAATGTAGGAAAAAAAGAAATTATTGCTGATGACTTAATTCAAGTTTAAGATTCGGCAAACAATCCATCTAAAAATTTCAGAAATGCTTGGATTGTTAATACAGTGGAAAAGAAATATCATAATAATAATAATAATAATTCAAATACAAACATTCCTTAAAAGGAAGATTAAAATGAAGAAGTTTTATTCTAAGGAAACCTACTTAAATACACAGGAGGTATTATTAATAAATGGAAATAGGTCAGGTGCGTGCTTAAAAAAGATTATTTTTAAGTTTAGATTGAGAAAGAAACAAGTGAAGATAAATAGATAAACAAATACTTAATAATCGATTCCTTAAATTTTAAGATTTTCTAAATCACTGTAGAAATAGTTTTGGAAGATAATATTCATGAATTAGTTTTAAAGTTATTGCACAGTAATTATGTGTTGAGACTAAGAGATACTTCTAGCTCTTATTAAATTCTCTAACAATGGAAACAAAAAATAGAAAACTCTATCAAACAAGCTGAGGGTTTTTAGAAATACAAGCTAGTAAAAAATAAATTAATAAATATTTTACTATATAAATTATTTCAATTATTTTTTTATTAATTTTGCATTAAATTAAAATTAACTTGTCTGATTTTTATTGTTGTAGGAGGAAGATAAGATGCCTTTGATCACATAAAATGAAGTTATGATGGAAAGTGAATTTATAGAAAAAGCTAAATCTGGAGATATTATTTTATTCAACACAGAAAGTATTCCAGCTGCTATGCAAAGAAAGACCACATTTAGCAAATACGACCATGTTGGTATTGTCGTTAAATTAAGAGATAATTTTGTAAGGATATTTGATGCCACTGGCTATGGAGTAGAGTTGACTGAATGGAACAAATTTGTTTATGAAAATGGCTAATACAATTCTATGACTTATCGCCAGCTTAATTACAGTAAAAGAGAAAAAGTTTTACCTGCTTTGTATAATTTTATTCTACAAGCAAATGGGAAAAAGTATAGCATGAATTTGTTGAAATTTGCAAAAATGAATTCAATTGTTGAAGACAATTCTTCTAAAAATAAAGATTCTACCTATTTTTGCTCTGAGTTAGTAGCCAAATGCTTAAAGGAAATGGGACTACTTAACTAGATAACATCTTCTACTTAGTATTGGCCTCGTAGCTTTTCATCTGAATATGAAGATAAAGAATTGGTGCTCTATGACAATGCTTTCCTAGAGTAAGAGAAAACCATACTTTTAGATGCAGATTTGTATAAAATCAAATCTAATAAAAACTGAAATTTTATTCAAATTATTTTAAATTCTATAATAATTTTAATTATATGTCTATACATTTTTCAAGCCTTAAAAATAAAATTCTACTTAAGAAAAAAATTATTTATTTATTAATTAAATTGGATTGTAAATATTTTAGGTCTCATATATTTTTTTAGCATAAGATTTTAACAATAAAAGGTTATTTTACAAAAAATATTGAAAAATTAAAATTCTCAAAAAACTTAAAAATATTTATGAAGTATTTTTCTAAAAATAATTTAATAATTTCAGAAAATAAATTTTAAAGAATTAAAGTTAAATTATTCATCTTATTGAATTAATTTAAAGAAAGAACATTTTTTGTAAATGTAAAAATAATTATTTTTAATTAAAATAATCTGATTTTCATTATAAACAAATAGTTATTATAGTTATTTAGCTATAATTAACAAGGATATATTACTTAAAAATAATAAAAATTAATAAATAAAATGCTTTGAGCATTTATATAAATTTAAAATAAATTTTATTAACAACATTTTTTCATTAATTCATTTATGTTTTTTAAATTTGTTTATTTCACTCAGGAAATTATTCTTATGATTTAGAATTTTTTTCATGATGGTCATGCTTTTTTAATTTAAGCTTTTAATCTTTATTTCCTTTGGCTCTTTCGTCTCTTTCTTAATTTTTGCGCTCTATTTAGAAGTGTTTCTTTGTTCTTTCATACTTTTTATCTTTAGTTTTTTATTTTATTTCCTCTTTCATTTCTTTGTAGTTTAATTACTTCATGTTATTTAATGTATCAATGTATTATTATTTAAATTAGGGGTGCAATATTTTAGCAGCATCTTTTTTTAATTGATCAACTAATCTACCTTTTAAGTCTTTGGTATCAGAAATTATCTAAAGACTTTGCATTAAAGTTTTGAAAAATCTATGTGGCATCAGCTCCTTATTTAACAAAGTTGAAGCATTAGTAAGTAACTTGCTAAGTATATTTAAATCTGTATTTGATCTTAAAGCTCTATATGTTTCTCTTACAATATTATAAAACTCCTCATCAACATACTCTCTTTTGAAAAATACCATGCATATATCTGCCAAATCTAACAAATTTATTTATGTCTTTTTAAGGAAAAACTATTATTTAACTATTTTCATAACTTCTTCATCTAACATATCAAACTTATCTAAGCTGACAAGTATGTGACTCATTTCCTAATTTTACAAAAGATTTTAATTGCTTAGAATATTATGAAATATAAAAAATATTTGGAAATTTTTTTGCTTTGTTTAATTTAATGTAAATATTTTAATTCTTATTTTACTTAGATATTGAATGATTCGAAATTCTTTATGAAATCGTCTCTACAGGTTTCTAAAAGAGGCTTTGAAAAGTAATCATTTGCAGCGAATGTGTAAAGAGTGCTTGATTTTTCACGAGGCTCGAAATAGGATATATGATTAATAATAAATTATTCAAGAACATAAAGAAATTCTTTAGATATGTTTTAGCTTTTTGAAAAGCCTGTAAGAATTTAAGTGTAATCCTTTTGAAGCTGCTTTACATCAAGTTCAGGATTAACTATAGCATCACGGAGCTTCAGAGCTAAAACGATTTACATCTTACCATAAAAGTGAGAGAAATCATATTCAGTTTGTGAGCGAGATATCTTTGAAAAAGAATAAGCTATTTGAGCTAGGGCTTTCAAAGAGAACTATTCGAGTCTTTCAAGGACATATTTTTCAATTTTAATATAAGGATCAACTTCTTGGTAGTTTACCTTGTATAGATTGAAAGAAAATCCACTGATTCCTTCTGGACCTTGTAAATTGTCAAGATTTTCACTAATTAATTTAGTTATCTACTAAAATTAAGGAGTTTGATAAGTATTCATAATCCTAAATTTGCGGGAATAAGTCCACATGTTGTTAAGAGCTAGGACATATTTAGGATCATTAATAATCTTTTCGTTCATGAATACATCAATAAAGTTTTGTTCAGAAAACTCATCTAAAACTTAATAATAATTTCTCACGCTATTAACTTCTGGAAGTAAATCTTAAACTTATTCATTTGAAAGCTTCTTGGGTAGCTTTTTTTCTTCAAATTACTATTTCTTAACATAATTTCTGTTTGAAGCTGGCTAGATTTAACTTTCAGATTGTTCAGTGTATGATTTATTTTTTGAAGAAGAAGATTTATTTCTTGACCTACTATCATTATAGCGAACTTTTGGTAGACTTTCACCTTTTGTTATTTTTTTATCTGCTATCATCATTTATCTAGAAGAGCTAATCTCAAATGGCGAGTCACCTTGTAATTCTTCTTTCACCCTATTATTCTAGTCTGAAAACTTCATTGAAGGAACTCTAAAAAGCAAACTTGCCCCTAATTTATTCCACTAATTGAGTGAATTAGATTTGACTGCTATTTTGAACAACTAATTAATGATCATTTTTAATTTTAAATTGATAATTTTAATTTTGTTAACTTATTTTTGATTATTTAATTTTTAGTAATAAGATATTTTCTACATATGTTTAATAGCTAACAATCAATTTCAAACACATATATTTAAAGAATGTTCTATTAAATGTGTATCTCTACCTCTTTTAACTTTAAAATTCTAATAACAAAAGTAGAATAACCAAAAAGCACTATTCATTAAATAGATCATTTATCCTCGTTTTATTTGTTTATTTTAAAATTATTTTTATCGAAAAATTTAAAATGAATTTTTTGAATTTTAAAATAAAGTTTAACTGTATTGTGAAATTTATTATTCTACTTCAAACTTGATATTATTTATGACCCAATTAGCAATTAAAAGTAGCGCAAAGATTTACAATTAAAAATATTTGATTTTTAAGATTATACTGTATGCATGTATGTATGTTTTTATGCATGCTGTTCAACACCTAAGAAAATCTAAATAAAAAATATCTAAATAATTAATAATAAATATATAGAAATTTTGATTTTAGCTATATTTAAAAAAGACTAATAGGCATTAAATAATGAGTTTGTTTGTAGGTAATATCAGCAGAAATGTTGATTAAAAGACTATAGAATCAGCATTTACTGCATTTGGACCTTGCAAGTTTGAATTTAGAGTATGAAGTTTTATATTTTGATTAAATTGGATTAGCTTTTGTACTTATATACATTATATATGATTAACAGCATAGATACGCCTTTGTCCAATACACAAGAGATAAAGATGGTGAAGCTGCTAAAAATGAATTGCATAATAAGGATTTCGGAGGTAGCTAGATAAGCATTAAATTTGATAAATCATCATGATTTGTTTTATAAATGATGATTTAGAAATTTACAATTTGATAATTCATCTCAAATTTAAATTATATTAAGGTTTAAAGCTTAATGTCGAATGGTCAAAGAAATCAGGTAGATTTGATGAAAATGATAGAAAAGAATCGTAAAATAAATATATTTCAGAAATGAAAAAGCATTCTAAATTTGTTTTTAATTTTTAGAAATAGAAGAAATAGCAGATCCAGAAGTGAAACCAGGTATTTTAAACAATTAATTTTAATATGAGTAACTTTGATCATTTCTTAATAAAACCAAAATTAGAGGTGGTGGGAGAAGATCTCCTTCTTGGGGAAGAAAAAGAAGAAGTTCTCCTAGATATAGAAGATCTGCATCTAACTCTGTTTACAGCGATGACTGCCCTCGTGATAAAGAGTAATAAAAAACCACATTTAATTTACTTAAAGTTTCATATTAATTCTGATAAAACTCTAAGTAATCCATCAATCAATAAATCAAGCAAGCAAGACACATATCAAAATAAAATTTTAGCTTGATTAAAACTTTTTTTAAATGAATAATGAATAAGTTTAAAATAAATTTTATTTTTCAAATAAAAAATTGATTGAGGCATCTACTAAATACTTTTAATATATTTAGGTTGAAAAAAAGATTAGAAGAACTTAAAGAATAAAAGAAAAACAAGAAAGATAAGAAGGATTCAAAGGAGAGAAAAGACAAGGACGTTAAAGAATCAAAAGATGGAAATAAAGACATAAAAGAAAATAAGGATTCAAGAGAAAATAAAGAAAATAAAGAGAGTAAAGATAACAAAGACAGAGAAAGAGAAAGAGATAGAGATGGCAAAGAGAAAAAAGAAAAAAAGGAGAAAAAGCATAAAGATAGAAGCAGAGAACGTAAAAGATCTAAAAGTCCTAAAAGAAGAGATACAAGAGAAGATAGTTATAGATAAGACAATAACATGGATATCCCAATGCCCAATTGATTAAAATTTTATTAAATTAGCTTTTTATATCCTAAATTTATAGCATACTTAAACATTTTTATAAATATTTTATGTTATTTACTTACTTACTAACTAACTCATCATCTCATGTTTCATTATTTTATTAACTTTATAGCAATAAATGTAATTAATTTATTTAATTTCAATAAAAATATCTTAAAAAGCAAACAAATAAGTTATTTTCTAAAAAGAGAAGTGATATTTTTAAGGATTGATTTATTGTTTGTTTTGTTTGATTAAATAGTTTAAAAAATAAGTTTTTTTTTGCTGATTCTCTTTGATTTTATTCAATTTTTAATGTGAATCCTGATTAATTTTATTTTAAAAAAACAAATAAAATTGCTTAGACAAAATTAATTCATGTTATTAATTGAAATTTATAATCATCCTAAATTTATTTATTTTTTCAAGAGTCTATTCATTATTTTATCTTTAAATTTTTAATATTTTTTTTTAGAATTGAACAAATAAATGAGATATTTTGAAATAATAATCATAAAATTAATTTTAATTTAAGAATATAGAAAATTTTTTCTTTTAAAAATAACTTCTTCAAATTTTTAATTTTAAAATAAATTGAAAATCAATATTTTTTTTTGTTTTTAACTTTTCTTTCAGCTGAAACTTATTTTTATTAGATATTTATATTTAATTGATCTAAATAAGACTAAGTTATTATAAAACTTTAATAAAAGGTATTTATTTATGAGATAAAAAATATTTTATTTTAATAAAATTAATAATATTTTATCATATTTATCTTAATTTTATTAAAAATGTCATTCAAAAAAATTTTTGTCGCTAATAATAAAAAATTACAAATTTTCTAGATTTTTAAAATGATTTTAATCAATTTTAAATTTAATTTTAAAAATATTATGAAGAAATTTTTCTATTTTAATTCTGATTTTGCTAAAAAAAGAATAGAAACTTACTTTTCTTTTAAATTTGGTTAAATCTAAATTTAATATTTAATATACAAAAATCATAAATTTTGTCAAAAAAAATTAAATTAAGTAAGCATTAAAAGTAATTTTTATATCGCAAATAGAATTTCTAAAACAAATTTTCTTGATCAAGAATTTCAAATATGCACTTTATTCCTAATTCATCAATACAATTATAATAAATTTCCAAATATTGTTTAGGATATTTTTAGATTAATTTCCCTTTTTTCAAAGAGAAAGGTTAAAACGATTTACACTTATCAGAGTTTTTAATTATTTATAGATTGAAAATCAGATTCTGATAAAATAAATTTACTTGAAATTAAAAAAATTTTAAATTAAAAATCTAAAATAACAAAATTAATGAGATTTTGATAAAACGCATTCAATTTTTTTTTTTAATTTACTTTGAAACAAAAATATCTTTTGCAGATTATAAAAAACAAAATAATTAATTTCTTTCAAATAATCTAAAATTTACTTTTGTTCTTATTAATTTACAAAGGAAATTTTCCCACGACAGTTCTGATAAAACTTAAGACTATTAAATGAAATAGAGATGATAGAGTCCAGTTCTATTTTAAGTATCACACAAAAAAAAAAAACTATAAAAAGAAAAGCAATTAAAAAATTAATAGTATTAAAGTTAATAAATAAAATAGGTGAGAAACAAAGACTACTGATTGATTGATATATCAAAATTAAAAATTAGATTTCAACTCTTAGTAAATAAAAGAAAAATGTAATTTAATCAAGTAGAATTATAATTACCTGCTTAGAAATATAAACAGAACCAGATGGATGAAGGAGAAAAAATATACTAGAATGGAACCCCTAGCATAAATGATAATTATTATGAAGGTAAAGACGAAGATTAGTTTGGAGTTGATCAAAATGGTGATAGCGAATAGGAGAAATCAACTTCAAAAGCAACTCCTGATAATATGTCCAAGTCTGAATCAATTATTGAAGTTAATCCAAGCAATAAAAAATAAGCGAAGTCAAGCACCATGTATGCTTACATGAATTTATTTAAAGGCTATATTGGAAGTGGTATCTTAGCGCTGCCATATGCATTTACTCAAGCAGGTTGGGTTTTGAGCTCTATGATTTTTTTGCTTGTTGCTTTTATTGTTTATGACACTATGAATTTATTATTTGAACTAGCTGATTCGTATGGGAAGGAAGGAGTAGATTACTAATTCATAGCAAAGCATCATTTTGGAAGAAAAGGGTAATTTGCTGTTAGCACTTTTATAGTTATATTTTAAGTAGGTTGTTGTATTAGCTATGTTATCTTCTTTATGAAGTTCCTTGAGAATGTATTTGGCATGGCTGGTAAAACCTAAGAAAATGATATTATTTATTTACTTATAGCTTTGGCTATTATTATTCCAATGAGTTTCATAAATAGCATTTCTGCTTTTGCTAAAATTTCTATTTTAGCTAACTTCATGATAGTAGTCACTCTTCTTGCTATTTTTTCAGTAATAAAATATATATTTAATTATCATAAATGCACCACATGCTAAAATCGCACTATTTAACATAAATTAGTAAATTAAACACTAATTAATGACTTAATAAGCAAAAAAAACAAATCGCTTATTTTAAATAACAAGATATTTTATTAAGTTGTTTGGCCCAATCAATCCTAAATATAAATATTTATTTGGAATGTTTTTAACTGAATGCTATTTTGCGTTTTTAAAAATAAACTGATGCAATTTTTAAAATTGTAGCAAATTTATATAAGTCATCCTTACTTACGCTTAATAAAAATTTTCATATGAAATTTATTGATAAAAGAAGCACTGATATTTAAAATTTTTAATATCAATTTAATATTAGGATGTTCATTTATAGAAATATTTGTTTTTGCAAATATTTTTCAAATTCAAACAAGAAAAATAATAATGATTTAGTATACCCTATGAATGTTTGCTATAATCATAATTTTAAATTAACTTATAGAAACTTTGTTGAAGTTGTTGATAAAAGAAGCATTGATATTTTACATTTTTAATATCAATTAAATTTTAGGATGTTAATTTTTAGAAATATTAACTTTTGCAAATATTTTTCAAATTCAAACAAAAAAAATAAAAAATGACTTAGCATGCCCTATGAATAAACGATATAATCATAAATTTAAATAAACTTATAGAAAATTAGTTGATTAAATTTTTTATGACAGTTGATTGAAAAATAGATTAAATTTACTGATAATTTAATTGGTGTATTTTATAAAAATTAGAATTTCTTAAAAATGTTTTTTAATTAATGAAAAATTAATAAATTGATTTTAAATTATTTTATATTACTAAAAAAGTATAATATACAGAAGATTGGTGAGTTATAGCCAGATATATATAGCAGGAACTTGAATGATACATTCGATTTTAGCAGGATTCCTATGATGATTGGTGTTTCTATTTATGCGTTTGAAGCGATAGGTTTAATATTTTCTATTAGAAACTCTGTAGAAAATCCTTAATTGTAATTTGGAGCCATATTTAGAAACACAAATATTGTCATGGTATCTGTTTACATAGTCTTCTCAGTTGTTGCAGTTATAGCTTATGGCGATGATATGAATGAAATTATATTATTTAGCTTGCCAAACGATTAAAAATCAGTTTAATTTTTTTAAATTATATATGCTTTTGCTCTTATTATGAGTTATCCTCTTTAATTATTACCAACATTTTAAATTCTTGAATCAAATCAGAAAATTCACAAATTTATCTACTAATAAAGAGCAATGCCTGATAATTCAAACAAAGAACCCTGCAGTACGATTGCAAGAAGGATGGTAATGAGAGTAAGTGTTACTCTTTGCATTTGCTTTTGTGCCTATGCAGTACCTCGTTTTGCTATATTTTTGAACATTATTGGTGCAGTTGCTGGTACCTCACTTTAATTTATACTTCCAATCATAATGTACTTACAGACATTTAAAGATACCATGAAAACTTTTAAAAAGTTTAAATTGTATATATTTTTTTTAATTGGTGTTATAGGAGGTCTTTCTTCATTTATTTTTTCAGTAATTGAGCTAGCCTAACAAAGAGAGGCAACCGAAACTGATAATAATTGAAATAAATTAAGAATAAAAACCAAAAAATCTACTAATAATCTTACAAAAATTATAATTTTATATTTTAGTTAATTTATATAATATACTACTTTTATTTTTAGTTAAGTAAATAGCTCTCAATCATTTAATCACTATTGTTTTTTATTGAAATATCATTCTTTAAGTCAATTAAAAAAGAAATTTTAAGCTAATAAATTCGACTTTAAAATTAACGCTCTAATTTTTTTTAATGATTATTTCTAAATAGAATTTTATGGGTTAATTAATAGTTTTTAAAAAAATTTTCAATCAATCAATCAAATTCAAAAGATATTGATTAAATTATTTAAATCAACAAAGCGATATTGATTTTCTTATTTTAATTTTTTCATAATTGAGTAAGCTCATTTTAAAGAAAACATTTACAATTATTGAAGAAATAAAAATAAAAATCTTTTTGTTCCTTTAAATATTTTATCAATGAAAAAAAAATGAGTGATTATTTGAAGAAAATATATCAATTTAGTAATTAATTCTAAGTCTTTCTTTGAGCCAAAATCAACTATTGGATTAATTTCAATATAATGTTCACTTTAAATTGATTGATTAATTTACTTGTTAATGGATTAGATATGTTAAAAAATCAGACAGAAAGAAGCATATATACAAATATACATATATACATATACGATTAAAGACAGCTTGCTTGGCTTTCTTTGTCTTCAAACGATTTAACAAATAATAGATGTTATAAACTAACAACTTTCCAAAAAAAAAAAAAAATAGTGACTGAATTAAAAAAGAAAGCAATTAATTTAAAATAATTAATAGAAAATAAATTAAAGAAAGAAAGATTATCATATTAAGAAATCAGTAATAAGCAAATTAATAAATAAATAAATAATTTAGATACATACATAACAGAAATAGATAGAGGTAGAGAGCATCTAAATGTCTCAAAAAGTTTTCGAGCCTAATTATGCAATAAACGAGGGCGACTCTCCTGTAAACCTCTCGTAAGTGTCTGAGGGATCAACAGCAAGTCCTGTAAGAATATCTCCTGTTCAAAAATCCAACTAGATATCAAATATTAACTATTTATCCAACCTTAAGCATTCGCTTAACCAAGTAATTAACAAACTATTTTACTTTAATTGATAGACACACAAAGCATGCATTTTTATAAATAATTATCTTAATTATATAGTATAATAATGGAGGACGTAACGAATAATAGCAGCTTCAATACAAGCACTCCAATCCCATTCAAGAATCTGATCAAGATTAATACGAATACAACAATGATGGTAACCATAATGAAACTAATATTAGCTATTCCTAGTCAGGAACAAGAAGTAATTATTTTATTTTTTAATATTTTGAAGGCCAAATTGATATTTAAGATAAATTTGGGTATTTTAATTTAATTTGGTTGTTTGATTGCCATTTATTTGATGGAACTAGTGAGTATTTTTTATTTATGCAGAATAAATTAGCAGTTTAATTAAAGTACTAGGTTAGATTTTCCTAAATTTTAGTTAGTAGCAATCAAGAATTTTCAAATGAACATTTGAAATAATAAATTAATAAAGATATTATTTATTGTTAAACAAAAGCAAATAAAAAGTATTTTTTACTTAAAATTTTTTGAAAAGTAGAATATACAAATAACTTTATTGATATAAACTGACATTTTAAAGCTCATTCAATCTGTATTTAACTTTATCAACTAAAATGCAAACAGGTAAATAAGGTACTCTTGGAGTATTAATGAAGGGACTATCTCCAAAAGAGTTCGCAGCAATGCAAGTTTACGGAATGAATCAAAGCATGAGACAAAACAAGTCTAATACAATGGGTACGTTAGGAAGCTAGCCTACTGTTAAATCAGTAGGTTCTGTAAATATAAACAATATGTAGCAAGGTCAAACAGTTGAGCACATAGAAACATTAGATAATTAACTTTCATAAGGAGAAATAGCTATTGATTAGGATCATTATCCATAAGATTATTAAAACGTAGCTCCTTCAAAATACACATAAAGAAGTCAAGCATTGTTTGAGTATTTAGCAAAAACAGGAGATATTATGAAAAGCTAAGAACGCTTACATACTTCAACTTACGCCAAGAACTTGCTTTTGTCTGATGAAAATATGAATTAATTTGAAAAGGAAAATAAAAAGAAGGCTCATTAAAGAGTTTACAGTTCAAGAGAAATGGAAGTTATCAACCGTCTTTACTCTGAGCATGAATAAAAGTAAAAAAAAAATTCAGATTTGAAAAAGGATTATGAAGAAAAGATGCTCAAAGAGTGTACTTTCTCTCCTCGCTTGATGAGATCTCATTTTAACTCTGGCTCCAACTTCAATTTTGGAAATACCCACTCATAAGAGTCTCAATATTACTCAAAGAGAGAGCCTAACTTTTACGAGTAATCTTAAAAGATGAAAACGTTATATGAAAACCATAAAGAAATACTCAAGGATGCCAAAGAAAATGAAGAAAAGCAGTAAGTTTTAGATAAACCTAAACTCACTAAAAAAACTCAGTAAATAAGTGAGTAGGCTTTTGAGAAAAAAGGATAAAAGAGCTTAAGCGTTATAGATCGTCTTTTCTAAGAAAAAAAGGTTCCTTAACAACCTGAAGATCCTCACCCATATAAACCCACAATCTCTAACTACAAGACTAAGAATAGAAAAGTTCAAAAGATTGACGAATATCTCTATCAGGATGCCAAAAGAAGAAGAGAGGTAATTTCTTTTAATCATTTTAATAAGAAAAAAGGTTCATTTTAAAAAAGAAAAATCCCATTCCAAAAAATTTGAGAAAAAGCATGTTTTTAAATTAGTTTAAATACTGGCTTATTTATCTAATTGCTTGCTATTCAGCCATAATTATTTCATACATAATTTGAAAATTATTTGATTTTCAAAAGATTTTTTAATTGTTTTAGTAAATATTATCAGTTAAAATATGTAATAGTTTTAGGCTTTTTTTTTCAGTTAAAAAAATTAAACTGTTTAAAAGCTTACTTTAAATTTTTGTTGGGTAATTAATTTTCAATATTAAATTAAGAATAAGATTTTTTGTTCTCACTGAACGAAATATAAGAAGTCTTTTTTATTTTATTTTATTTATTGCAAAATAAAATTAATCAGCAAATTTATTAAACTTTATAGGAAGAAAAATAATCCAAGAGTGTTACTCACAGCAACTAGAAATCTATCAACTTTAACACACTTTCTACACATGGACCTTCCTAAGGATCTGCTTATAATCCTAATGCTCACAAGAAGAGTCTCTAAAAAGCTATTGCTTCAAAATTTGACAAGGAATTCTAGCAAGCAGTTGCTGACATGGCATTTACGAAGGATCCCAACAGAAAATCTATGCCTGAAACTATTTCTTATTTGGAAGCCATTGAAATTTTGCAAAATTTGAAATTTATCAACCAAAAGAGCTTTGAAGAAAATTAAATTATTGCAACTTAAGTATAGCGTGTTTGGAATTAATTGTCAGGAAGATAGAATAAGTCTAGAGTTTTGGTGAGAAACCTAGAAGTTTTCTTGTTTGCCGTTTAAAATATCAGAGCTGACTCAGAAATGATACCTTATGTTACTGAGGAGTAGCTTTAATAAGAAGGCTAACAGAATACTTTACATCATAAATCATAGCACTTGAATCCAGATGACTCTTCTCCTCGCAGTCACTTTAACTCCCAGCAACAAAGTTAGAGTTAAGATAATATGGAGAGAATCAATTAGAAAATTGCAGAAAGAGCTGAGATGATTAATTCAAAGCTCAGCGAGTCTAAGAAATGTGCAGTAGGTTTCTTCGATAAAAATGATAACTTATACTATATAGATGAGTAAGTAAACTAGATTCACAAGCAATTTAAGGATATTAATGACAATCGTCTAACTGCAGAAAAAGGTGCTAGAAGAACTTCTAAAAACAATGAAGTCAATAATCACACCTATGCACCAGAAATCTCTGAAACATCTCGTCGTTTGGCCTTAGAAAGAAGGTATTTTAATTGTTAATTTTTGCTCAATTTGTATTTATAATAAATTTAAAATATTTAGAGAAAGAGTTGTTGATGACTTAAAGAATAATCCAGGATTCGTTGGAGCTCTTGATATCAATGAAATTTTGAGTTACTAATAGCAACTAACAAGATTTTAAAACTTAGAATTGAAATAGAAGCTTGATGATGAAAAAATGAATGAATGCACCTTCCATCCTTAAACAAAAGATTTCAGTAAGGTACAGAAGTATTTTTCACCTAGAAACAACAATAATGGAACTAATTTCGAAGAAGAAATGCAAGGAAAAGTACCAAGTGAAAGAAAGTAAGCTACATCAACCAAGCCATTAGGAGTGCACAGAACACTAGAACTTTACTCTCTTGCTAAGCCTTAGAACTAGAGAAGAGATAGAGATAAAGGAGATATTGAGTATGAAAAAGAGTGTGATGAATGTACATTCTCTCCTGATATTTCTCATATCAAGCTTACTAACTTTAATTCGACTATTAATGGAAGCCAGTACAACTCCTACAACAGCCCTAACAAAAGCAAATAACTAAGCAATTTACAACAAAAAGGTATTTAGAAGAGTATCGATCGTATGAAAACTGGTCGCTTAAATACCAAAGTTAATGAGTAAATTCAAAGCTCAGGCACAACTTTATCTAACAAATAGCGTCAATCAATTGAGAAGTTTGTTAATATTTCCTTACAAAGTGAGAAGCACACTCATGAGCGCCCTCAGGGAAGATTCATCTCAACTAACTCCCACCATAATCACAGTAACAGCGGGCAACACAGAGTAGTTTCATCTTCTCCTAAGCCTAATATGTTCTCTCCTTAAGAAACTCAAGAATACACTCACTAAAATAACATAGGTAAATCATTAAATAAAAGTATATTAAATAATTAAAATATTTATTTTATAGATCCATAGGAACACGTAGATACTGCTCGTAGTGGTAAATCTCAACCTAATTAGGCAGAAACTCAAGATGTGACTGAATACTTCTTGAAGTAGCCTTAGCAGTAATCTTAATAGGATAAAGAAAAATCTCTACCTGTAACTTCAAAAACTATGGAAGAAGACAGAGTACCTTTGCTGTTTGTTGACGTAAACATTGAAGATGGTAAAACTGCCAGAATTATTGTTTACGAAGGTGAAAAATCTGAAGATCTTGCTAATAAGTTTGCATAAGAACACAGTAAATTTTTATTAATTCAATAACATAATTAAAAAGATGATTTCTTTAAAAAAGATCTTGATTCAGTTATGACAGGAAGACTTAAGGATTTGTTAGATTAACAAATTAACAGCTTATTAACTAAGATTGATGAAGAAGTTGGAAGCGATAGAGAAGAAGAAGAGGAGGAAAGTGGAGAAGACGAACAAGGTAACTACATTCATAGAAGAAGACATAAAAAATAGAAAATGATTGACCATCATATTAACGAAGAAGAACAACACCAAACTAGCCAACAAGTAGTGCACCATGAAGAAGAAACTCCTTCAAATAATTAAAACATAATTTACACAGAAGATAACTTTGATTATATGAGCAGCTAAAATCGCTTGAATAATCCTAATTTCCACAACCAAGTTTAGAATTCAGATCCAAATATTAAGTCAAATCAAATGATTACTCATCCTGATGAGCATGTTAAAGAAGAGGTTCATGAGTAAGACGAAGACGATGAAGAAGAGTAAAATAAAGTTAAGAGAACAGCTGCAGGAAACTAAAACGAACATCCTTAAGAACATGAGCATTAGAAAAATGCTTAGGATATCATGGAAATGCACATGAAAGCTTTAGCTTAGACTTTCAAAAACTATTCTGAAAACGAAGACAAATAGAAGTAGTTATTGAGTGAAGACAATCACACCTAACTTACCTCTTCCTAACAATAGAAAAAGCTTACTTAAAAAGAAATCGAAGAAATGCATATGAAAGCTTTGGCTACAACATATAAAAATTACTCTGAGAGTGAAGAAAAGCAATCCTAATTGCCAACCAATAGCTAGAAAGTGACTCTCTAAGATATGGAAAATCTTCATATGAAAGCCCTAGCCGCAACCTTCTAAAACTATTCAAATGATCCCAATAAGCTAAACTAATTACCTCCCTCTGAGTTCTCTAACTCAAGCTCAAAGAAGGTGTTCGAATACGAGTAACATTCACCTTTACAAAACACACAAACATAAGGTGGACTTTACTCCTATTAAAATTAACCTTAAATTTCTAATAACTCCTATGCAGGTAGCACTTACAAGCCAGAAACCACTAATGCAAACAGTAACAGTTATAGTAATTAGCTTAATGTGCAAGATATTATGAATAATCATATGAAGGCTTTGTCAACAACATATTAAAATTATTCTGAAAACCCTGATAAATTTAATTATAATTAATCCTCATAGCCATCATCATCTTCATATTTGCCCTCAAGCACAAACTACGGATAAGCTTCAAATAGTCCTTACAACAAATATACTTCTCCAGTAGGTTAATCTAATTTTGCCACTGCTTACACAAACCCCACTACTTAAGTAAACTATGGTTCCTCATCATATAATGCTCTTGGAACTTCAGCATCACCAACTGGCACCACCTACAATGCATATTCTATTCCAACAACCAATACCTATAGCACAAATACTTATGGAACTACAAATACAGGTACTTATGGAACATCTAACGCAAATACATATGGAACATCAAATGCAAATACATATGGAACATCAAACAACAGCACATACGGAGTTACTAATACTAACAACTATGGATTATCTAACAGTAATACTTATGGTACTGCTAATAATACCTATGGAACTACTAATACCTATGGAGCTACTGCATCTAACCCTTATAGTTCTTCAACAACATATACAACTCCTTCAACCTTTAACTACAATCCCACTACATTTAAATATTGAATAAAAAATTATATTAATAGATATTTGACTTGTATAGTTTTAATTAGATATAACTTAAATGTTTATCATTAAATCAAATAAATTTATATTGCAAAATTTGTTTTTACCTATAAAAAATATATCTTATCCATTAAAATAAATTACCTAATTAAGTAAAAATAAAATACTCAAAATCCTCACAAACTAATCCCAAAAAATAATTTTTTTTTTGCTATCTTTCTTTAAAAGATCTAAAATTAAAACATAAATTATGAAGAAAATTACAAATTTTTAAATAATTTTTTTTATATTATAATATTATAATAGCTTTATAAAAGAAATATTTATAAAAAGAAAATTAAAATTAATGAATTCATTTTATAAATTGATTATCATTAATTTTCTATATTCAAAAAAAACATAAACTTATTTTAACTAATTATTATTAAGGAAAGGTCTTTATAAATACAAATTTGTTATAATAATGTTAGCATTTATATATTATCCAAAAATATATACTTGAAAAAAATCTAAAAAAATATATCTACTCTTTTTCAAGTAATAGATTTTGAAATTAATTTGACTTTGGTGAAATTTCTCATGCAAAAAAGTATGTTTTGTTAAAAAAACAGAGTAAATTCTTTAAGTAATAAATAAATAACCTAAGTTTCAAATTAATTTCAGTAGATTTATTTACTTAAAGTCTTGAATAAAAAATACTAGAATATAAGTAAGTAAGTATAAAGTAAATAAAAACTTTCAATCTAGAAAAATTTAAATGAAGTTAAAAACTTTTTTATATTTTTTGAAATAGTTTTTTAAAGAAATAAAAGACAGTAGTTTTTCTTTAAAATTTTCTAAATCTTTTCAAAATTACTGGTTTTTATTATGATAGAAAATAAGTAGTATTTTTATAGCGTATCTATTTTGTAAATTGAAAAGAAAAATAGCTTATCATATTTTTTACAATTTTTTAAGTAATTTAAAGCTTTTTAAAGAGTTTAATATTTAATTCAACAACAACAAATTAATAATAGAATTAGTGTAAACTTTATTTTTCATTTTAATAGAATTTTATCTGATATTACTTTGAGTTGTTTTGTGCAAATTATTTGATTTGAGGATAACAGAAATGATAAAATTTAATTCAAGGAAACAACTAAAGATTTATTTACTAAAATAATTCATTTATTGTATAATATAATAAATGCGAATAATTAAAGCAATAAAGTGAATGATAGTTATGATATAATAAAGACAACTCTTTGATTGGGATAAATAAATATGCATTCATAAATATCTCATGTAATAAATTTAAAATCAGTAATAAAATTTTTTAGTTAAGGGCAATTAATTAATTAATAAATTAATAAGATAATAAATTACTTAAGTTTCTTATATTCACTCTAGATTTCTCAACATCAAAAATAAATCAAAAATTTTAAATTATTCTGCTTAAAATAAAGGTTAATAAACAAATAGTAAATTAATAGGTTATTAAGCTGTGAAAGCTCCATTATAGATAGTTTTCTTTTAAAAACGCATAATTAATTTTACAATTCTAAGTGCATCCCAAAAATAATTTTAGATTTAGTTCACCTTTTCAGTCATAATATTTTTGAATTGATAGAGCTATTGAAACTTAGAGAAAAATTTTAAGCTAAGAATAAATAGATCATTTAAATTAAAGCAACATCTTCAAATCATTTGAGATTATTTCTTAAAATTTAATTACCCTGATTAGAATATGCAGCCTTCAAATAATTTAACTTACGTGCCTTATTATTAGCCACTTTCATCACCTAAATTACCTTTCTAGCAAGGCTAATTACAATAAACTCATTAGTTCAACCTTTCTAAACCCACAAATACTTTAAGTGGATAAACAAGTATAGGACAAACCGTTTTTACTTCTACAACGAACGTTACAACAGTGTTTCCTACTGTTAATACTTTAAACTACAGCAACATGCCTTTTTAAAACTCAAATGCACTTATTCATTAGAAAACAGGAAATATTACATCCAGTTCTGCAGGCAATACAAATTACTTAAAATCCCCAATATTAAATTCAGCATAAATAACAGCTACAAGTAGTACAGCAGGCAGTTTATAAAATAGTAACTTAGTTAATTCAATAGCTTTTAATGAATTTCAAAATAATTAGAATATCTAAGCTTAAAATTAAATGCTGAATTCTAGAAATACAAGAAGTCCAACTTCAAAAGGAGCAGGGCCTCTTCCTGCACTAAGATCTAGTAGCAGTAAACACTCAAATGAAATATAAAATGATAAGTAATTCGATATAAAAGCATATATTAATAAGCAATCGTTTGCAGGTAGTGCAACTTTTGACTCTAAGCCTATCTTTTTCAGCTCATTAACTAATTCTTTTCAGCCACCAAGTATTAATAACATACCAACTAGCTCTAATAATATTACTACTACTACTAATATTCAAAAATAAAATAACTAAAATAATAACTTCGAAATATAAATCATCAATAGAAATGGCTTTTTTGAGGTTAATTGTGAATCTATTCATCAGTAATCTTAAGAAATTTTGAGTAAATTAAAGAATAAATAGCTTAGTCTTTAAACTGTAAAACAATTAATATCTGAAGTGAAAAGCTTAGAAACAAAATATTCTGAACTATACAATAAGTTATGTTCCAATTATGAAGAGGTGCTTATGGGTAAATAGATTCCTTAGAATAAATTAACACCTACTTTAGGAGATATCCCTTAAGCATCTAATAATAATATTTAGGTTGAAATTGAGCAGAGTCCAAGTATAACAATTACTCCCATTGAAACTGAAAACAAAATTTTAAAAATCAACAAAATTCCATAAAACCTAAAATTTTTAGGAGAATATGACCCAACCATAACGCAACCTCATACTACAACAGCCGCTTTTACTCTTAAAGAAGATAAGAAGATTCCTGTAATAAAAAGCAGTAATGATGTAGCAATAGTCTTAAACGAGATTAAATGTGATTCGAGGATTTAAACAACTGGAAATTATGAAAAAATTTTTAAAACTGAAACAGATGAAGATCCTAGCGATTAGTATACCAAAGAAGAAATTAAGCAAAGATTTTTAGCAATAAATGACAATGATACGCCTTAACTTCTCGGCATACCAGGTGATGGGAAAAAAAAAATTTCTAATTCACCTAAAAAATATTCCTTTGATGTTTCAAATTTCCCCAACGATTACTAATCTTCAGACGAGATAGAACGCCTAATTCAGCAATATAGACAAAATGGTATGAGTAAAAGTGCTAACCACGAAGAATAAAAATAAAATTAAGGAAATGAAGGATAAAAAAAGCCAAATACTAGAGGCAATTCTGCATCATATATTAAATAAGAAAGTTCTGAGGTTTAGGAAGAAAATTAAGATAGTAAAAATACTTTAAAAGTTGTTTAGAATCAATAAGAAAAACGTAAATTATCAGATATAGAAGAAACTAGTAGAGATAATACAGCCAAAAAGGAAACAGTCACTAAAGTTGAATCCGAAAAATAATAATCCTAAGAAACTTAGTAATAAATATCCTCTACAACTGCAACTGCGGGAAGCTCCTCTCCTGGAACAAATAAAAGTTCTAAAAAAAGCACTACTTAGGATTTGCTAGAAAGGGTAAATAATGTCTTATAAAGAAGTGATTTGTTTTTGATGAAGCATTCTGATAAAAAACTGAAAAAAGGACAAAGCAAAAACTTCAACAATGTTACTGCAGATGATGCAGCTACTTCTATATAAAAATTAGATTAGTAACAAATGCAAAAAGAGTATGATTAAAGCAGTGAAATAAAAGCAATCATGGATTAAATTAAAAGAAAATCTGATTATGCTTTGAATGATAACGCTTAGACAGGCAATTAAGAAAAAGAAGTTAGATAAAATCTTATAATCAAGTTTTCTGAATAGAGTCCTAAAAATTAGGATAATGTTTTGAATTCAAACAAAAATAGAGAAAATCGTTCTATTAGTGATTATAGTGCAGAAAAGAAAAAGGAACAGACAAGAACGAGTATTTAAAATTTAGCTGAATTAATCAAAAAGAGTGCTGAAAATACCCCTTAATCAAATCAAGCAGTTCATGGAAGTGCAGTTAATTCTGAATAAAATAATTTAAACTCACCACAAACTGTTACTTCTTGTCAAGTAAAATTTAAAATATATTTTTTTTTAATTTAAAAATGATTCAATAAAAAATTTTAATTTCATTAAAAATACAATATAATAAATGAAGAAATTCAACAGTAAATATTTTTTAATTTAATTTAAGCCAATTTCTCATGAAGCAAATTAAGGAAAGAGTACATTTTCTAAATTTGTCCATTATACTTAAAATGCTACTTAATTTGGTAGTTTTGCTTTTTCTTCTCCTAAGAATACTCTAGGGATAAATGAACTTTTGAATAAATATTCAAGTAGTGTAAATAACTCTCCAAAGACGACTGTTTTATAAGATAAAGTTGATGTTGTTGCTGAAGATAATTTAAATTAAGAACAGGTGTCATCTAACTAAAATTCTAAAGTTCCATCACTTGTTTAAAGCCCATAAGTTTTAATTTCTTTTGTTAGCTAAGCTTCACCAGCAATAAATCTTAGTGAATCTGCAGCAAGCTGTAAAAAAGAAGAAAAAGTAGAAAGTGCAATCAATTCATAAAAAAATTCTTAACTAAAATCTCAATTAAGCGACTCATAATCACCTGCTGTCAATATCCATGATTCAGAAAAGACAACAGCCTTCTCCCCTAGAAATTTTTAAACTCATAACAATACTACAACTTAAAAAACAGCCTAAACAGAATAAATTTAAATTTAAGATAAGGGAACTAGCTCTCAACAATTAGAAATAAAATAGGAAAATTTGAGTAGTTTTGCTAGAAATATAGGACAAAGTGGAGTTTTTTCACCCTCTTCATTTTCCTCAAACAAATCTGTAGCTGTTTAAATAATAGCAAATAATACGGAGGCGACATAAAATCAAGAAGAGCAACCAACGATTCATCCATTTTTAAAACAAGCAGTTTCTTAAGAACCTTAATCTGAAAAATAAAACCACGAAAATATTAAAAAAGAATTATAAGAATCTCAAAATATTCAAGTAGAGTTATATGAAGAAATAGATCCTTTTACATATTCGATTGAAAACTTTAAAGTTGGAAAAAAACTAGGGCATGGTAAATTTGCAGACGTATATGTGGCAGTGTAATAAATAAATAAGTTAAAATAATAAATTAATTTTTATTTTAAAAAAATAATTAGTGATAAGCACACTGGATTCAGAGTTGCATTAAAACAAATTAGAAAGGAGACAATTAAGGAATTTAATCTTTACTAAGATATTTTAAATGAAATTAAAGTTCAAGGAATTTTATCACATCCTAACATAATCAAACTCTATGGGTTCTTTATAGACAATGATAGTATCTATTTGATCTAGGAACTAGCTATAGGAAAAGAACTATTTACAGAGTTGAAATCAACTATTTATAAAAAATTCACTGAAAATATAACTGCATTCTATGTAAGATAAGTGATTGAAGCCTTGATTTACATGCACTCTAAAAATGTGGTCCACAGAGATCTCAAACCTGAAAATATTATGGTTCATAACGTACATATAACAAAAATAATGAATTAGATTATAATTTTACTAAAAAAAATAATTTTAGGGTTTATTAAAGATATGTGATTTTGGGTATGCTGCAATTGTTTAAAAGAATAAAATGAGAAGCACATTTTGTGGCACTCTTGATTATGTCAGCCCAGAAATGGTACAAGGTAAATCCTATGATTTCTCAGTAGATGTTTGGAGTGTAGGAATTTTGACTTATGAGCTCCTAATTGGCCATGCTCCTTTTGCAGCCAAAAGTCATGATGCCACATTTGATTAGATTCTTAATGTAAAATTTAATTTAAAAAATCAAAAATTTTTAAATTAAATAAATAAATAAATATTTTAAATAGGGTGAACTGAGATTCTCTGGTCCTATTTCATTTGAAGCAGGTGACTTCATCTCTAGAATATTAGAAAGAGAGCCAAACAGTAGAATGAATCTAACATAAGCTCTTTAACATCCATTTATATAAAATGAATACATAAGGCGTCTTCAAAGCGAAAAAGGAGGAGAAATTGACTTCGCTGATTTTAACAAATTATGATAAATAGTTTAAATTATTAAATTAAATAAATATAAATAAATAATAATCATTAAATAAATAAATAAACAAATAAAAATTTAGTAGATTTACTATGTAGTATATAAAATATATATTTATTAGTTAATAACAAAATAGTAATTCATCTTAATTCCTATTAATTATCTATTTGATAATGTAAAAATTCTAAAGTATTGATATCTAAAAATACTAATAAATATTTAATTCAATAATTTATTTAGTAAATGTCCTTGACAGTACAAAAAATTTTGTTGAATTTAAATTGATTTATTAAAAAATATAATTTTGAATTTAAGTAAATTATCTATGAATGTCTTTTTTTAGAAGATTTGTTTTAATTTCATAGATTTTTTGACTAAATTCAAATTAATTTAATATTAAATTATATAAGCCTCCTTATCAAGTTTATAACCAAAAAGAAAAGTGTTTTTTAAATAATAATTTTCAAAATTCTACTATGAAATATATCGAAAGGAATTTTTAGAAAATTTTTTACATACTTTGAAAAAGGTTTAATTTATTCTTATTTTATTTTAAAAAATATCTTATTAAAATTATTTAAATTAGAAACAATATATTTGGATTAACAAGAAGTAAGGAAGTTTGCAATTTTTTGTAAAAATATATGAGTAATTAGTTAATTACATAATATAATTATAATAAGAGGTAAGAATAAAGAATACTTGAATGGTTATTAGAATTTTTTTAAGCTTCTATAAATAATAAAATCCTTAATTTTTTATATAATTTATTTGGCTATTAAGCTAATTATTGGCTTAAAATCCTTAGTCCATCTATTTATTTATGTATTTAAATGTTTATTTTAATTTATTTTATTTTTTTGAAATCAATTCTTCCATATTTTTAATAATTTATCTTTTCCACCTGAACAAACCTTAAGACCATCAGGACTCCAATCTACTCCGTATACTTCGTCAGCATGTCCCGGCAAGTCAAACATTAACTTTTTAGTTTTTATATCCCAAACTTTCATAGTAGAATCTTTAGAACCACTAACAAAAAGTCTATTATCAGGAGACCATGCGATTTGATAAACACTAGCAACATGTCCTCTAAAACTAGCAATATAAGCTCCATTAAAACCATCCCATAATTTTAAATTTTTATCAAAGGAAGCTGAAATAAAATATCTTCCGTCAGGAGAGAATTAGACATGATTGACAGGCTTTGTGTGTCCAGTTAATCTGATAATAGGTTTTCTGGAATCAACGGGATCCCACATGTATAAAGTGTTGTCATCAGAACCTGAAACTAATCTTTCATTCTTTGAGCCCTTTAGCTTTGTGTATTTTTCCAATGCTTTTTTTTATTGATCTTCTGGATTTTCTAATATTTCACCTTTTTCATCAAAATATCCAGTTCTCAAGGCATGCTCAGTGCTTAAGCAGATAGTATTAACCCAGTGAGCGTGTCCTTTTAATTCTTTTTCCATACTTCCATCCTTTTTCCAAACCTATGATTATATAAATATATAAATTAATTTCATTATTGGCAAAACACTAAAATATAAAAATAATTCAATAGTTAGCTCAAAAAGCTCTACTTTAACATTTATTTTCAAATGCTTTGGTAAATTAGTATTTTTTTTGCAAAGGAATTATCAAGTAAACAAAAAAACTGGAGAGAAATTTATATAAATATCCTTTAGATAATTTGATTATCATCCTAGTCATTATTTAAAATAAGACATTGCTCAAAAATATTTTTGCTTAGAAGTATTTTCCGAAATGCTTAACTACTGAATATGGTTTAATTTGAAATATTTTTATTTTATTTACCTTTATAGTTGTATCTTCACTTGAACTGTAAATTAAACCTTGTCCTCCCCATAAAACTTTAGTTATACTCTTAGAATGTCCACCAAAGCAAATGCAACATTATTAAGATCTTGAGCTCCAAATTCTGATTGAGGCATCCTTGGAAGCACTTGCAAATAATTCGCAATCTTTATTCATGTGGAGAGGCTCCCATGAGATAGATGTAATCCACTTGTTGTGTCCCTTCATTGTAAGGCCAATTTACTTTCCAGTTTCTGGATCCCAAAGACAAATATCACCATTCATATCTCCTGATGCTAACATTTTGCCATTTGGACTCCATTAGATAACTAAAACCCAATTTCTGTGACCACCTTTACCTGTTTCTTTGGGGAGTTCTGTATTTACATCCCAAAAACGAACAGTTGTATCACCTGAGCCACTAGCTAAATTTTATCCATCTGGAGAAAATTATACGGAAAGAACACTATCTGTGTGACCTGGTAAAGAACTTGATTAACGAGTTATGGGACGAACAAAGAAAAGTGATTAAGGATGGAAAGTAATATCAAGAGTAACTTCTGTGGAAAAATTTTTCATCTTTTTAGCGAAATCATCGATACTAGTCTTGATTTCATGAGTGCCATAAAAGAAAGTGTATAATTTTTCTTCATCATTTTGCAAAATTTCATTAATCATTGCCTCTAATTCCTTTGCTTTGGTGGTGAGGGGAACTTAGAGAATGTTATCAACTTTCTCTCCCTCTGCATTTTTAAATTGAATATATATTTTTTTTTCAGCATCATCTATTTCATTCTTTTTCTCCTGTTAAATCCCATCTGGATTAGATTCTGTTTTGAGCTTCTTAGTTGGATCCATTTTTGCTAATTTATGTATTCTACTAACACCTTGCTAAATATTATTTCTTAATAAATTAAATTAAATTAATTCTTCAAAATTAATTAATCAGTCATCAAATCTATTCCTATCAAAATTTAATTTGGTTATCACTAAAATAAATAGGAGTTAATTTTGATCTTATCATTTATAACTTAAAAGCTCTATCATTATAATGTTTCCTTTGCTCAATATACCTCTACTAAATGACATATTTTATAATTTCAACTCCCATATTTCTATTTCTTCATTTAGTTTTCAATATTAACACATTTAACATTATTCTACTTATTTTTATTATATTTTTGTATATTTTACTTTAAAATATTTTATTTTTCAGATTAAGTAAACTCAAAAATATTAAATTAAAAATATATTTAAAAACAATAGTTTCAACGAATATCTTTCTAAAATAAATTAAAACATCTATAAATTTTATCAATTTTGTTAAATGATTTTAATTCAAATACTTTTTGATCGTTCTTGAGATTTTTCTTTAAGATATAATTGTAAACTATGAAAAAATATCAAATAAATAAGATAACAATGTTGTTTTCAAAATTACTTTAGAATATTTTTAATATTTTTTTAATAAAAATTTTCTAATACACGAAATTTAGCTAGCTCATAATTTTAAAAAAATAAGTTTGAATTTAAAAATAAATATTTATTTGTTCAAACATATTTTTAAATAGTAATTCTAAAATAGGCGTAAATAAATATTAGATTAAAATATAAAATATTATTAAATTATAAACGAATTTTAGTTTTTAAAATTCTTACATTTTTATATAAAATAAATTTAAAGATGATGTAAATTTTTTACAATTTATTTAAATTTAGATACAATTTTAAATTTTAAATAAATTAAGTTATGCTTTAAAATAAATAGATATTTATTTATTTATTTAATTAAGTTTTTAAATAGTTTTAAAATATTTATATTAGTTATTTATTTTGTTATTTATCTATCTATTTATAAGAAAGATTAGAATAATAAGATGATATATTTATTGATTTAAATATTAAAAGTTGATTAATTTTAATTTTCTTTAAATTTATTTAATTGACTATATTAAAGAGGCATCTATCTATTTACCTATCAATCTTTTTTTGATTTACAATCATCTTCTCAGTCTTTATTAATATGTATGATTTATATTTTTGTATCTATTGCTTAGTTAGATATATATATTATCCAATATGCAATATGGGGTTCACCGAATTAGATATTAAGAAATCTGTAAATTCTATTTTATTCTTCTTAATTATTACAATTATTAAACTTTTAATCTTATATATGTTGTTAATTATATAAAAGAAATCTATCTTTTGTATAAATCAATCAATTTTTTGTTGATTTTCAATCATCTTCACAATCTTCATCGAAATTGATTAATTATGTTTCTTTATCTATTGTACAGTTAGATACCTATTACTCTATATGTTATTCATCTAATTAGATGAATTTATCATTTAGAAAATTTTAAACTTTATTTTATTCTTCTAAGTTATTATTATTATTATTATTTAACTTTTAATCAATTCCTATTATCCTTTAGATCAAAGGAGGATCTTCATCTGAAGGATTATTTTCATTTTCTTTGTTTTCTGAAGCATAATTAACTATTTCATCTTATTTTTTTATAAAATACTCATCTTGTTTATCACCATTAGTTTGTAAATTAACTTTATTATTGTTAACTGCAAATATTTCTTTTGTTTGGCAGAATACCTAATCTTCTGGTGAACTATTGAAATATTTACTCATATACTTATCTAGAATTTATATTTTTTAAGCGTCTGAAGAGCTTTAAGAGCATGAAGTGACATCTCCATCACTTTTTTTAGGCTAAAAAACTGCATAATGACCAGATTAATACAGTTTGGTTTAAACACTTCTGTTTGTTGACTACAAAGTTTCTTCAATATCCCATTCTACTTGAGTGTTCTTTTATGAATTATTTTATTTATCATCTACTTGACTAATAGTTTTTCCATTACCACTTTGAATTAATATTTATTCTTTATTTTTCACTATTTAGTTTTACTATTGATCAAATTAAATACTCTAACATTCTTTATTATTTTGTATTCCGTTTTAATTACTCAATTGGAGATGTTAATTTAAATTTTATTCATCAATTTCATTATCATGTTCTATTTTATTATCTAACTATGAAATCCTTTTTATGTTAATTATAGCAGGTACATTTTAAGCTGCATTATTGTTTTATGATGAAATTTGTTAACTTAATTAAACTTCACTTATTTGCTTTTAGCATTCTTCAAAGTTAATGCTTTATTCTGATGAATGTTAAGACTAATTTTTTTCTTATGAATTTTTTTATTTTTCATGTATAGAAAAACATGCTGACTATTCAGGTTTCTTAATAGAATTAACTTCTGATGGGTAATTGCTAACACAATTTTATAAATTATCTTACTTATTTATTTCTTCCATTTACTTTTCTAACTATTCAATTGAAAGAGTTTATTATGAAATATCATCCTAATTTCCATTTTTCTAATGAGTTATCGAATTTTAAATATTTTCATAATCAGATAAATTTATTGATGAAAAATCTGCCTAAAAATTCTACTAGTTGATATAAGAAGAGAGAGTTACTTTATTAATTTTAGTGTCTTAATAATGATTTCTTTTGTCAGGATTTTAGATTTCTTCATCCTCTTCATCATACTAAATAATTGTTATATCTTCTTTCTAACATTATTAATTTACTTATAATCTATCTTATTAAGATTCAACATTCTAATTTATATCTAAAAATATTTCATTTTGTTAAGGCTCATTCTGTTAAACCTGTTATGAAATTTGATGTTATTCAATTATTAATGCATTTTACTATAAATTTATATTTGAATCCTACTATAATTCAATTTGCTAAATCTAAAAATCTTGCTATCCTTATTACAAAATTTGATTATTTAGTTGTATTTAAGGTTATATGTTTTATATTTGGTTTTCATCCTAAATTTAGTTGTTTTGTTAAATTTCTTCTTAGTTTTATTATTGAATTTATGGTTCTATATTTTATTACTATACTTACTAATCTTATCCTGCATTTTAATTTTATAATACTTAATTTAATTAATTTAAAATTTAATTCTAAGCATTTGCTTCATTTTGATTTTCTAGTTATTGAAATTACTAAATTGCATTTTCTTGAATAAAATTAGAAAGTCTCATTATCTCTTAATCTTAAGAAATTTCATGCATATTAGATACTGCAACAACTTGTTTATATTTTCCCTGATTATTATTTATGTCTATTTAAACTATTTTAGATATCGTTTATCTGCAAAGGTAACACTCTCCTGTTTTTTTCCATATATCTAGAGCACACTAATTGCATAAACCTAATGTTTTTATTTATAATTAATTATTAAAAAATTAAATAATGATGCTCATACCTCCATGACCACATTCTAATATGACTGAATCTGGTTGATTATCGAAACATACCAAACATTATTGACAGCTAGGTTAGGATGTTAGTTTTGAGTCATGTCTTGATCTATCCGTTTATTTATTTTCCTTATTAGTCTATGGTAAATCTTCTTACATATTACCTTCTATTTTTTGTGAAGTTTTAGGCAAATTCAAATCTTCGAATGCATTATTCTGAGAAATTGTGCTAGGTCTGTTCTATTTACTTTTAGTTTCAGAGTTTCTTTAACTTAATTTTTTCTTTTCTTCTTCATTTTATTTTTAATCTATTTTGTTTTTTTTATCTTCTTTCAAAAAATATTTTAATATTAAATTTTAAGTTTATTAAAAAAAAATCAACGAATAAAAAAAAATTGAACAAAGAGTTTTTTACTTCTTATTTGTTCTAAATGTGCTGCTACCTCTTTATTTACATCACTTTTCATAAAATAAGTAGAAGAGAATCTGATTAAGAACTATGGAATGGAAGAAGGGATCTATTTGGTTGTCTTAATAATTTTTACCTTTTTAGGTTTGATTTCTTATTTTATAATTAATTATTTATTAGATTGTATTAAAATACAAAAATTTTACAATTTTAAGGAAGGGGAAAATTTGGAGGAGCTAAGTTAGGAACTTACATTTCTTATTCAAGATTAGAATTATTGCTTTAATTATCATGATTGTTATCTTAATTCTCTTCATCTCTTTGATTAGCTCCTTCAACATGAACTTAATGGGATCCGCTAAACAGACTTTCTGAATTAGCTAAAGCTATAAAAATTCTATTAATTAAATAAAATATTTATTTCTTTATATAAAAAAAATGCTAATTTACTCTAAATCATCTGAACATGCTACAGTATAAATAGATGAGATTACACTACCTGTAATTAGTGCAGCAGAACAGTACCTTAATGTCTATATATTTCCTTCCTAATAATAGTCCATTAATCCTAGAAGAAAAAACAATGAATTTCCTACTACATGGATACTCACCATTAGACACCACATTAGTCCTTTTACTAGAAAAAAAATAATTAATAAATAATTTGAAAAAAAAATTTATCAAATACAAATTCATTTATTTTTAAAATTTACTTTAATATTTATCAGTTTATCCAACTAGACAATAATAAAGAGAGCATAAAAATAAAATTGTTAATCCAAAAATATAAAATCCAAGTGAACTGAGCAAAATCCATGAAGGAAGAAAGATAGAAACCCAAGACCAATTTACTATTGAATCAAACTAAACGGAAAATAAAAGACATTGAGTTACTGCATATATACGTAATAATAGTTCTATCTATTAAAAATTTAGTAAAAAAAATAAGTGTTTAAGCAACAATATAAATATTTACATGTCTATTCATGCTTTCCTAAGTTTTAGTTGTAAATACAAGCCACCAAATAATATGTACGAAAGGAGAGTACACTAATAATAGTGTGATAGGTTGAGATACAATCCTCATAAATAAAAAAATCATTAAGAATAAAATATTAATAAAGAAGTATTCCACAACATTAAAAAAAGCCATTCTTTTATCTTCTAATTATGTATCTCTTTATTATTATTATTAATATATATAATGAATGAAGGTATACAATTAAAAGTTATTAGATAAAGTTAAATTTTGTAAATCTAGTCTTTAAGTTTATTTAAAGATTTAAGCTTTAAATTTCATTTTATTTATTTAATTAAAAATTTTATTTACACAATACAGTATATTAGAATAAAATATCTCTTATATTAGATATTAATAAATTTTATTGATAATTATTGGTTAAATTAAATCTTAAAAAATAAAAATCTAAAGAATGAATTATTTTAATTTTAAGTTAATATTTTATTGATATTATAAATAACAGTTAAGTATTTAGAACTAATCAAAAATATTTAAAGTTTTTTATTAGATTTTGAAAATTTAACTAAACTATTTAAATAAAATGCTATTTAATTTTTCATGTTGACTGAAAACTTATTGAATTTTGATGAAAATAAAAAAATATTTTATTCTTGTGCTAAAAATGTTTTAATATAAAAAAATATACTCTGAGAGATTCTTGTAGATTGAAATTTTATTTCCTGTGAAAAAACAGAAGACAAAGAAGAAAACAAGCCAGATGCCCTACATTAAAAAGTTTAAATAAAAGACAGCTAGGATAAAAACACTAAAGATGGAAAGTATGACAAGATGGGTTAAAGCTTTTTTGAAAACAATTTTAGCTCTAACTTTGTCTTCTTCATCTAACTCAATTACTTATTGCACTCTTCCTCCTAATTATATTTAATTCACTCTGTTAGATCTTCTATTATTTTATTCATTCATTCTTCGTCTTGTGTTTCTAATTATTTCGTTGAGCTACTCAGCCTATCTATATTAATCCTCTTACTCTTAATTTTCCAATTAGTTTTAGTTTACAGATTCTTGATCTGATAATTCATCTCTCTACAGTTACCGTATTTGATTTCTGATCAAATTCATCCTCAATATTGTACTTATTATTCGAATAATAATAAATATTTATTAAACTAAAATTTTTCAATTGAATTTAATTCAAAAGAAATTCATTAAATATGTTTTTTTTAAAACAAATAAATAAATATATTTTGATTTGAAGCTTTAAATGAATTGTTTGAAATTAAAATTTTTGCAAAATACTTTTGTTGAATCAAAGAGTTGTGATAATTTTATAGGTTTCTTTAATTCATACTTAGAAAATTATTTTCATTTTAGTTGTATCTTTAGGCACTTTCATTTTATCTTGAGTTATTTAATCTTTAATTAGCAGCATTTTAAGAATATCTGTTTATTGAATTCTACAATCTTTATATTTAAGCTTAATTTTATAACAGTAGTTATTGCTACTGTAAAATATTTAAGCTATTAAAAGGATGTGCAGCTTATTAAATAGCCAGGAAATTTTGTTACAAGGGAGGTAGTGGTTGATTCTGGTTTAATTGTCTTTAATTATTTTAATTATTTAATCTAGATTATATTAATCTCCTTAAATATTATTACTAATGTTAATAGTGTAATTATTATAAGTTCCTTGATTCATTTTATTATAAACTACTATTATCATTATTCCTTATGTTATTCCTAACATTTGATATTTATGAATTAGATTACAATTCGATTTATTAATCTAGATCTTCCCTATCAGGATTTTGTAGGAAATTTATGGGAGGATTTAATTCCTATCTTATATTGAGCTCTCCATTTTAGATATCCAAGTAACGATTTTATTGATTATAATCTTGCTCTCTTTACTGTGATAAACAAATATTATTATCTACTACTTCAATCTCTCTTTCATTTTATGGAGGACTATCTGGTTGCTCAGGCTCTTCATCATCATCTCCATTGTCTTTTTTAAAACAAGGCTAATTGAAGGAACAATTGATGTAGGATATAGCTCTGTCTTCTAAAATCTCATTCTAATTCTGAATTATAAATGTGCCATTATTAGAATTATCCTAGTATGTTCTATTATTCATATTTATATTTTGAGTTAAGTTATTCTACATGTTTTAATTTATCAAATATGATGTATCATTTCTGAGAGTTCTATCATCAAGACACCTCTATTGATTAGTAAACAAATATTATAAAAGTACAAAAGCTTATTTCTAAAATAAATCGAAAGTAATCAATCTCTAATGAGTTTATATTGCTTTTAAATGGTTCCTGAATAAATTATCGAGATAATTAGCTTGTAGAATTAGCTAAATATATTTATTTTTATGATTGGTTAATTAAATTACCTTAGAAGTGTCGACTGACTAGGGTATATCATCAAGTCCTCTGCAATCAGATATTCTAGAACTGTAGTAAGGATTCATAGATTGTTTAATTTTTGTATCTTTAAAGTATTTAGACGAAATATTATTTTATTTGTAGGATCAAAAGTAAGCTATTATTATAGTTATTTACTTACTTGAAATATACCGTTTAATATTTCTTAATTCTATTGAAATTAAATTCCTTTCCATTGAAAGTAAATTTTCAGCTTAAATTAATATAATATATACTATAAATCTGTTTAAAAATGTTAAATCAAAAAAGAATATCAACTAAATTAAGTGATGAAAGAAAATGCTAATCTAACTTTATTTGAAAAGTAAATTTTTTATAAAAAAACAAACTAAAAAATCATAATATTTAACTATTCAATTTTAAATTATAAAAAAAAATGGAATTTTTATATAGATGTTAAGAAGTTTTTTAAATACATTCATTTTTTCTTTTGCTTGCTAACCTTATTTATTTTAAAATTTAATCTCAACAATTTTTATTTAAATAAACATAATTTTTGAAAAATTTTAGAATCTAATTTGTTGTTTCAATTTCGAGTGAATTATTTTTGCCTTCCATAAAATTTTATTTATCAAATAAATACAAATACTTTATTCAACTAAGAGTTAGAATCATTTGATTTCAAGATGGGACTAATAAATATGTTTATAAAATATCACAAGAAATTAATTTTTATTATTAAAGTATTGTTTCTAGTTACTAAAAATGTATATAACAAGTTAGTTTATTATTTATAAAATAAAAATAAAAACCTTAAAATTTAATTAAGGAATAATAAAAATTAATGCACATACTATCAAGAATTTCTTATTATATATATAAATTCTGAATATTAAAAAAGCAATATTATAATGAAAATTGTATTTTATAACATTTTATTATTAAAAATGATTAAAATATTTTCATATCCTTTTAGTAATTCCTTATTATTTAAACAAATTCTTAATATTAAATAGAAATATTAATTAATTATTCATATTTTAATTTTTTTATAATCTTTTAACTATTCAATAGAAATTCAAATTTATAAAATTTTAAAATCTATTTAGCAATCTAAATTTTTAATAAACATTTGTAAAAAAATAAAATTTTTAAAATATTTAGGTTATCAGTTTATACTATTTAGTATCTATTATTAATAACAGTAGTTTATAATATTAATAAAAGTAAAATTGAAGGAATTAATAAGCTTTTATGATATATGTTCTATTATGAGATGTGTTTTCATGCAAAAATTGAAGTTGTTTTTCTAAAAATATTTTCATTTTGCTTCTACTTATAATTCTATGTAAATATCAGATTTAATTGTTATTTCTGATAAGAGGAATTTGAAACAATATTATTTTAATAACTAAATAGGTAGTTTATCAAATCAAAAGATTTAATTTTTTTATTACAAATTAATTTATCAATCAACCTTCTTATTTCTTAAAGTAAATAGATGCTTAAAAATAGAACAATAAAAAAATAGAATCATTCCAATCAAAGAAATAAAAATAAATAAACATGTAAAATAATCTCTATTTAAATTCTAAAACACGTAAAAACTCGATAATAATATCCAGCTAGTATTTAATTGTTTTTTAATTTTACTTATTAGATTTTTATGCTGATTTATTATTTTTTGTAATAGATGATTTTTATAATGATTTTCATTATTTATAATTTTGACTTCTAATATTTATGATGTTAGTTCTTCTTTTGAAAATCTTTTTGTATGTCTTCTTCTTGCTTATCCATTTATTCATACAAATGCTACCCTATACCAATTTATATATTCTTTTGTCAGCTATTTAGATGATCAAAACTTTTTTTTTATTTTCTCACATATTATTCTTAGTTTTTTAATTACTTTACTTTTTTCAATTTATTCTTTAAATTATAATTTTTATAAAGGAATAATTAATTTTTCAAGTTAATTTTTCATTATTAAATATATTAAGTCTACTAAAATAAAAAATAATTTTTTTAGGAAAGAATTAAATTAAAACGTAAACTTACTTATTATGGTACTTTACTTTTAAAAATATTTGATAATAATTATTTTAGATTTTTTTGTAGAATTTAGCTCTATTTAAATATATACTTAAAATTTTGTAAATAATTCATAAAATTTTTAAAATAATAATTTAAATAAAAATAATATTGCTATTAAACATGTTTGTTTCTATTTTTTCAAAGAATATTTACATTTTTTAAAAAGGAAAAAAATATTAATTTTTTATTCTTACAAATTTGTTAAAAGAAATGAATGATCTGGTCTTCCTTACTTTTATTGTTAACTATTGTTTCTAAAATAAAAATTTTAACAAAAATTTATTTTGAAAATTGCATTTGAAGTTTGTAATAAAATATGATATTTACACTCAGTCGAATAAATTTTGTAAAAATTCCTAAATTTTTTTTTTCTTCCACAAAATTAAATTTTTATTTTTTAATTTATTGATTACAGTCAAAAATAAGAAAGGTAAAATAAAAATTATATCCTGATTGTGTAAAGAAACCCATTTCAAATCTAAAATGAAAAAAATAAACTATAACATAAACATGGTAAATTAAAAGATACTATTGTAAGTTTTCCTAAGAATGAGCTATTAACCAGAAATTAAAAAGTTATTTGTTCTTTTATATTGGTAAATATAATATAAATGGTATTTTAAAATATTTTGAGATACTGAAGAACTTTTGGTTTGTATTAGATTATTTTAAATAAAATAATGATAATCAACAGATATTTCTTATTTTGATTTGATTTTCGATCAAAAGTAAGTTTAATAAAAACATCAAATTTGGATGGTGGAATTGGCAATACTTATAAATTAATACTAGATAATAAGGAGTGATGGCGAAGTAAAATATGAATTGATATAAAAATTTATTATTAATATATTACTAAATAATAATAAATATATATAAATATATATATTCAACTGGTTTAGTTTATAGAGATGAAAAAAATAGGCATAAAATTGTTATAGTTCATTCTATCAAATATTTATCTATTAGTTCTAATAATCTTAATGCTTAGAATGTGGTAAAATAATTGCAAAGCTGTAAAGCCAAGAATTGTGTAATTATAGGACCTGATTGTGGTTACTAACAAAAATCAAATTAACTAAAATTTGAATTGATCAAAAATAGAAACTGAGGAAGTAATTAATATTTTGATAATAATTATCAAGTAAGAAAAATTTATCTATAGATTTCTAAAAGTGCATATAAAAACTAATTCGAAAGAAAGAGTTTGAATATTATTTAGCTAACCAAATAAACTTAGAATTCAAGATATTTAATTAATAAAACAAAGAATACAACTAAAAAATAGAAATGGCATCAAAGAACGAAGACGAATACGATTTCCTTTTTAAGATTGTTCTAATAGGTAATCTTTATTCAAGTTATTTTAAAAAAGGATCTATTATTCAGCATACCTATCGGAATTTTTTGATTGAATATATTTATCAATCTATCTACTCTTTATACTAATTCATATTTATAGTCCTTTTCGCAAACATAAATCATAAGAATTAATTTAATTCAAAAATTGCTAATCTTTTTTTCTTGTATTCATTTTAGGTGATTCTGGCGTAGGAAAAACCAACTTGCTATCAAGATTTACTAAAAATGAATTCAATATGGATTCAAAGCCAACAATCGGTGTAGAATTTGCCACTAAAACAGTTATTACAGAAAATAAATACATAAAAGCACAAATTTGGGACACTGCAGGTTAAGAAAAATACAGAGCTATTACTAACGCATATTATAGAGGAGCTGTTGGTGCTCTCACCCTTTATGATATTACAAAGCAATAGACATTTGACAATGTAAAAAAGTGGTTACATGAACTCAGAGAATATGCCGATGCTAATATTATTTGTATGCTTATTGGTAATAAATGCGATTTGTAAGAAATGAGATAAGTAAAGACAGAAGATGCTGCTAAATTTGCAGAAGAAAATAACCTTGCATTTATGGAAACATCTGCTGCCTAAGCTATAAATGTAGATTAAGCCTTTTAAAAACTCATCACAGGTAAATATAAACTATTCTTTTAAATTCTGAGAGGCTTTATTTTGAAAAACCCATTCAAAAATTTCCTTCAACCAAGGCTAAACCTACCAAAAATGAATTTTATTTTAATTTTAAAATATCACTTTTGAAATAAAGCCGCATCAAGCTAAGCTTTGAAACAATTGAATTCATAAATATTTTTTTCCTTATAAAATAAAAACTAAAATGATTTCTTACTATAAAATAGAAATATATAATAATTTGAAGACAAGACCTAATGAAGAAAAAAAAAAGGCATAACCATAATAAAATGGAAATAATATAATTAAAGATTTTAAGCAACCCACCTAAGCAGAAAAAGAAAAAAAATGTTGTTGATTTAATTTTATTAAATATTAAGCTTCCTATTAGAGTGTAAATATGAGCTCAACCAAATAAATAATATTATAAAATAAGCAAGCAAGCAATTAATCAAAAATAAAAAGAAAGAAAAATCAATTAAAAATTTTAGATAAAATAAATTTATTTTGTTATAAATAATAAAAGTAATTTTTATTTGTATTATAAATAATAAATTTAGTTTGCATTTATTATTAAAATAATTATCAATTTAATCTTTTGTTTAAAACTTTCATTTACACTTTAATTTAATAAATAAATTTCATCTAAATTCATATTAAGAACTTTATCTAATTAACATCAAAAAATTAACTAAATTTAAAGCAAAATAAATATAAAAAAATTTTATTTTTTCAAAATTTATTTTAAAAATATCTGTTAAAGTTAAAAAATAAACATTTAAATTAATTAATTAGATGTTTAAATAAAATACAAAATATTGTGTGCATATTTTAGATTTAAAAGAGTTCATAGTAAAATGAATACACAATCAGGTGCGACTTCTTTGCATAAGCCAAAGCACAAATATTGACTAATTTTACAAATAACTTGGTTTAAAAATATAATTAGATTATTTATTAAAATAATCATAACTCTGATTTAATTTTGTAGCAGCTAAAAGATAATTAAATTAAATAGGGCAAACTAATATGTGTTTATAATATCAAGTAAATCAAACATTTTGAGCTTAATTTTTAGAAACAATTTACTACTTTTGAGTAGAAAGTTTAAGCAAAATAAAATTAATAGTTATTGTTAAGAAAAAGAAATTCTTATTTTAAAATAAATAATTATAAAATAAATATATTAGGTTTCATTAAATCATTTATGATTTTGCAATTAATTTTTTAAAATAATAAAATTTTAAGAATTCAAATTTTAGAATTTTAATATAATACATAAATATCCTTAAAGTTATAAAAATTATTAATTATGAATTAAATTAGAAATGTTAAAATTTAAAATATGTAGATGTCTTTTTCTCTATTTTTTGAAGATACAGTAAAAATACTAGTTGTTAAATTTTCCTAATTATCTGTTTATGTATTTGTTTAGTTTATAATTTTTAAATTTTTACAATTATTTTAAAAATATAAATCAATATTAAATCTCCTTAAAGTTCCAGTTTTACTATAATTTTCAGACCAGTAAATAATATACAGAGTTAAAAATCTTGTTAGCATATTTTAAGTTTAGCTAACTCGTAAAGTTATAGCATTCTAAAAAGTACCAAATATATTATTATCACATGTTTTTTAATTTGTTAATTTTAATTTTATAATATTGCTCTCACATTTTATCAATTAAAAATTTAGATACAAACTAATATCTGCTATTATAAAATCAAGCATATTAACAAAATTTTTGTAATTAAATTGCTGGACTAGTTAGCGAATATCCTTATATTTTTCAAATAAAATAATATGTATATTTGTTTACATGTGCTAATATGATTTATAAAAATAAAGAAATTTAAAGACTATAAGAAGAAAGATTGGATTTATATCTAATTAATGGTAATATAATAATATAAGTTGGAGAGGCAGTTTTGAAAATAAAGATCACATTATAACTTGCTTTGGCCAATAAATAATAAAAAGAAAAATATAAGTACTGAATACTAAAATTTTCTGATTTCATTTAGAAAAAGTAAAATCAAAGAATATTAAGTTTATAAAAAAATAAATAAATAAATAGATAGATATATTAACAAAATATATAGTGGTTGATTGTAAATTAAAGTAGATTTAGCGATATAATAAAGGATTTTTAAATTGATATAGGTTTATTATAGAAGCTATCATGAGCTTATCTAGTATATTAATTGTTCTCATCATATTGCTTAAATGTGCGATTGCTGGGAATGTGAAATACATTAATTTTTAAATGGACTACTCTAACATAGGTTTAGCAAGAAAGCTATTTTTCACATTTTAGCTGGACACTTATTTCCCTAATTCAGGGTATATGCAGATATAACTACCATTTGATTAAGCTACTTTACCTACAGGCTATATCTACTAATCAAGTGCATAAACGTGCAACTCGTAAAATTTTCCTATTGTTCAGATACCAATTACAATTGAAGGTGCAGTAGCAGGAGCAAATAATGTTTACTGGATTGATTTTCCTTAGGATTTAAGTAATCAAAATGTTTACACACTTGTTATTGTATTAAGTGCTCCTGTTGGTAGTGGAGTTTTTAATAACCCTTTAATCTAATTCAGGCCTGTTTCAATAACTACATATTCATCTCTAAACAAAGCAAATCCCTCTACATTGCTTATTTATGACACCAACCCTGTATTCACAATGATTAATTTTGAAGCATAAGTGGTAAATAAATAAATTAAATTGTTAATTTAAGATTTCTTAGCAGCCTAATATTTTTGTTGCATTTAAAATAAATTTAAAGAAAATATAATTGATGCAATTATGATGAGTTAAATTGAACATATTAAATTATGAATTTCATATTGTTATACTTTTTTTAAAAATTAGGCTTCAAGTTTGAATACTCAAGTTCTCTCTGGTGGCAGTGGTAATCTTTAATCAAGCAGTATTGTAGTTGTTAGATTAAAACCAACCTAGCAACAAATTAGAAGAGTTGATATCTCTTTACCTTAATCAGTAGGAATATCTTTTGATAATAGTGATCCCACCACATTCTGTTAAGTTGCCACTCTTATTCTAAATTAAGATTTTACATGCTAGTAGAGTGCTTAAAATGAAGTTCTTATTACTTTTTCAAGCGATTTGCAAAATTAAAATTATGATATATCACTAAAAATTAACTTCCCAACTTTTAATGATAACTCAGATGTTTAAGTTGTAGGCATGCGTGCAGGAGACAATGTTGTTATGGAATGGAACACAATTGCTAATGCCGTTTCAACTATAGTTCCTAGTTGGACATCCAGACAAATCTTTGGTAATTAATTTAATAAATAAATAAATCTACTTAATTAATTGGCATATAAAATAGTATAAATTGTTAAAAAAATACAAAAAAAGTCAGTGAATAACTGATAGAAAAGCTAACTTTACTTAATTTTTTTTAGGTTTTTAAAATTAGTTACTGTCATCTTCTGTTTGCGTTTATAGGGGATCATCTGCTACTGACTACACTTATAACACCTTAAAATTTACTTTTTAGGTGAGCTAAGATTTATTAGCTGGAATTAATTATAGATTAGCTATGGATCTAACAGTAGATTCATCAATTCTTGATAATTCAATCGTTGTTTAAAATTTAGTTAGCTTTTCACCAACTTAATAAATCAAATGCTATAGTATTAATAGCAATTCTAAAGTATAATGTGATAATGTTTAAAATTTAAAAGCTGGTACAGTTTATTCGATTCAACTTAGAGTTAGTTTAGTCTATATCAGTGGTGCTACAGCTAATTAATTCAAATCAGGATTTGGAAAACTTGAAATTTATCCCTTTTAGAATAATCAATATTACACCAAGCCTTCTGTTTTATTTGAGACAAATGCTAATTTAGCTGCTTTAGTCAATAATTTATGCATTCAAAACAACTTTAATTGGCTAAATTAAATTACTGCTAATAATATCAATGATTACCAAGTTGTGCATTCAAGATCAGATGGTTCCATAGCAACACCAATAAGTACATATGGAATATTTGGAGTTAAAGTAGGTACTAACTAGATTCTTCAATTTTATAATGAATTCATCTCAAACGACTTTAATGGAACTCCTAATTCTAAATCCTAACTATAAATATCTGCAAATTACAGAATTATTGCTCCTCAGTCTTCATCTACATGCAGTAATTAATACAAAATTTATACATTAAAGAACTTACTTATATTTATATATATTATTTAGTGACCACAGGAACACCTTATACTTGTAACTTTATTGCTCCTGCATCAGGTGATCCATATTAGATAGTTAAATTTTAGTTTGCATTTTAAGTCGATGCTGATGCAGCTGCATTTATTGCTGGTGCTGGATCTGTAATATCTTTTGATGCTATAGATGTTAAAGCTATGAGTTCAGTACAGCCCTCTGATAATTTTAACAGTGATTATATTTTCAAAATCATTCCAGACACAACAAACCCTACCAATAATGTAAAAACTGCTATAGTAAATGGTTTTGTACTCCCAACCAACCTCTATACAGACATAAATATAAGTTTAGTTAACCTTTGGACAGGTAAACAAACTACTTTCAATTATTAATTTAGCAAATCAAATATAATAAAAAAATAGACATATTACAAAAATATTAAGAATTTCATTTAAATAGAATGACAAATTTTATTTCATAATTTTTAAAGTTGAAAGTGTTAATATTTGATAATAATTATTTTTTAAAAATAATAAACAGGAACTACAAACGGAAATGATGCAAATTTAGTTCCTACATTTATTCGTATTAATGTTTTCTTTTCCTCTAACTAGCCTACCGTTACTTAAGGAAATTGGATTGTCTTTTTCGATAACGTAAATTTCTTACCTGATCCTAAAGTCTAATCTAACCCAAGTTGCTCAATAACACAAACATCTACAGTGTGTGGATACTAGGCTGGAAATTAAAATAGCTATCACTATTTATTCTAAAATTATTTTACTTACACTAGTAGTATTCCTTAAATGCCAAGTATTGATTAGTCTTTTACTGTTCTTATACCAGTTACTACAACAGCAAACAAAAATTAGATTCGTGTTCGTACAGCTCTTTTGGATACTTCAGGAAATATACAAGGCTTAAGCAAGTAATACTAGTTTTAGTTTAAAGCAGCAGGAGTTACCCAGTAAGCAATTATATCTGATTATAACACGCTCTAAAATACTAATTTCGAAGGATTGAATTTCTTATTCAATGTTGGAAGCAATCTAGTTGGAGATACAGTTTCTTCAGCCAAAGTAAATGTTGTGGCTGCTGATTTTTAAAAAATTCTTAATCCTAATTCAGCTACTTAGTAAGGAACAGGTATCACCATTACATCAACTCATAATCTAGTTTCTGATCCTGGCTTCGATGTCTAAGATGGAGGATTTGGCTTAATAAGTAAATATACAACTTTTTAAATTTCTAAAAATATAAATTTATCCTAAAAAATAAAAAGGTTCAAAACCATAGGAAAAATGTATTAAATTTGGCTATCTTTACAGTGACAAAACAGGCAGATACGGTTTTTACTGCCCTCTAAAAAGCACTGTTGGGCAAAGCACATTAACTAGTTATGTAATAATAAATTAATTTTTCTAAAACAAATTAGTAATTTTAAACAATTTTAAAAGCTAAACGTTTTAAATCTTTCTCTACCCTGGGAAACTGGAACAAGCATGCCAAATATAGTGGGCACCTTCAGCAATAATGTTCCCATTTAAGATCCAGGTTTCGATGTCACAGGCATACTGCTGAAATACACAGTTGACAACACTCTAAATGCTATGCAGCCAAATGTTTTAAAATCAATAATTACAGATATCGATTTACCCATTTCATAAAGGTTTGTTAAACTTTCAGTTACATTTACTACAACAAATTAATTACCTTCGCAATTTAACTTTGTTATCACTTCTCAAAATGGGTCAAGCTAACCCTTCCTTTTTACTGTAAGTTAAATAGTTTTATGCCAAATTTATCAATAAAATGCAAATGGGTTGTTTACATTGTAAATATATTTTTTTCTTTTTTTTTAGTGATATCAATGATTTTTTGATTTATTAATAAATTAGAGTTACTCAATCATGCAAGTAGATATTTAGAGAATTTTAGGTATTATTTTTTTTATTTTTTACTATAAAAATCATTAATTTTATCTCTGAAATAAAAAATAGATTATAATCTAAGTTTCAAATGGATCAAAATCTCTATCTGCTGGGACATATAAAATCCGTATAGGTGGTATAAATGTTATTGATAATCCACTGATGAGACAATAGGCTTATTTTGAGACATAAACAATCACTGGAAAGACTATTGATAAAACTCCTAATCCATATGCTATTTATTACAATTTCAAACAAAAGCAGCTAAGCTTATCAATAACTAACTAAAGTTTCTTGATTCCAAATAAGTATGCTATGACTATATTTTCATTTACCTTCACAGTTTAGGGACGTGCAATTTATTCTGATGAAGAAATTATTTTTAACCTAGATGCTTTCAGCGTAGATAACAACATTAATACTCCTATTTGCAGAGTTATTGATCCTATTACTTAAAATATTTCACCACTTTGGAACTCATGTTATTTTAATGGTAAATTTTCACTCCTCACTTTAACGCCTATTGGAGATATAAGTAATCTAGACTAAAATGGAGTGTTAATGAATTCCTTTATAGTGCAAATACAGAATATTCGTGTGCCGAGGACACCTGTCTAATAGTATTATATTAGTGGCTATGTTTATAACATTCAAGATTAATCTCAACCTATTTTATACTAACAAAATATTCCTTTGCCTGGCAGATAGGATGAAAAGACTATTTAGTAATTCACATAACTCGTTTTATAAAATAAGAAATTTAACACAGTAGGTTCATTATCTTAATTCTAATTCTCAATAAAGCCTACATAGTCATTCTTAGATTACAATTCTATGATATTGATTTATCTCCCATCTTATTATCCACCTCTTCCTGATTTCGCCTAACCTGTTTGCTATATATAACTAATTGACGTGACATCAAACTAACCAAATACCTTCACCCGTTGTGAATACTTGCAAGACAGAATGATTGTAATCCGTGACATTTTCCCAACTTTACAAGTTAATTATGCCTATTAAGTTACAGTTAGTGGTATACCCTAACCATTATTCACTGCTGCTTAAACCATATTTATAGCTCTAATTCAAAAATATTATGATATAACATCAACTGTTAACGAGTATTTAGAAGTTTTGGATATAGCTCCTAATAATCCAAATGCAAACATAGTAAGGGTTTCAGCTTTTTCAAAGACAAAAACAACTTGGATCCAACAAGACAATTATGTCTTTACTCTTAGAGTATCAAATAATGTTGCAGCAAATTCTTATTTAGCAGTAGACTTCCCAAGTGAATGGGTTGATAAGAATCAAAACAAGCCGTAAATTCTATTTTTTACTATTAAATAATTTAAAACATTTAAAAAAGAATTTTTCTATTTTTTCTTAAAAACTTAATTTGAATTTGTTTAATTCTCAAAAAAGGAACTTATATATAATAAAAAATTATTTTTATGGGCAGATTAATTAAATTTGTTTATATTTTTTAGGGAAATAACTAAATTAATTTTATTTTTTAAATAATTATTTATGTTAAAAGAAGCAATTTTCATTAATTTACTCATTTAAAAGCTATTTATGAAACTAAACGTTTTAATAAAAAGTAGTCATTAAAATTTTTTTTTAACTAATAATATATTAGGGCAATAACTTGCTATTTGTAGTAAGCTTCTTCAGCAAATGTAGCTTTCCCTTGTTCTTAAAATGGATACAGGATTATTGGCTAAGTTGCAAGTCCTATTACTGCAAATACTGATTATACTTTAATTATAAATGGGTTTAGCAATCCTCATTATAGTTTGTGTATAGGATAAGGAGTTACTGTCTAAATAGCAGATAGCTAAATGAATTAAGTTACTTAAAGGTCTTATGTCACAATTATGAATATAGGAAACTTAGTTTTTGATTAAGGTTTAACTTCAGACACAATTTTTAAATGGTAGCTCATAACGAATGATAATGTCTAAGATGGAGAGTAAACTTATTCTACTATTCCTTCTTTGCTAACAGTCTACATAGGAACATATTCTAGGAGACTTCGTTTATCTGTAGCAGATGGTAATCGTATTGCTAATGATTTCTCACTTTAACTTTAATCAACTCCCTCTGGCTAGACACCATTTTCAACTTATCCTACTATAATAAATATGAGCGTTGGTGATTACTACGTAGATATTAGAATAGGTGCACAAAATACAGTTACACCTGGTATATATAACAAATTTTATTCCTATTTGAAAATAAATGTTAAAAACAATTAAATTCATTATTTATTTAAATATATTATTAGGTATCTACAGTATTTATTTCTAGCTGAACAATGGCGGTTAATATAATATCCCTCCAGTAGTTAAAGTCTAAATATTAAGCACTTCTTATGGTATTCCCAATCCCTCTATCAACAACATAGTCGTAAAAATAATTTTTTTATTTAATTACATAAATTCTCATTAAAAAAAAAAAAATTTAATTCAGGTGCCAATCTTGGGTTACAGTCTTCCAATTTACTGGAATATGGATGCCGCTGTTCCTATTAGTTAGTTTAAATTAGAAACGGATATTGCTATTTACCCAGACCTTGTTCTAGACTATAAGGCATATAGTGATATGACATTCTCGATTACAAAAACTAGCGATTTTATTACATTGAAAAGTGATGCTGCTCCTATTGTATCTGACACTACTTCAAAAGTTAATTTGTATATTGATCCTAGTTACAAAAATTACTTTTAGCTTATTTACAATACTGTCTTAATTACTTTAGTTTAAACAAATACTTAAAAGCCTTAAACTATAATTAGTATTTCGAATAATCTTTGTACAAGTGTCACATTCACATTAAGTAGTAACCAACCAACACTAGTTTATTACCAAATTTAGCTAGCTTCATCTTAACTCCAATTTAACTTTAATAACACTGTAGAGTAGGTGCGTATTTTGACTTAGTATTAATTTGATGATGTAGACTAAGTTTAATATGGTATGTTCCCAGTATACTTGGCTAACACTGTCTATAAACTTACGATCCCTAATCTCTTTTCTCAGCGTTCATATTCAGTCCAATTTTTCCCAATTAATGAAAATTAAGTTCTGGGAGACACTTAATAGTTTTCTGTAGTGCCTAAATCTAACCTCGATTATTTAATTAAAACAAAACTATATACCACTGCTATCCTTTCAACCTAACATATGGTATATTTAGCATGCTAACACTCTTATATGTTCTTATATCCATATAAAAGGTATATTAAAAATTATTTTTATTTTAAAAAAGAATGTATTCAAAAATTATATATATATTTCTAACAAACAGAGTTCGTTCTATTTATGAAGACTATTGTGATCCTAAAGTTACTTCAGCTTCTTTACCTTAAGTTTAAACAGCAACTCAACAGTAAGTTTACTATTTCTACCTTTATCCATTTGAGTATATTGAACTAGTGGAATAGGCTGGAACTGTATATGCTTCTGCTAGCCTTAAAAATAATTAAATTTCGGCATTTAAAACTAAATTTACCAGTATTTTTAGTGCTTTAGGACTCCCTGTTCTTGATGATTTCTAATATGGTGGAAAAGTTATAATTTATCCTCCTGTTTTTACTTCACAAGTAATTTATTAACCTCAACCAATTATATTTTTCAAATTTATTTAAAAACAGGGTTAAGTTACAAGCACCAAAAACTCTTTAGTAGTAACAGGAATCACACTTTAAAACAATGGAATCATATTTGCAATCTTAGAAAGACTTAATATCAGCATAAAAGGTAGAATTTAGTATGTAAGTGAACCTACCTTTTTGTAAGTCAGATCAGGATTAAATAATACTGATCAAGTAGCTTTAGGAAAAGCTCATGCTGTTTACGAAGGAACTCCTATAACATTTGAATTTGATAATTTAGAACCTGGAAACCATTACAGGGTAGTCATGTATGCAACTTCTGAAGATCCTTCTTAATATAAAATGGTTACTACTAACGTAACTTCAGTAGAAATTACACTTCCTGCCCATTCTATAATTTTATTATCATAATATTCGCTTTTAGCATTAATATTAATAACTATTTTTTCATGAACATTTGCGGCTCAAGTTATATTTATTATTTGTTTGTTAAAATTAATATAAATAAATTTTAAATTCTTTTTTACTTTAACTCTAAATAAATGAATAATTTTCTCACAAATTAATGATTAAATTACTTAAAAATTATAGGTTTTAATTAATTTTAATACTTTTAAAATATTCAAGAATATTTAGTATAAAAATGCAATATTAAATATAATAAATTATTTGTTTGTTTCATTTTTTCTAAAATTTTTTAATTTTTAGATAAATTTTATTGTTTATTTTATTTTATAAAATTTTAATATATAAATTTTAAAATATATTTTAATAGGTTAAGGTTTTTTATAGCTTGTATTTACTAAATAAATATAATATAAATTACATTCTAATAATAAGTATAAAAATATGCACAGAATTTTATTAAAGGTATATTTACAAATAATGAAGTAGTAATTTGATAATTATTTTTTTATAATAATGTACTGTTTTTATTTAAGTAGATTTCAAAATATTTAATTATTCTTTATGAAAGATAAATTTTGATGTTTTATTTTTTAGCTTTTATAAATATCAAAATCTCAATTGCTAATTTAATCAGGTTTGTCTTCAATTTAATCTACTAATTTTTACCAATCAAATTGAAACTATTTGCCCTTGGTATTTTTAGCAAAATTTTTCTCAAGCTCATTTAAAGGATAATTAATTATAATTTTTTTTAGAGTATTTGGTGTTTTAATTCGTGAAATAATTGTTGTAATTAAACAAATAAATGAGTTAACTAAATCTTAAACTTGGTATTAGGTTTAGGTTTCTAAATCTTCTAATTAAAATTTAGCTTTTTACAAAACTTTTAATCTGAAAATAGAGTCTTTGTGAGACAGAGATTAGCAGATGTACAGCATCTACCTAATAGGCCTATGAACACTGACTGAAGCGTGATATAAAGAAACGATGACCATACAAACAGTTATAATACCAGTTAAAACAGAAAAATTTTTAAGAACTTCTAATTCCTCAATATATATTTCATTTAAAAAATTAGAAACTGAATACATCTAATCTTATTCTCCATAAATAATAGCAGCTATATAGTCTGCATTTTAATTTGGGATCTATTTGAATAAATTTGATAAATATTTTAGTTAAATTATGGTGGAGGAAAAAAATTGATGTTTACGCCTATTAGAGTATAGTCTGTCATGTTATTAGGGTTAAAAGTATCTTGTATTATAACAGGATAAATTAAATATTATTTATTTTCATTATTTTTGTTTAATTTCATAATTTGTGTTAAAGAGGTATAATTGTCGTTTGTGATGGAATTTAGCATCAAATCATGATAAGCTGTAGGAGATAACCCTTAAATTTTTTTATTTTAAACAATATTAAAGGATTTTCATTGGATTTTTAAAAATATTAAGTATTACCACTATAAGGTTATATTTAAACATCAAAAATATACTATTAAGGACTAAGTTTGTCGTTCTGTAACCAGTAATCAGTAGCTTATAACAGTTAACCATTTTTATTAACGACTATCATTTCGATTGTTGATCTATAATAATTTTGTATAAATAAGTTCCTGATTAATTAAGTCTCTATTTCTATTGTAATTTCTTTTAAATATTAGGATTAAATTAAGCAAATGATTTTTAATAAATTAAAAAGCTATTTACAAAAATACAACTAAGGCTTTAATGCTGAGAAAGCTGGCCTACTAATATTTACAATGAAAGCAGTTAGATTCTCTTGAAAATTTCCTAATTGATCTATGTATGGACCATGAATCATAACTGTTGATCCTTTGTAAGCCTCTGCTTTCAAATAAATAGGATTATTTTCGTCTATATTAAGGTTTAGTAAATAATTTAGTTGATTTATATGTAATTTTAGGAATGTAAAATTAAATATCTTTAATTTGCAATTTTGATGGTAGAGAAAAATATTTAATTAATTATGAATTTATGTTTGATCATAAAAAATTTGTATTTTAAAAAAATTGAAATAAAATTTTTCTATTTCTAGTAAATTTTATATATTTTGATAGTTATAATTTATATCTAATTAATTCTTTTATTTATTATTTCTTATTAAAATTAAAAAGTATTTTCATGTATTTAACTTAGAAGCTAGTGCAAATTAAGTTTTTGATGCATCTTTAAAATAAATCAGAAGTCTTAAATTATGGGCTTTCGAGGGCAAAATAAATATATTATAGTATTATATTGTATAATAATATTAAAATAATCAATTGATTACGCAAATTTTATATTTGGTTAAAGCTTATTTTCTCACAAGGGAAAACCTTCATGATATTCCAAGAGTAGTCTACAGTTGATTTAGAATACCTATGAATTATTATTCTTCTAACATTTTAAGATAAATAATCCGTAACTAAGCTATTTACAGCGTCATCATAGTCCAATGACTCATATAATTCATATATTCCAAATAATTACTTTTTAATTAAAATTAATTATTAGTTAGCTATCATCTCAGATAATTATTTTTTATTTTATATTCAAATATGTAATTGTGCTTTACAGGAGTGTTTAAATTAACTTAATCATAAACTAGATAGCTACTCGTAAAATCTCTAACTAATGGCAAATTAGGATTGGGTGTTTGAAAAGTTGTCAATTTTAATGGATCTAGGTTGGCACTTTAAACCATTCTGAACATGCAATCTTTATATTTTATCAGATAAAAAGATTAAAGAAATATTCTTTAATTAAATTTAATTTTTATATGCTATTATATGCTTATATAACTTAAGAAATCCAATCAATAAAATACTTGGTGGCATGCAAAAATAATAAATATCAGCTGTGAGTCTCATTAGCTCTACAACCATTGTCCCAAAAAGGTAATTTTATGTCTAGAAAGAATGAATCATCTAGCTTTTTTATTAGAAATTGATAAGAATTATTTTGGATGGATCAATCAAAAAGAGTTTATGCAAACACAAATCTAAAAAAGAAATGATTTTAAATATTAATATTTTGTTTAAAATACGTCGAAATGATTTGCATTTCGGTGGATACTTTTTGTTAAACATATATGTTAGCTTCATTAATTATAGCATCCCCGATTTTATGTCTTATATAGGTCTATTTGTGATAATAAAAAAATAAATGATACAAAGCACTTAATAATTATTTGTGTATCAAATAAACGAACAAACAAACAAATATAATAAATTATAATAGTTGTTTGATGCGCAAGAATAATACAAATTCTTAATGAAGTTCAAAAATTAATACATATATAGCAGCGAGGATAACTGTGATTATAGCACTTGAAATAAGAATAAATCTAATCATTAGTTAGAATATTAATCTCTATCTTTGGTACCATGAAAATTGATCTAAATCTTTTTTAATTACAGCTACCATATATATTTGTTGGAAATTGTTTGCCTAGTTTTTATGTGTTGTTTTTTCTTTTGATTTATCAAAATAAAGAAAAAAATTTTATTATTTTTTTTTGAGTTAATATTTCGCAATTATACAGAGTATTACGCATTCAGTCTAATTGCGTGGTAATAAAAAAAAATTACATAAGAAAGTTTTTAAATATCTAAATAACCTTTAAAATTCATCTTATCAATTGTAAAAGTCACTTTGATCGTAATCTTAATATAATGAATTACCTCCATAAATTTATTTGCTTATTACAAATTTACATTTTTATTTCCTTATCAAAGTTGAATTTATTTTTACAAATTAATTAATTTTTATGATCATCTAAAGAAAAAAAATCTTATTTGAAATTATAAATCTGCTTTATTACTTTATGTAATCATTAACTTTAGCAAAAATATTGTAGAAAAATTATAAAATTAATCTATCAAAAAAGAAATAGATTTTACTATTTTTATTTAATTATAAAACTAAATTTACAATCTTAATTTTTAAAATTGATCAAAATTTAAACCTGAATTTCCAGATCAAAAATAAGTCTGTGAATATTTTTATATATTATGTCATTTACTCATTCCTTTCATAAAAAAAAAATTAATAAATTGCTTACTTATTTTAACATTAGATGAATTCTATAAATTGAAGATTACTCACTTATATTACTTTAAATTTAATGAAATATTTGATAATCAAAACCATCCATCGGTGATTATTATATTTTGTGAGATTATTATAATCACTTGTTATATAAATTATATTTTAGTCTAATATTTTAATTACATACACTTTTACAATAAAAAAGATAATAAATAAGTTAAATAATCGATCAAAATAAACAATCAAAAATAAAAGTTTTTATTTTTATTAAAAAAGATATTTATTTATTCATTTATTCATTAATGTTATTTTATTTAAAGTGTTATTTTTATTTGTAAGAATTTAGCTTATATTAAATAAAAAGTAGCTTTTTATCCCAAGTAGATTTATTTTTACTTGAAGGAGTTTATGATTAAAAAAATTTGTCATTTTTATTAAAATTTGCATGCTAAATCTTATTCAGTTGATTTTTTCATTTTCTATTAGGTCTAGGTCTGAGTTTATCTTCAAATTTAATTAAATTTTTCTATTAATCTTAAATAGTATAAACCAGCTCTTCTAAGAATTTTTTATCTCTAAGAGGACTTGACTTTAAACTTAAATTGAGAGATCTGAATTCTTTATGATCTGTAACATCTGCATCTATTTAAATGAAATCAGGGATTATAATTTGTTTGTCATCTGATCCAGGACTGTTTTTAGCACGCAATATACACATATCATAATCTAAGTATTTATCTAAAATATAATAATATCCTTAATAAACAAATTATCTTCTAAATTTTCTAAGGGTAATTCTATCTCTATCTTCTCTGTCTTTAACAAGAACATATTCTCTATAATTGAGCCTCTTCTTATAGTAAATAGTTTGCTTGCCGTCAATTATGTGACTTTCGCTACACAGATAAATTACATCTCCATTTTAAACTCTCTTTCTAATCTTTGTTAACTTTCCTTTATTTTCGTCATATTATACTTTGTACAAGAATGTATCTTCGATTTCGAAAGACTCAACCTAAGTTTATATTTACAATTAAATTATCTATCAAAATAAACTCTTTCATAATTTTAAAAATTACAGGAAAGTCTTCTGGGATATTAGGATGACTTTAAGGATCTATGATTATGTATCTTGAATAGAGCTTACTACCTTTTACTGGTACACCACTCATTCTTCTGACCGTAAAAAGGAGTTTTTGCAGCTTTTCTTCGAAGCTTGAAACACTTTTATTGTCAATGATTTCTAGTCGCTAATGGCCAAGCCAGCATTTTTAAAAAATTTTATCTATTTCTACAGCTTAGTCAATATCTTAATATCTTGCCCCATCTTTTATATAGTAATCTGGTGCCTTTTTAAAAATTAAAGAATTCAGATATATTTATATTACTTAATTAATGCATCTAAATATCAATGCTATTGGGAGAGATTGTTATTATTTTTATTTTAAATTTGAAAAACAAATTAAAGTAATATTATTTAGATTTAATTCTATCTAAAATCTTTATTTTTTTTCTGAAGAATTATTAATTTATATCAATTGTGTAATTAAACGTCTATTACCATTAAATTGTTAAATCAAACAAAACAAAACTTTCTTATCTATAAGTTATTAATTAGCTTTTTGATTTTATTTCAGATAAATAAATTGTAAATTATTTATTTGTATTGTAATTTATGATTTAGAATTTTTAAAAATTCTAAATTGAATAAAAATAAAATGTTTTTTTTTTAAAAAGATAAGCGAAATAAATAGATAAGAATAGTATTAAGTAATAAATCAATTCTTTTACACCATCTGCAGCTGTAACTAAATGAATGACAAAATCATATCTCTTGTCTCTTATTTCATGCTCTGAAAGTTTCATTTCTTTGAGTAGTTGCTGCCAGCCAGCATCAGACATAAATGCCTTCCCATCTATTAAACCTCTATCACAAAGTATAATTGATTAATTTTCTGATATCTCTGCCAATCTTTGAAAATTTTCTTCTAAAGAAATTTAAACACTCATTAGAGATTTCTAAAATTATATGATTTTTTCATCAGAAAAGCCTCCAATGTTGATCATACCACCCCCATTAGAAATTAAAGTTGCTGCTTCTGGAACAACATAAACATCGAAATTATCATCTTTTAATTTTTCACTTAAAAAGGCGAGACCTGAGGTTTTACCTGCACAAGGCCCTCCAGTAAGACAAACTTTGATTATCTTACGCCTTTTTTCTTGAACTATCTCTTAAGGGATGGAAGTATCTAATTCTAACAAATTAATTGCTGATGAGGTTTTAGATTTAATCTTTCTAGTATTTTATTGTTTTTCTTCTGTTAAACTCTCACTACTTCTTCTAGACTGTTGTTTTTTCTGATTATTCTCGCTATTTTGATCTTCTTTATCATCTTTATCATCAATTATTTTCTATTTACTTTTTACCTGTTTAATAATCTCTATTTTAGCTAAGCTATTTCGCTTATTTCTGATCTACCTCTTTACATACCTCATAAACTAATAAGATATGTATATCCCTGAAAATACTATATAAGTATTACTAATTAATTTCTTTAAAGTATTATTTTAATCCATCGAAAACATTTTTATTCTATGCTTAGTTAATGCTTCCAATTTTTATCAAAAATCAGTTTTGATTTAATTTACTTTAAAATTCAATAGAAATTCTCAATCCATATAAAATATAGCAAAAAAAGAATATTTCTGTTCCAAACAAGTGAAACAAAACAATTACTTGTATATTAATTTAACTAAATTTTATGGGTAATTTATTGTTTCTATTTTAAAATCTAGTTGGTCTCTATTTAGTCTCTATATTAATATCTAGTTATTTCAAATAATTATCTATTTTTAGATTTAATTTAAAGAAAATATTGTTTAGTAAATTTTAATATTATATATTTATGAATTTAAAATATATATAGTCGCATTAACGATAAAAATAATAGTATTATATTATCAATAACTCATAAAACATATAATTATTAACTTTAATTAAATTAAAAAGTATATGTGTATAGGAAGTATTTATTTTCTTCCACTTTTTGTAAAAATATTAAAATAAAATATTTTTTAATTAATTTTTTTTTATGTTTAAGTTCTCTTGTAATAATATCTTTCTTATAAATCCTAGTAAATATAGTTTCTCCTAAATAAATTTTATTGATTTATATATATCTACCTTAATTGCTTTAACATAACACTCTTCTAATTTAAGATGTTGTTCTATTTTATGGAGGAAATTTAAGGCCTATGGGGTATAGGCCAATGGTGTCAGGGGTAACCTCTTAATATATGAAAATTTACAGTATTTTATAATTATTCTTAAAGAACATTTTTCCCCCTATCCCATGATTGATCTTAGATAATTAAATAGCTAGAAATACAAATATCATAAATACATAGAATATCTGGGCAGAAATTCCTTCATTGTTATTATCAATATTTTTAATATCTTATTTACAAGTGCTAATCAGTATATTTAATAATAATTTAGAAAATTATTAATTTTATTTAATTTTTGGTTTTGTTTGAGTTTAAATGTTAAATAATTTAAAACCATTTCTAAAATTAAATTATAATTTTAATACATTTTTAAATAAATATTTTAGTGATATTTTAATTTAACATGGAATCTTTTAGTGAAAATTTAAAAAATAACTAAATTAATTAATTTTAGCTGATATTTTCATTTTGTAAATGTTAATAAATTCTGAGTAGAGAATAATTGAATTACTACTTTTAAAGTTAATTCTTTTATATTATCTTGTTTTTTAATATTATTTGTTAAAAATGATTTGAAATTCCTATTACAAGATATATTTAATTAAAAACACAAAATAGTAGAAGAAGAGATAAAATGGATATCATAATATATGGCCTATCCTATTTACAAAATATATAATCGGGTAGAACTTATTAATTTACTTTGAATAGCTTTTTGTTTTCAATATGGTTCGCTTTAACCACTTTTTTATGCATATGGAAAGAAGATATGTTTGGATACATATTTATGGGTGTTTAATACATCCTTCTACTTTTAGTAAATATTAAACATTTGAAAAAGAAAAGTTTAAACAATAGTTACTATGCTTTACTAAAAGGATAAAAAACAACATATATTAGATATTTATTTTTGCTTACTTATAAAGAGGCTTCATTTACTGAAAAAAATAGAGACCGCGGTTTAGTTTCTAGCATTCTATTTTAAAACTACTACCAGTATGTTTTGATATTTTCCTAAATTTTAAATTTCTAGATAAAAGAAGAAGATGATGAAAGGTTGTATTATTTTTATATCCTCTTTTCGATTGCTTATTAAACTTATTTAAATTTAGTTCTTATTACTACTAGCTCCTCTACAGGAAATATATTGCCTTTATCTAAATTTTAATTTGCTTTAGCCTTTGGTTATGTATTTTGTTCAAAGTATTCCTTATACTTTATTATTAAATGTATAACAATTTAATATATGGGTTTATATTATCCAATGTTTTTTATCTTTAATATAATATATGGACCAATAATTTGCTATAAAGGATAAACTTTTTGCGATGCCTTTTTTTCTATATATAAAGGGCTTTTATTAGGATTTTAATTGACATTAAATATGGAATTTTAAATATCTCCAATATAAAATGATATCTTTACGCAAATCAAGAAATTAAAAGATACTCCTTCATTCAAATTTTATAGGCTAATAAAATTTTTAAATCTATCATTGCTTCTTCTACTGTCTTACTTCATAGATGATTTTTCTATCATTTATTCTTATGCATATTATATGCAAACTCTAAGTATTTTTGGAGTATATCTAGGTATTACTTTTATCTTTATGGTTTATGACCTGCTATTGCTAAAATATTCTAACTTTTATAAAATTTGTTAAGTATTTGAATTTAAATCAGGATAATTATATGATGGTTAAAATGATCGTAAAAATCTTAAAAAATATGAACCACTAACTGGAAAATATAAATTTAGTAAAAAAGATCTTCAAAGACTATAAAAATAACACATATTTCACTAGTTAACAATAATAAATTTTAACAATGAAGAAGAGGAATTAGCTAATATAATAGATATTACTCTAAATAAAAACTCATAAATTAGTTACATAATCAGTTTTAAAAGCTAATACTTGATTGCTAAACACCAAAATTAAATATTTATAAAATTAAATAATAATAATTTTGACTTTTTAAATCTATTGTTAGAATAAATGATATTAAATAAATTTCATGATGTTTTTATATGTAATTTAATTGAATAAGATAAGCAATAAGTCCTTTGTGAAACTTTAAAATAGAATAGTTTTTTCTTAAACTATTTTTAATCCTTTGTTGAGTCAAAAAAACTTTCAATTTTCGTTTAAAATTGTAAGATTTCTAGAGAACTTGCTTTTCTAGGAATTATAGGGTTTAAAAGACATATTGCATCTCAGTTAATTAATAATCCATAGTAAGTAATATATGATTTAATTTGTGATTGAATCCATCAACGAAGAAATTATAAAATTAGTTAATATCTATCTCTATTAAATAACTAATTTTATTAAATATAAAAAAAATAAAGTAAAATTTTACATTTTAATTAAGCAAAATTGTATCTTTTTTTGATAAAATTTATTTGTAAGTATTTTTCATTAATAAATTTTTATTTCTCAAAACTTCGTAAATAATTTTAAAAATGAGATATATGATTAAACATTATGTAGAATAAATGAGGCAGATATTCTATTGTTTTTTTAAATTAACAAAAAGATTTTTCCAAACCACATCTCATCTCTCCTATTTATATTGGATAATCGCAATAGATTTTTTAAATAAATAAAAATAAAATTAATACTCCATATTTGATTTTTAATTAATATATACTTAAATCCCTTAAATTTTTTACAAGCCCAGCTATTAAATGCTTAGGGAATTTTAAATGAAAAAACTGGTAAAATAAATATGATATATATTTTTTCTGATTTTAAGCCTTGAAGAATTCACAGTAATACGTACGTGCACAGCATAATCCATAAGGATATTATAGCATATTTTTGAGAATTAGAATGGATATAAAGTAATTATGTGCATAATATTCAATGAATAAAATAATTATTTTTAAAAATATTGTTAAAGACTATTAGTTTTACTAAATTCTTTATTTAAATTAAATAAGTTATGAAATAATTAGGAATTAATTATTAAATTTTGAAAATTATAAATGCTGTTTATAGTAGTCAAAAGATTATAGTTTCAGAAAACTATAGGTTTTGATAATTAGCTGATTATTCTATTACAAATTAATGCCCTGGCTTTCTTAGAGCAAATATTAAGAAGAGATCAATAACATGTAAATAAATATATTTATAAATATTAAAAAATTTATCCAATTAAATAATTTTTTTTTAATTAAACAAAATGACTTAAAAGATCTTACTTTTAAAGGAATTTTTAATTTAAAGAGATGAGATTAAAAAATAATTATTTAAAATGCACAATTTAGATTAAAATTTTACATTATGCTTTTTTTAACTTGAAATTTAATTCAAAAATTTTATGTTTTAAATAGAATTTATAAACATTCTCTCAAAAATTATAACAGTAAAATCATTTTCTTTAAATAAAAAAAATATTTTATAAAGAATCTAAATAAATATTTGCTAAAAAATATAAATTAATTTTTAGAAGCTTATGTAAAAAATCAGAAATAATCCTAAAAAACAAGAAAAAGCAACTTCACGAATATAAATGCTTATTTGCACATAAATTGAGATTATGAAAAATATTATATTCATTTAAAAATGTGAACTTTGTTGTCAAATTTAACACCGTTTTTAAGTTATTCAATAAAAGGTGGAAAACACTTCAAAAAGCCTGTGTATGCAGGAGTGGAAATAAAGTTATTATAAAGAAGAGCATCCTCCATTTTTATTTACTAATATATTCCTCCAGCATTAGTAATCTCATATGAAGTAGGAGTTGGACCTCCCAACACAATTCCTTCAATACAACCCTAAAGAGCACATAGAATTTGATAGCCATGGCATATTACTAAGATGGACTTTTTGCTATCTGTGAAATGTTTAACTAATTTTAAAACGCTAGGGTCGTATTTCAAATATTCAGGAGCCCTTCCACCAGCTAAAACTAAAGCATAATATTCTTCTGGTTTTACTTGATCAAAATCATAATTTAAAAAGAATCTATGGCCTATTTTTTCAGTATAAGTTTAAAACTTTTCTATTTCACCACCTTCTTCTACAACACAAGTAACATAGTCTCCTGCCTTTTTATTAGGGCAAACAGTATGCACAGTATATCCTATAGCATGAAGAACTTAAAAGGGAACCATAACTTCGTAATCCTCTCCAAAGTCTCCTGTAATTAGTAAAATTTTTTGGCTCATTTTTATTATTTATTTATTCTATTGTTTTTGATTGTTAAATATTATATTTTCAAAAGAAAGTTAGTTGTATTTATATGAAAAAGTTTTATTTTGTTCTTAATTAATAAAATAAGTTTGATTGATTTTTATTATTTATTATTAGCACTTACATACTATTTATCAGAATTATTAAAAATACAAAATTCAAATATTATTAATTCTTATTTAATTAATTTTCTGGAATGATCTTTAAATAATTTACAATTTAAATACAGGGATTTACAATAAATTTGTCAGAATTTAATTAATTTTTTTATAGGACTGGTTATATTTAATTTACGAATAAACCTTAATTATTTTTTTGTTAGCATTTACACACATTATATCAGAAATTTATTTAATATCTGATAGAAATTAAACTAATAATTTAATATTTTTATGCTTTTAACGATTTAGACTACAAAACTATATTAAAATATAAAATGGATAATATATTTCTTAGTCTAAATAACAATTTTTCATTTCAAAAAATAACATTTCATTTTTTAATACTTTTATTAAGTTTATTTATTTGAAAAAAAAGAAAGTTTTTTAACTTTTCAAAATAACAAAATGTATTTTAATAAAAAAGTCAAAATGATGATTTTAATGTTTTAGTTTGCTATTCTAAAATAAAATTAAATAAATAGATTTTTATTTTGAAAAAGATATTTTGATTTAGAAATTTCTAAATTAATTATTTATTTATTTAAAGCAAAATTAGTCACCACTTTGAGTTCAAATATTTGAATTTTTTTCATATAAAAATTTTAATAATTTTATTAACCTACTATACCATCTATTCTGTTCTAATTCATAATTATGTTTGTTTAATAATATTTTAATATTTAATTTTACATTTAATATATGTCAGATATGTTATCATACTCATTTTTAAAATTATTTGATTTTTAATATTAATTATTAGGCTTATCAAAACAAAAAACTCGAAATGAATAGAGAACAAACTAATTAAAAATGTCACATAAAACATGTAAAAATATAACTTCTCTAAATATTTTATTTAATTAATTTTCGATTATATTTACTATTTAAAATACTCATTTAACGATATTTTATAAACTATCTCAAGTTTGTTTTCATTATATAAAGTATTCAGGTATTTAATGAGTGAGTATCTTTTCCAAGATAGATGCTAAAAGAACAGCTAAAAAAGGAAATTTTAGAATTAAAATTAATTTATTCTTGATTTCGAACACGTATGCAAATAAAAAAATAAATGAATTCTTCACAAAATATTTGCAATTTAAATCTTTATAAATTTATAATTATATTATAGATTAATTTAGCAATTTTTTTAAAAATTTAAATAAATATAAAATTAATAAAAAATATTTTTTTAAATTGGAAAGTTTTACAATAACTTGAAAAATCTATTTAAAATTGGAGTAAATTTATTTGATGGTTTTTTATCCTTAATTATTTTTTGTAGAATCTAAAAATTACTTACAAATATAAAAAATATATATTTAAATATTAATTAATTATATACAAATTTTCATTTTATTTTTTAAATAAAATATTTGTTAGATAATAATTTGTATACTTTTACAAATTTATTTTTACATTGTAAAGCATTTAAGTATTTAATTGTAAAGATGTATTCAACAAAGCTTAACACTTATTACAGTATTAAGAAATCCCATATCAATAGTTATCCATAATAAATACTCCATGTCTTATCTTTCTAATGATACATATTTTGAATTTACGGCGCAAACCAAAAGGCAATGTAAAGACTCAAGCTTATTATGGAGGTTACCAAAATTACTGATAAGAGTTTCACTGATTTTTTCAATAAAATTGATTGTATAGATTTTAGAGCCTATTTAAATAATAGACTGATTATTAGTGCAATAATCAATAGATATTCTGAATTCTATTTTTTATTTTATAAATTTAAAATAAATGTAAATTTATTTAAAATATAATTTACATAGTAAACCAGTTCAGAAGATAAGAAAAACGCCTAATACTTTAAAAATATCAAAATAGCTCTTGCAACTCTGGTAAATTCTGAATCATAAAAGTAAAACAAAGAAATCCACTCATTTCCTAACTATATAGTTAAATTATATTTTTTTAATTAAAATATTTAAATTTAAAATTAAGAATCAAAATTTGAACTTTTTTTAAAAATATTTTGAAACTTTTTAAATTAAAAATGTTTACTAATAAGTATTTCAATTTTTAGTTAGCAGTATATTTGTACTATTAGGAGGAATTATCATTTTATCCTTAAGGATTTAAATCTGTTTAATTGTTAGTATGATCAAAATTTAGAATATTGTCAGTTGTTGTTTGAATACACATTTTAGAAATCTTAGTTAGAGAGAGCTGATCTGATTCTAAATTTTTTTAGGATTCTAAAACTTAAATACATTTTTGAGAATTTTTAATGTCTGACCTAGGAATCACTTCTTTGGTTTTTTAATAGTGTTACATAATTTATTCTAAGAAATTTAAGGTGCAATCTTTTTCTAAATGATTTTATTTTTGGTATGATTGTTTTTCATTTTCATTTTATTATTTGTTTTGGTCTTAAATGTATTGCTAACTATCCCCTTTTTTTAGTTTTTTTACGCTTATTTTAGAAATATTTTCTTATTTATCAGGAAAGCAAGGATTGTTAATGATAGAATTAAATATCTTAGATTATTTTTTATCTAATAAGTAGCCAATAATTGAAGAAGCTATCCAAAGAAAAATTATACCAACAAAAATAAAAAGGATAATTTGATATTTGTATTTTATCTAATCACAATCCATTTTGAACGGACCAGAACACCCTAGCTAACAATATTTAGCGCATTCAAAGCATTAAAAATTTTAATTCTTCTTAAAGGAATAATAACCTATGGGACACTCAGATAAGCAATAATTTTTGAAAAATAATAAATTAGATGGGCATGAAGTACACTTTTTTTAAAAAAAAATATATTGTAAAATTTCCATAAGTTAATGTAAAATTACTTCAGATTCAGAAGGCCCAGTACATGTTTAACAAGAAGAATCACATTTTTAACAAATATGATTTAGGTTTTCATAATAAGAATCCTTACATTTCTTGATACATTAGTTGTCCTGAAAAACTAATCCTTTTATTAGAAATATAGTAAAAATATTAAATTTTAATTAACTTTTCCATAAAATTTACCTTATTTACAAGTTAGGCAGTCGCTTTCTGAAGGGCCATTACATTCTTAACAGGTAGTATAACATGGTCTGCATTAATTAGAATTTTCATCAGGATAGTAGTTCAAGCTACATTGTGAAACACACTTGTTAGAATTAGGATCTAAAAAGGTTTTTTATGAGCAAGAAAGACAATTATTAGATGCACTACCATTACATGTGTAACAAGTAGGATCACATGGCATACATTAATTATTTTGCACGTTATTATAGTACTAATCAGGACAATTCTGAATGCATTAATTTTAGAATAAAAACAAATCTCCAGAACAAGACAGGCAATCAGTACTACTGGGACCAGCGCATGTGGTGCAGGAAGGATCACAAGAAGAGCAAATTTAATCATTTTTATTTTTAAATTAATCTGAATTGCAGTTCTCAACACAAGTCTTCAAATTTTATTAATAAAATAGATTTGGAGCCTAGCAGCTCAAACAATTATTGCTGTTTGGTCCATCACAAGATTTACAAGATGAATCACACTATTAGCATATATTATTATCTACCTGTTTTTAATTAAAAAAACCTTCTGGACATTTCTCTAAACATTAAAAGTCATAGAGGTAATAATCACTTTTACACTTGCTACATCCTTCCGCATTGCATTTTTCGCAAAAGCTGGTACACTTTTTATAAAATAACAAATAAATTATATTAAGCAATTTAGTTAATTTTACATAATCCACAAGAATGTATAATTCTCTAATTCCATAAGACGATTCAAAAGGATTGTTATTTAAATTAGATTTTATTTCTAAAATAAGGTCAGTTTCTGAATGAGTAAAATTTTTTGAAACATATATAATTTAGTCATTGTATTAAATCCTTCCACATATATTTGAGTCTCCATCGTTTCTATTTCTTGTGGTAGTTTCTATAATATTACTATTTACTATTAATTATACACTTTCATTATTCCATTAGTCAATTTTATAAAGAGTGTATCCTATTGCTACAGACCAGTGAGGTTCTCTATCATAATTTAATAAATAATTAATTCTTCAATTTAAAAAGATAAATTTACAATCTAGAAAATGTTTTTGAAATTGACGATTTAGCAGAACTTAAGTATGCTCCACCTAATATTGTCATACCACCACAAACAGTAGTTAATGCTCCACTAGATATTTTATTGTAACCTAAAAATCCTAAAGCTGTGATGCCTGCTCTTTTTATTTCGCTTTCACCAAAATGAGTATCAAACATACTTTTAAGTAAATACCTACCATCTAATAAATTATGAATAAGTTTAAAAAATTGAAATTCTTTTTATAAAAATTTTTTTACGACTAGTTTAAGATATTAAATCTACACATTATTATCCATTTAATGTAGAATATGATGGGCAACTAGTTACACATTACCCATTTAGCAGATAATAATCTGAATCACACTAAATGCATTATCCGTTTTGACACAATTCACACTTATCTTTATGGCAAAAGTCTTAAACACAAAGTTATCCAGTAATATCTTATTTGTATCCATTTTCACAATTTTTAGTGCAAGAATTATTTTGTGCATAATAACCTAAATCACAGGTGCATTTGGTCCCATTCTTATTTGAATGTTCTGGGCACTCCAAACAATCATTTTCAGTTGGTCCATTACAAGTTAAGCAAGAATCATGACAAGTATCCAAATACAAATAGAAATACCTTAATCCAAAGCCTTCATTATCTATAACTTCATCCGTCTTAGATTCAACAGAAACTTTAATAGATGAATTTGAATGTGTAAAAGTTTTTTGGTAAAGGACTAGCTCATCTGGATAGGTTTCTCTTATAGGTGGGGCAGGTTCAGGTCTACAAATTTAATATCCTGTCCTTGGTCCCTATTTTTAATAAGTATTTATCTCTCCGTTTATGTCTACATATATGTAGTCGTTAGGATCTAAAGATCTATATAGCAATAGATCAAATCTTATTGAGATACTCCAATGTGGAGGGAGGTTTTAAAATGTTTTAGAGGTAGTATTATGACCTAAGCCAAAGATACCCAAAACATTTTTTTATGAGTATTCTGTAAAATCAGTTAGTAAGCAAGTAGTTACATTATTTGAAAACCATTAAACATCATCCAGAGTGAATTAAGAATTTAGTTCTTCAAATTGAAGTTTTTCAGCTAAATCATAAAAGATATTAATGAATAGTGTTTAAAAAAATATTTTAAAATCAAATAGTACCTCCAAAAACCATATTTATAAAGATATTTATCTAAATGAGTGAGACGCACCAGAAATACAAAATTTTTATGAAAGGCATAGTTTTTTATAGTTTTAAATTGATAATTAATTATTTTAAATTTTAATTAATTATAAACCAACTTAATTTTTAAAGAAGTAAAATCTATTTTTTTTTAATAAATAAATATCGATCCTACCCCATTTTAATTAAAAATATGAACTATTAGAAAAATAGATAATTTTTTTAAGTATGAGTGGGGATATAGATGAAAATACATTTAGTTTATAAAAATAATTAAATGTAAATAAATAGCTTAATTGTTATAGTTTGTTATTTGTAATATTTTATTAATTTCAATGAAGCTTTAAATATTAATTGATGCCTTTAATATTGATCATATTTAAACCATTAGAAAAAATCTTAAAAGCAAGAGATTTATAAACCCTTTTAACAAAATTTGCAAGTTAAAATATCACAAAAATCTTAAACACAAAGTTATATAACTGTGTCAAATGTAATATCTACTAGTTAAATTCTAATAAATATATGGGTTGTTTTGCAAAATGTAACATAAATAATATTATTATTTGTTTATAATTTTATTTGAATTAGGTGTGTAATTTAAAAACTGATTATTAGTATGTCTATTTTAATTTAAATAATAAATAAATACTACTATTATCAAAAATAGATGAAAATTCTTTAATCCTTAACCTTCGAGAATAAATGAGTCAATAATGTTTTTCAGCTATTCCAATAAAAAATATCTAATCTCGAAGTTTATTTGAAAAGTAACTAACCTCTTTCAACCAAGTTTGTTAAGATAATCATCAAAAGGAATAAAATATTTTTAAATTTCCAAAAATTAATTTATTAAATTAGAGATTTAAGGTTTTAAAAAAGTAAGTAGTTCATCATCAAGAAATCAAAAAATAAGTTCGTTTAAATTTTCTATATTAACTTAATTTAAATATATCACTATAAATAGCTATTAATTTAAAAGATATTATTTAATTAAGGTCTTGCAAATTTAAATTTATGTGGTAAAAAATACCTAATGAGTTATAGATGTATAATTAATAAAATACTGATCTATAATAATTTAAACTTTATTTAATCTTAGTAAATTATTAAAATTAAAAAATAAATTTTATAAATTCATATAAATTTTCCTTTTTTGATTTTATTTTTAACTTCAATATAAATTAAAATAGAAATTAATAAATTTGTTTTTATATTCTTATCAAACTAAATACACTTTTTCATAAATTAACATGAATAATAAAATAAAGTAAATAAATAAATAGAATTTATTGATAAATTTTATTGAAAGGTTTTTAATGAAGAAAGTTTTTACTTTCTATTTTCTTCAAGACTAACTCTGCTAACTGCTAATCTATTTTGATTTCAGAAAATACAAAATTCAATAAATTTTTATTTATTCAAAAATCTCCTCAAGTAATTTGAAAATATTTTATTTATAATTATGAATGAAATCGAGTATTTTATATTAATTCAATGTATATAGTATACTTGTGAATCATGAAGATTTTAAAATGCAAAAATATTCATTGGTATTTTATTCATACTAAAAACTTATATGCATGCTAAACATTCGATTTATATTAAAATATTATATCAGTAAATCTTAAAATTCATACTTATAGACAAATCTAATTATGTGAAATGAATGGTGAAAGATTACTTTTAATTTAAAATTTAAAGTTAAGTAGCAATCTATTTTAATTTTTGAAAAATTCAGAATTAATTTAAGATCAAATAAATCGTTTCTAAAAGATTTAAGTTACATATTTCTTATCACATTAATTAAGGATTTATATAAAATTAGAGAAAACTTATATTAGTTTCATATAAAATAGAAAATTTAGAATTATTCAAGGAAATTATATATCTGAAAAAAATTTTTTATATATAAATCTAACCAGTAATTCAAGAAAGAGATATGATATTTAGAAACTTAATATTATTAATATAACAATTTATTATTAAGTTAGTGTTTTAAAAATAGAATATTTAATTGAATTATTGAATTTTAAAATAAATTATAAGCTAATTAATGGTGATATATATTTAAATTATATAAAAATAAATAATAGAGTTATTAAAGGGTAGGTAGGTGTAACTATTAATAAATGTATTTTATAATAGAATTAATTTTGTTTAGTTAAAGTAATTCAACTTTATTATATACTTTGTTGCTTTATAGTAAAAATAGATAAATTTAAAATTATTAATTCAGTATTTAAAGTATACTTTTAAAAATCAAATATTTATTAGTCAATCATTAACCATCTCAAAATTATCCATCAAATCAAATTATATCATCTTTATGATTCAAGTAAATTACAAAATCTTTATAAAGAAGAGTGGATTCATAAAATGCATACATTCATTCGAGCTAGAGGTAAATTTGTTTTGAAATTAATAAAAAATATTTATTTTTTTATACTTTATTTTTTGATTTTAACTTTTTTGTAAAATTTATTTTGAAAAAAAAATCTTGTGTTACTTTAATTTCTTTTAATTTTAACATCAATAAACATGTGGCCATTTTTCAGATTTTATTTTTATTTTTGAAATCTAAACAATGATATTAAAATGTTACTACTCTTTTTCTAGTGCAAAAATAATATTTTCTTTTATTAATTTTCTTTCAAATTTTATAGAACAATAATCAATCATTTTTTAAGTATTCAATCTCAAAACAAAATACTTTACTAAAAATTAAGCTTTAAAATATACATATTGTAAAAAAATAAATATTTTAAGATTTGATAAATAAAAAAATTATTTTACTAAAACAAATAATAAAAAAAAGTGCTCATACTCTTTAATTCAATGAATATAATTATTTTTATTATATTTTTTAATTATTTATTAATATGATTTTACAAATTTATTTTTATTTTGTTCAGCATTTAGGTATTTATTGTAAAAATATATTCAATAAAGCTTAGCACTTATTACAGTTACAATATTTAGAAATAGCATAGCAATCCATAATAAATCAGTGCCTTATCTTTCTAATGATATAAATTTTAAAGTTATGGCAGAAACCAAAAGATTATGTAAAGACCTAAAATGATTATAAAAGTTAATACAATTATTGATAAAAATTTCTAAAAATGTCAATGAAGACATGTAAAAATTTAACTTGTGTAAATATTTTATTTAACTAATTTTTCATTCTATTTACTACATAAAATACTCATTTAATGATATTTTGAAACTATCTCAAGCTTATTTTCATTATATAAAGTATTCAGGTATTTAATGAGTATCTTGTTAAGAATATGAAATATATAGCAAAAAAAGGAAATTCTAGCATTCAAATTTATATTTTCTTGATTTCAAACATCTTTGTAAATAAAAAATCAATGAATTCTTCATAAAATATTTGCAATTAAAATCTTTTTAAATTTATAATTATTATTATTATTATAGATTAAGTTCGCAATTTCATTAGCAATTTAAATAGATATAAAATTAATAAAAAAAATGATTTTTTAGTTATTTTTAAAAACTAATGTTAATTAGAAATTTTTTTTAATTGGAAAGTTGTACAATAATTTGAAAAATTTATTTATTACTTATCATGAAATTCTGTATCAAATTGCTATTTAATTTTAAGAATAAATATTATCTTTGGAATCTATTTTTTAAAAAGATTGCTTGTTATTTTAAATTGTTCTATCCATTTTTACTTTTATTTTATCAATTAATTTGATTTAATTATTTTCATTGTACAAATAGTTAATTTTCTTCATTTTAATTTATTTTATTTATCTTTTTTTTTCCAATTTTTTCATCTTTTTTTTAGAATTGTTTTTCTAATTCTTTCTTATTTCTTATCAGAACTCTTATTCCTTAAATTTGTTTTAATATGCTTATGAAAATAAATAAATAAATATTTCCAAAAATAAACACTGATAATAAAATAAACTAATAAATAAATAAAATTCATTGATAAATTTTATCTAATGATTTTAAATTAAGATAGTTTTTTATTTTCTATTTTATTCGAGATTAGCATTAAATGTACTTACTACTGCTAATCTATTTTGATTTAAGGAAATTAAAAATTCAATAATTTTTTATTAATATAAAAATCTCCAATTGCAACTAGAAAATTTTTTATTTATAAATATGAATAAAATTCAGTATTTTATGTTAATCTAATGTATATTGTGTACTTGTGAATCATACCTATTTTAAAATTCAAAGGTATTCATTCGTATTCTTTTCATTTTAAAAACTTTGTGCTTTACAGTATATTTTTTGTTAAAATATTATATCAGTAAATCTAAAAAATCATTTAATAAATAAAAGTGTGCAAATCTAATTATGTGAAATTAATTAATGGTAAAGGATACTTTTAATTTAATATTTAGAGTTCAGTAGAAATCTATTTTAATGTTTAAAAATATAAAATTAATATATGAATCTAATTAATAGTTTCTTAAAGATTACAATTGCATATTTCTTATCACATTAATTAAGCATTTATAAAGATTTAGAAAAACCTTATTTATACTAGTTTTAAATAAAATAGAAAATTTTGAATCATTCAAGGAAATTAAATAACAAATTAATAAATTATTATTTTTTTTATATAAATCTAATCATTAATTCAAGAAAGATAATTGACATTTAGAAGATTAATATTATTAATTTAATAATTAATTATTAGGTTATTATTTTTAAAAAAGAATATTTAATTGAATTACTAAAAAATTTACTCAATTTTAAAATAAATGATTTAATTCTTGGTTTGATTTGCTTTCATTTTCATTTTATATTTGCAATTCTTCTTTGTTTAAACTTTGAATAAATTTATCATTAATTATCGACTTATTTTAGGTTGATTTTAGAAATATTTTCTTATTTATCAACAAAAAGAAGAGAATTAATGATGGTATTGAATATCTTAGATTATTTTTTATCTAAAAAGTAGCCAATAATTGAAGAATCTATCCATACCATATTTACTAACAAAAATAATAAAAATAATTATTTGATATTGATATTAAATTGAGTGAATGCCTATATAATTTACAAAAGGCAAAATTTAATATATCTTAATAGCATAATAAATAAATAAATCTAAATAAGCTTAAAACATATTTATTTTTGAGTTTTTAGAAAGCTTTAAATTCACAAAACGCAAAATTTTATATAGCATATACGGTGTTTTCATTCTTATAACATGTATTTTTTTATAAAAAATAAATTTTGAAAAATTTTTCGTACAAAAATTTATTATTACAGAATTATAAAATATTTTTAAATAATTTAATTGTAAATTTGGCAACTTTTTTAGTAGAATATTTTATTTAACCTCAAATAATATATTTTAGATATTGCGAACAATATTTGTTTTCAGTTTTTTTTTTAGTTTATTTAGGCTAGTATATCACATAAAAATTATGATTTATTATTTATTTAACTCAAATTGGTTGATTATAACTAAAGAATTATTTTTAATTTATAAGATTATTTTTATTAAAAATAATTTACTTAAAAAAAAGCTAAAAATAATTTTAATTTAAAAAAATAAACTTTGAAGAGCTCATTAATAATTTTTTCTAAAAATAGCTAAAAGAAAGTTTTTATTAAATAAAAAGAAAACCAATAAAAAAGCTTACAAAAATAAAGAATATACAATTATTAATACACTTTCTTTTATATGATTAAGTAATATAAAATTTTTCATTTTATTTTTTAAATAAAATATTCATTAGCTAATAATTTGTACACTTTTACAAATTTATTTTTACTTTGTGAAGAATTTAAGTATTTAATCGTAAGGATATATTAAATAAAACTTAAAACTTATTACAGTATGAAGAAATCACATATCAATAGCAATCCAACATAAAGACTCCATGCTTTATCTTTCTATAGATACAGATTTTGAAGTTATGGTGCAAACCAAAAGGCAATGTAGAGACTTGAACTTAGAATGAGAGTGAAAAATATAACTGACAAAAATTTCATAGACTTTTTTAATAAAATTTCTTAGGTGGTTTTTAAAACCTATTTAAACAATAGACTGATGATTAGCGCAACAATCAATAAATATTCAGAATTCTATTTTTTATTTTGAAAATTTAAAATAAAAATAAAATTATTTCAAATAAAATTTACAGAGTAAACTAGCTCAGAAGATAAGAAAAACGCCTAATACTTTAAAAATATTAAAATAGCCCTTGTAACTCTGGTAACTTCTGAATCATAAAAGTAAAACAAAGAAACCCACTCATTTCCTAGCTAAATAAGTTAAATAGAATATTTTTAATAAATTTTTTATAAATAAAAATAATTACTATTGTGAATTTAAATTTATTGTTTGCAAGATAAGCCTGTTATTAGGAAGATTCATTATCCTATCCTTAATTATCTACAACTTTTTGGTTATTGGTTTTATTAAAGTTTTAAATAGTGCCAATAGTTGGAAAACATAAACTGGACATCTTAGTTTGAGAGCGATGATTTGATTCTAAATTAGTTTATGGATACTCTGAAATTTAAATAGACCTTTAAGAATTCTGTATTTTATTTTTTAGATATATTTTTTTGGCTGTTATTTGTGATTACATAATTTATTCTAAGAAATTTAAATTTTAATCATCTTCTAAATTGTTTTATTTGTAATTTTATTAGTTTTCTTATTCGTTTTGTAATTCTTCAGCGTTTTAACTTTACTCTTCTTGTTGCTAACTATCTTCTTACTTATCATTCTCTTAATTTAAATTAATTTTAGAAACCTTTTCACTTTTACTCACATAACGAGGAGATTTAATTATAGAATTAAATGTCTTAGATTATCTTTTATCTAAAAAGTAGCCAATAACTGAAGAAACTATCCAGAGAATACTTTTAGCAACAAAAATAAAAATAACTATTTAATATTGGTATTTTATCTAATCACAATCCTCTTTAAGCGGACCAGAACATCCTAGCTAGCAATATTTATGGCATTCAAAGCATTCTAAAACATCAGTTTACTGAACTGTAAAATAGTTTTTAGGGCATTCATTAAGGCAAGAGTTATTCAAATAAATTAAATCTAAGGCACAAGAAGAGCACTTTATTTAATAAGAAATTTTTTTTATTATTATTTTTTTTTTGAATTTTAAATTACTTCAGATTCTGAAGGTCCAAAACATGTTTGACAAGAAGAATCACATTTTTGGCAAATGCTAGAAAAGGGGTTAACATAATAAGAGTCATCACATTTTGATACACATTTATTTTCTTATAATAGCAATCCTTTATATAAAAAAATTTAATTAATATTGAAATATAAAAATTTTTTATTTATTTATTGATTTTATTTACCTTATGGACATTCTGTACAGTTGCTTTCTAAAGGACCGTCACAATTTTAACATGTAGGATCGCATGGAAGACATTCATTAATATCACTATTTTTATAATATGAGACAGGACATACTTCAACACATTATCCTAAACTTAGAATTAGATTTCTTGGGCAAGAGAGACAGTTATTACTACCAGGACCAAAGCAAGTAGCACATTAGGGATCACAAGTTGAGCATGTCTAATTAACTTCATTTTTATATTAATTTTTATCACAATCCTAAACGCACTTTTTGAAGATCTCTTAATAAAATAAGTCTGGTCCTTCACAACTTAAACAATTATTACTATCTGGTCCATAACAAGTTTTGCACAAAATATCACACTATTTACATTCTTTAGAAACATGATCAATATACTAATTCTTATTACAACCTTCTACACATCTATGTGTGGAAGGATCTAAATAAGTATTTAATTTGCAAGAAAGACAATTATCAGATCCGCTTCCACTGCATGTAAGACATTTAGAATTGCATGGAGAGCATATATCATTTACGACATCATAGTAAAATTATTCAGGACAACTGTTGATGCATTCGTTATCATGTAAAATTAGACCTCTTGAGCAAGTAAGACAGTTACTACTACTAGGACCTGAGCAAGTTTTGCAAGAAGGATCACAAGATGAACATAGTTGATTTATTGCGTCTTAAAATTAATTAGGACGGCAAATAGTAACACAACTCTTAGAGTCTGCTTAGTAAAATAAATTTGGTCCTAAACAGCTCAAACAACTATTTATTCCTGACCCATCACATGTTAAGCATGTAGAATCACATTGTTTACATTGATTTAAGATTGTATCAGAATATTGATTTGAGCTACATTCAGATACACATTAATGTGAACTAAGATCTAATAAGCTTGGTGGTGAACAAGAAAGACAGTTATTAGAACCACTTCCGTTGCATGTCAAGCAATTAGCATGGCATAGAGTACATTAATTATCTATGGTATTTTTAAAATAATTTTCAGGACAGTCTGGAATGCATTAATTTTCGAACAAAAATAAAGCACCTGAGCAAGACAAACATTAGTTATTTTCGGGACCAGAACAAGAAGCGCAAGTAGTATGACAAGAAGTACACTCCTAATTACTTGTATTTTTAAATTAATTTAATTAGCAATTTTCTGAACAAGTCTTGGAGCCCTTTTAATAAAATAAGTCTGGGGCTTCACAACTCAAACAATTATTGCTTGTAGCTCCATCACAAGTTTTACAAGACGAATGGCATGTCTAACATATATTATTGAAAGTTTCTATTATTTAAAGAATAAATGGTTATTAGTTAATATTTTTAAAGTTTTTCAATATTTACAAGTTAATTTAAATGTATTAGCAGGGCAATCACTTGAACACTGGTTTCCAAGTAAGTATAAACTTCCACTACAGCTTGTACATGAATTTGAATTACCTTTAATTAATAAAATATAAGATAAATTAGATTGGCTTATAAGTTTTAGAATATATATGATTGATAACTGAGGTAGCCATTAAAATAATATTTAAAAATACTGAATTGAAAATTATTAATTAGCTTAATTTCTCCTTAACTAATTCTCCTATTGATCAAATTTTTACATAAATTTTTTGTAAAAATAATTTTAGAAAAAGCTATGGGTAATAATTAAAATGGTCCTTAAATTAAGAAAAACAACATTAATCAATTTGAAAGAGTAAGTAAGTACCTGGATTTTAACAATTGTAGCATGATGCATCACATTATTTGCATTACCATTTTGAGTCATCACCCCAGTATTGAGCAGGGCAGTTATTTTTGCAAGTACCGTTTGGATTTAAATAATTACTATCTTTGC